AAAAATCTTGCTCAACGTCTCTGACCCCTCCTGGCCCTGTGGATTGGGGCGCTGGCCAGCCCATGTGACCGTGATCCGATCCGGGGTCGGAGTGTATTGCACTAGGCTGAAGCGGGAGAGGAGAATAAACGCAACGCATGGATGGGTTGGATGGATGGTAATGCTTTGTCTTCTTTTGCTTCTGGTGCATCCGGCGGCCGTCATTATGAGTTCAGGTTCCGTTTGGGTGACATGAATACTCCTTGCTGAGCATGGGCGGCAAGCGGGGATTTACAACGAAGGAGGGCGGTGAGCCGGCTCGCAGCAGTTAATCGAGATATTTCGGGGATGCGTGATGCAACTGAGGGAGACGTTGCTTCGGGAGCCCCTTTCGGGGTCCCTATAATGATATCGGGATTATTGCTAACCTGCGACCTTCCCCTTTCATTGACGATGACCCGCATGAGACTAGAGGGCGCCAGTTCCACCTCACGCATGGCGCTGGGGTTGAAAGCTGCGAGGGTCGAAGAGGATCCATGATTGTCTCATAGAGATGAAAGCCATCCTTCCCGGAGAGGCACGAGCCCGAGCTGTAGCTCACATGGCCCCGGGCTGGGGAAGATATCGTATCCTCGATTCCGATAGAGCCACAGTTGGGGCGAGGGGCGAGTGCTTGTGGGGTCCGTCAGCGCCACGAACTGCTGGCGGCCGCCAAGCCTCAAATCATCCGGAAACGACTTGAGCCAGAACACCGCCCACTCGAGTCACTGGTCACTGATTGAGAGGCAAGGCCAGTAGGCAACGAACATTGAAGGATTAAAGGCTGCTAGAATCCTCAGCGAAGGGGAGGAGCGGCAAAGTTGTTTCCGGGCTTCGATGTGCCCCCTCGCCCCTCGCAAACAATTGGCGGTGCAACCCACGACGAGTTTAGAAATTTCCTGAAGTGAAAGGAGGATGAGCTGCAGTGTAGGATTGTGATTGCCCGAGCGATTTCGCATTCCGCTGTGCCATGTCGCGCAGACGATTTGCCCTGCCTGGAATTGCTTGTGTTCTTGGGGGTTTCTTGTATCCTATGACTTAACCCCCCTTTCATGTTGCTTCTTTCTTTTGAGATTTGACTTTGAGAAGGGAGGGGGTGTGGCAGGTCTAAGGTCTAGCTCTTGCTCTCTGAAGTCCACGGCCTCCTTTTTTACATCGAAGAATTGGTTGCTGAAGGCGATTGACCTCCCGGGTGTTTAGTATTTTGCTTCACGAGGCCTGTAGGCGGGAGACACCAGATTGGGTGGCGGTAGGATATCTCGAGAGATAAGGCCGGACCCTCACAACATGGAAGATAAAATCTACAAGAGTCCTGTACGTACATGTAAATTTGTCCACACGCACCTTCGACCTTCGCCATGCCTCAGGAATGGAGGCCAGCTATGTCACGGGAATTCTCCCGCCTGTGAAGGAAACCATGATCATCTGTTGGCTTTTCCGCCAAATCCAAATGAAACCCAAGCCAAAGTGGGTGTGGCAGTAAGGTGTCATTTGTGTAATCCGCACCGGCTACCATTGGACAGCCCCTGGGAATAGCGGGCGAGGGTGACCAAAATTCAGCGACTCGCTCGGTTGTTCGTCACTCAAGCTCGCTTCAGACCCGGCACTTGGACTTGGAGGTTAGGGGCCGGGTTGAGAGGCTTTTAGCGAATTGGCCTTGCCGCGAGCTATGAAAGTTAGGGCAGCTCGTCCCGAGACCTACACGGTCTTCCGGGTTTTCTTTTCGCTGAGCGAGATTTAGCCTTGGGGAAGAAACACGCAGAGATCGTAATACACCCTCCCCATTCCTATTTTGTCCCTCAAAGGCAAACAACTCATTCTGCAGCGTCCCTCTCTGATTTGGTCGAGACCGACAATCTGCCACGTATTTCCAAAAGTAGAATCGGGCATGGAATTCCTGTTGTTCCGTGCCGTGCCGCCGCTCGCCATCCAATACTGCGACTTCAGGGTTGCTTTTCGCAGTCGTGTGATTTTGGTTCGCACATTTCCAAGGTCGCGACGCTGGGGCCTGATCTGAACATTGATCAAGTGGATTGGGGAAATTGAGGGGGTTTGAGCACAGGATCAGGGATCAGAGACAGAAGACTGGCCAAAGATGCTGGGAGGATTCCCGTTCCAAACTCGACACTTGATAAGAGGCCGAGATGAGGAAGGGAGGGCCGTGGTCTCGTTCAGCCCAAGACGGGGGTCACTAAGCACCATCAATTCTAGAGAATGATGACGACTTTTTCCATGTCTCAGCCCGGCAAAGCTAAGAATCAGCCAACAGGGGCGAGGGTGAGGGCGAGGGTGCGGGCGACGAGGCCGATGAGGCAATACTCAATCGGAGGCAAAAGGAATGGCTAGATCTAGCTGTTGGCAACTTGTATTCCTAGGCCGCGCTAGACACGGAATTCCGTGCTTTAGTGAGCACGCTAGATATGTGCGTGCTTCAGACACGGCACGTATTGAGAAGTGAAGAATGACCAGTCTTGGTCGTCGACGTTGGGCTGGGTGGGGAGGGGGTCAAGAAGTTGAAGAGATGATGGGATGGGGGTGGGGTGTGTGTTCTGACGAGTACGTCGATGGGATGACGGATGACAAGGACCAGCCTAGTCTCCGCCACCAGTTGCTTACTCTTCGGCTCACGGCGGCGGTCCCGGAGCCAAGACGAGGAAGAAACCAGGCGGATTTGAGACTGCGGGGTTTACCTTGGTCCGGGTGCATGGCTTGGCTCCGAGGTATTAAAAAGAAGTAAAGAAAGTTCAAGAAACAAGGGAAGAGGCGGAGACGAGTTGTTGTGCAGTCAGACGGAAGTGTACGCGAAAAGGACGATCACTTTTTGATTTCCTTGGGCCGGAAGAGGAGACTAGTGAAGGTGGGTGCAGGCTACAGGAGGGGGAGCAAGTGTCGAAGTATCGAAGCTCAAGCTGAGAACATTGAAAGGGGGACCGGCGGTGACGGCGCACTTGCGTTGGTCTAGCTCATGGTGTTAGCTCCTTGTGTCCATCCCAGTGGACACTCGGTGCATGCGATCCGTCTCTGGGTCACTAGTCTCGAGAGCTACGCTGTGGGCTGCATTGATGTCACGCAGTATTAGTTGAGGTTGCTCTCAAAAGGGATCCCGCTTTCCTCCTTGTTTTTCCCTCTTCTTTTTTTCTGGTTGAACCTGTTGCTCAAGTTCGCAATACCCTTTTAAGATCGTGAGATTTGAGGACGGTCCTTCCCAATACCGAAAGATTCAAAGGTGCTCCTGCAAAGTTCGTCCGAGGGTTTGGGAATTAATTAAACCTGCAGTGAAAGTTCAGAGCCTATCCGGGTTCTTGTCGGTAGTGAGTGCGGGAGAGGGCGGGAGTCGATATTGCCAAAGACTCGATTTGATTTCTGGGGGACTAGTCGCTCCTGCACCCCCTGCGCGCTCGGGAGCTGTGCCGTGCCCTACCTTCCTACCTCATCCATCAAGACAAGGTAAAAAGTACCCTAAAGCCAGAACAGGCAAGAGCGATTTCAGAACCTCTCAAGCAGCCCGTGTCTACCTGGGCAAGGTGGTCCTTCCAATTCGTCATGGGGGTGGAGCACCAAAGATGTCTGGGGCGCACGCCCACTTGGGATCAGCTTGATCACTCGACGTCGCCATCAGGAGGGAGGCGTGGAGGACTCGGAGGAATCCAACTCTGATCGAGCACGCACCCCCACCTTCTTTTCTTCAAGCACGGTGCAGGCGTTCGAGGATCCGATCAAAGACACTCGTGGAATGAAGGTTTTCTTTCCCCACGCTTTCGCTAGTGACTCGATGACAAGGCGGGACAGACAAGAATAGCGTCAGCCATCCGACAACACCTTTGTTCTCTCGAGATTCAATTCGATGACATTTTGCGACCAGTCCATCCCATCCTCAATTGGTGCACTTCAAGGTACCACCGACACCCCACCCCACACCCACCTTTTTTCTTTTGCTCGTCAACTTGGCAGCTCGGCGATGCGATTCTGACTCCCCTGGTTTTCGCTAGCCCTGACAGAAAATACCCCCGCCTCCGAAGCCTCCCAGGAAGCCGGAGGGTGTGCCATCTGCACCCTCGTCGGTCTCTTGCCGATCACTGAACCACTCTCCAAGATACGAGTCCTTCCCATCATGGGGCATGTCCTATGGTGTACTCTCTCAGACTTTGCGTCCCACCCACGGCCGTAAATCATCCGACCGGGCATATGGCGGAGGAAAAGGAAAAACTGGCTGTTCGCTGGTCAGGAGAGAAGGAAAGATATCGCGACAAGGCGCTCACTCCCCCTTCTTTTTCCATTACGTATGAACCATTTCGCTCCTTGTCAATGATCATGGTCATCCGGATTTCCGATCCAATCTTTCTCCCCCTTTTTCTTCCCCTCTTTGCCGAATTTTTCTTAGGGTCATTTTGGGAGAGAGGCCATCGCCGAGCCGCGCCTTAGTAACGCGCCCCTCGTGGAACGTGCGAATGCAACTGTCGCAATCCCACGACACGGCACAACCGACCAGGAGATGTCACCATGCGTCCCTCATTTTGTCCCTGTGTGCTTGTCGGGTGGGATGGGGGCAGAAACCTGTGCTGGGCAGCAGTGTTGGGCGACGGCGTGGGTGTGGCAGCAAGTAATCTTACGCACTGCCCGCCCTGGCGAAGGAGGATCTCGCGCCTAGCATAGCCCTACACAACCGCACACTGATGATCCCATCCAAAGTTTGGGTTTGGGGTTTTCTTTTCAACGAGCAACTGTTTCTCGCTTCTCAAAATCGTCCTTTAATTTTATTTCACATGTATATATATATTTCACCTTCTCGCCGTAGATGTTGGTTTTTAATCTCTTTCTCTGGCATCAAACAAGAACATCATCATCACTTACACCACATCAAAGCACTTGACTATCCAAAGCGCTCTCTGATACCACCCGTTTTTTATTACTCCCAATCTTCAACCTCCATTTCCCTTTGCCTACTACTCCTCCATCTTCTTCTAGATTAAATCTATATCACAATGCAGCTCAAGTCCCTCTTCACCTTCCTCCTCGCGGGATACGCCGCCGCCGCCCCAGCGGTGCTCCCGTCGAGTCGAGAGATTTTACCCCCATCGATGCTCGGGAGTCTACCGGACTTGAAGTCCGTGACCCTTCCGTCCTCGAGTCCCGCGCCGTCACCAAGGTTGAGTTCTCCTCCATCACTGCCTCTGGAACTGGCTGCCCTTCCGGCTCCTACACGGTCACCATCTCCACCAACCGTGATGTCGGCACCATTGCGTTCCGCTCTTACAACACGGCTTTTGGCGCCACCACCACCAAGTCTTGCACCGTCGTCCTCAACCTGATCTACCCCAGCGGTTGCACGAGCGGCAGCCTCCAGTCCAACTACCACGGCTTCGTCCAGGTCGCCAGCGGCGCGACTGGCACCGTCAACGCGGCTTACACCTCGTCGACCGGAAACAGCGCCAACCCTTCCAACAGCATCTTCTCCGGTGCCGTCTGGGCTCCTGGCAACCCGTGGTCTCGCATCGATATCGCCCCCGCCAAGGTCATCAATCGCTCCGCCAACGACGCCGCCGTCACCGCCAGGGCCGCCACCACGCTCACCCTGACCAGGACCAACAACTCGGCCGGCGGCACTCTTATTGCCGACGACATTACCTTCTCCATCATCAACCAATCCCGCAACACCAACTGGCAGACCTGCACGTAAGTGTCCCCTTTTTCTTTTCTCATAGCTCCTTTGTCAGCGTGTGAAGAAGAAAAGAGGCAAGAAAGAGTCTGACCCCGCGGGTAGTGTATGATTGGTTTTTGGCTTGCATTGAGAAGAAATTGGCACTCATCTTTCCTTTCTGTTTTTGATTTTACTTCACACTTATCTCCCATCCTCGAAATGTATCTACTCTTGGAGGGACGGCTAGTTCTTGGAGACGGATAATCTTGTCTTGACGCCGTCTCTAAGACCGCCTGCATCAGTTTTGCTTTTCTTTGGACATGAGGACCTTTGTCTAGTCTTCGCCATCTGGAGTTCTGTTTTGTCTTTGGTTTTTCTCTCGCATCTTCATGGGCTTGGAGTATCTTGGTTTCTTTTTCCTTTGTCCTCACGCTCATCATATCGACTGTTTTTGAATTTCCCGAATCTTTTTGAGCTCTATCCTCCTTGGATTATCATGGTTTTGTTTTGCACAATAGCAAATGAAAAGAACTCGTTTTCCCTTATTCAAAGACTTCGATGCCTATTTTCCAAGTGAACTCGCTCTGTGATTGGTCGCGCGTCAATGCCACTGCGGCTGCGCCAAAGTAATATAAATAGTTTGGACCTCGTGTGACGCTTACTCCTGACACAAGCGGAACCCGGCGTCAGACGCTTAGCTACTAGGCTGTATCTCACAGGAACCAGCACAGCCAGCCATCCCATCCTCTTGACAGCATTTGGGCGTTTTTTTCTTCATCTGGGATTTACTCTACATGCCACCCTCCTTGGAACCTGAAACCGGGCTGACCGGGACTTTTTTTCGTTCGGGGTGAAGGATTATGTATTATTTGTTTGCGCATCAAGTGCGATTCTTGGGCTTGGGGAAAAACTCTCTTGCTAACATGATCAATAATCAAACTTAGTTATCCGTCTGCTACCCAGCTACCCTCCTCTACAGCGATGATCAAGCTGCAGCTTACTATCCTATCTATACGCCCATCCTTGATGCAGTGCCGATCTAGTGAACATCCCCTTGAAAAAACACCTATCGCCGGAGTTTTATAACCCGCCGACTCCGTTGACCATCCATGTATTATTCAATCTAAGTTTTCACGTTCACTCAACTTTCTTTCACTCGTGAGCGTGAAACGACAAAAAAAAGAGGCGAATCATTTACGCATGTATCCCGGTCTGGATTTGCGGATAGACGCGCACGAATGCATCGTATAGCTCGGGATGATCACGCATGAGAACTTCGGGGTCCCACGCGGCGGCAACAAAGATAGTATCGATACCGCTGGAGATGGGCGTGGTGAAAATGTTGGCGATTTGAAGCCCGATAAGGAATGCGAACAAGAGAATGACGGCGGTATAGCTTCCGTTTGTGTTGTAGGATGGGTTCGTGAAGATGAGATACAGGTAAGCGAGAAGCGAGCAAGCATAGGCGACGAAGAGGGCACCAAAGGTGAGTACGGGACCAACGAGGCATTCCTAGAGGTGAGGTTGTTAAATTTATGCCAATTTCAGAAGGAAACCAAATTCAGGTATAAAGGGAAACGCAAAGGGAGAATGGTGTCTGGCACGGGTAATGACCTACGTTGACAAGCGCGTCGATGCCACGATCCTTGATGAGCCTCCACGTAGCCTTTGCCGCAGGGAAATACGCCTTTCCGAAGAGGGCGATATACGAAAAGGCGTAGCGGTTTACAAACTCGACGGCCCATTGCACAAGGCCCAGGATGCACTGTACGCAGCAGAGGAGGATGGTGCTGATCAAATCTCCTTGCCCGGCCTGGGATTGCTGAGCTACGGAGCAGAGCTGACGAAGGAAATTGATAATGGCGACAAACAAACTTCCCAAGCTGATGGAGCCGAAGCTGTACGTCAGGGAACGCCTCAAGGCGCCTCGGGTAACCTTCTTGGGGAAGGCCCTCGAGCTGTAGTACCACGAGCCGTAGACGCCGGAAACGGTGGTGTGAATCGTATTCTTGAGCCACTCGGACATCCAGTACATGGTGAAGGTGCAGAAAACGATGAGACCGGCCACCTTGGCATCGCTACAATCGCCCTGGGGAGCGCAGGCCGGATTGTCTCCGCTAGACCAGCGGGCGTAGATGGCCACGACGGTGACCGAGTACCACGCCGCCAGGGCGATGGCGACAAGGCCGCCGACGAAGCTGACGAGGTAGACGTGGCCGTACGTCTTGGCGACATCGATCGAGGTGGTGAGCATCAAGACGGAAAAGGGGATTCGCTTCCTCCACGAAAAGTAGACGAATATCAAGAAAACGCCGAGCAGGAGGTACAAGAGGCCGCCCCAGCTGCGGCGCGCCAGCATGTAGATACCCGTCACGAAGGCGAAGAGAACGTTGAGAACGAGGGTCATGATGATGAACTGCTTGGGCCAGAGGCGAATGAGCCACACGTAGCCGTATCCAAAAACGAGGGAGAGGGCGAGACAAAAGATGAAGAGGATCAGAGTGTTGGTGTTGAGGCCGAAATTGGTGTTGCTATCGTAGATACCGTCGCCGTAGGAGCCTCTCGTCGTGGAATAGCCGCGGATAGCGATGCCCGACACCGCGGCGAAGCCAGCGACGAAGAGTAGAAACTACACACGAGGGAAGACGCGAGCGTTAGTCTACTATCGACAGACCGTGCCGGCGGCCGGTGCCTGGAAGGGGCCGGGGAAGGAAGCAAGGAAGCGTCGCTCGTTCCTCGATCATGACATACCAAGATTCCGGCCCAAAGATCGTTCCACTTGGGCTTGTCGACCTTGAATGCCTGGTCAAAGGTGTACTCCTTGCCGCCGCCGACGGCCTCGGGGGCTGGTAGCCGTAAGGCGGCGGAGCTTCATTGTTGTTCGCGTTTTGCTCGTACGGGGGCTTCGGCTGGTAGGGCTGGTTCTGCGGGGGAGGATATTCTTGCTGATACTGGGGCTGCCCGCCACCATAGGCCTGCTGTGGTTGCTGCGTCTGCGGGCCGGCTCCGTAGCCGTAGCCATTGCCATTGCTACCACCACCTTGCTGATAGTAATCGGCGGCCTCGCCGCGAGATTCGCCCATTGTCACGCAGTCGCGGAAATCAGATCGCGGGCGGGAGGAGATGCTGTGAATAGACGATATTCAATCGAGAAGAGATGATGAGGCAACACAAAAAACTGCTTTGTTTTTGTTTTTGAATTGGAGGGGAGGAGAGGAAGGTGAGATGGATCTATGGGAAAGCTTGAAGAATAGTGCGAAGCCCGAAACCTTTGCCAAGAGCAGCTACTGTTGTTACGTCATTGGTTCCATTGGTTCAAATGAGATCAGGTGGGGGAGCTGATCCGATTTCCCGGCTTGTTTTGGCTGGGCGCCACTAACAAGCGCAGGTAAAAAGAAGGCTCAAACCAAGACATGTGAGGATCAGGCAAAGCTAGCTCCGGCATCGCGAACTCCGACAGAGCTTTAGACCCCTGTCTTCAGCTGTGTCCAACTGCTTTTCAGCTTAAACATGCATGTCCTGACAGTCTTGTCGTCTTGTAGCGGCAAGGTGGATTGACATATGCGTGGAGTGTTCCCATCCCCCACGTGTCATTCGCGGGGCCTGGGCTGTAACTATAGCTCGACCTAATGCTCCCTATCCTCCGTAATTGATGAGGGCCCCAATGGGGTGCAAGAGGATGGGGAGGGCAATGGACCGCAGTGCCATGCCTTCTCATCTGCTCCCGAGGGACTAAGGTAGAAGAATAATCAATATCTATATGTATGTGCTGGGGAGAGCGAGTTCATGTAGTGGTGGGTGAGTGCCCAGGGCACGATCTACAGCGTCGCGATCAATCTCTCGGGAGGCCAGCCAGGGACGGCCCAAAAAACAGTCCTAATCCCGTCGAGGATGGATTGATGACCCAAAAGGGCCAAGACTCAATGTAACACCCCGCAGGCTGCTTGATTACTTCTTAATTTGACGACGAAAAGGTTATATAGTGCTCACGCTGGAGAAAACGCCGAGTAGGGTGTCCAAGAGGGAGGAAAATTAGGACAAGGCAAGGGAGAGCGACAAAAACTCCCGACTACAGATTAGCATGCAATTAAGTGGAGTAATTCGATACGAGACGGGCTAGACCGTTGGTTTCAGGGCAGAGGGTCATCCCACGAGGGGACTCAATATCCGAGTCTCGCTCCAACGCTGTCGAATATTACCTTGTTCGATGCTGTATGAAAAGAGGTCTGCGTTTTGTCCAATAGCCCATAGATCTCCATTTGGCAGTATGCAAGGATCTGTTTCCTTGCGCGACATGATTCGCTGTCCTCAAAGTAGGTTCCATCCCGATCCTGCCATCCCGTCAGCCCCTCCTTGTCCAACCACGACAAAGCCATTGGCAACAATCCCTGCTCGCCAAAAGTTTATTTCCATCCAGTTGCACCTTTTTTCTCGCTCTTGGCGCAAGTCGCGTTGCAACCATCTCGTCGATGGCTCCCTTGATGGTAATAGCGGACATTTGCGCTGTTCGGGGCTCCTCTCTCGTCCCCGCCCCCGGACTGGGGCATTTTGCCAGCGTCTCCCCAAGACGTCCGGCTTTCGACCGGGAAAAGTCCTTGCCCCGCTACGTATAGTGGGGACAATTTATCGTCTGCCACACAAAAACACCCCGAGGCAGTGCTTATATAGTGGGTAAGGCATCACTAAGGTACGTTCGGGACTCGGCGCATACAAAAACCCCACAACTTGATCTTCGGTGGTGGGTGCCTGTGCGGACGCGGAGATGGAGGATGGAGGCGGGGAATAAGCGTTTCGGTATGCAGCTCCGCTCCTTGGGGCGGGCACTCAAAAGACCCAGGCCGCCCGAGGTTGGCAGATCGGCAACCGTAAGAATAGCGCTATAACCCCCGGTCGGCATATGTCGAAAATATGCCACTGCAGTAGAACATGTGCCGTCCGCGGTCCTGACCCAAACCCTATGACGAGGTGATCGCAGCGACAGGGAGGGGACCGGTATAAGTGTCACCGAGAGGAACGAGATCTGATTCTTGCCGCTGCGCAAGTCCCGATCACCTCCCCACCTCCTCCCTTGCCGGCGCCGCCTGAGGATACGATATACCGGCCGTATCATTTCTCATCCTTCGTATCTTCTCCTCGCCACTCCCCCTTCTACTTTCTCCCACGCACACCTGAACGTGCTGGACGCAAGAAAACGCAGGTGAAAACGATACGCCGGCTTGACGCACGCGACGCGCTCCGTAGCATTCCCCTTCCATTCCCCTATCCCGCTCTTCGGTCGTTCCTTTTACCCGAGTCACGAGACGAACATCGACCTAGCAGCCATGAAGACCGCCCTCCTCTTAACTGGCATCGTCGCCCTCCTCGGCACGCCCTCCTCGGGCCTCAAGGTGTCCACCTCCCTGGACTGGATCGAGTACACCCCGCAGCGCTACGCCGCCGACAACTTCTACAAGGGCAGCAGCCCCGTCCAGATCTCGAGCGGAGGCGTGGCCACCATCGCCCGCGACAACAGCGTGGACCTGGCCGCCAACGCCGAGACCCAGGGCCTGAAGCAGCTCAGCGGCCGACGAAGCCTCCGCCTGATTTACATGGTCTGCGAGGCCCAGTATCGCATCGTCGCGAACAAGGCCAAGGGGATCAACGCCCTCGAGGACCTCAAGGGCAAGAGAATCGGCACCATACCCGGCACCTCGGCCGGCTACTTTGTCAACAAGTTCCTAAAGACGGCGGGGATCCAGCCCGGCCAGTACACCGTCGCCTCCGGGAATGCGTGCATGAAGGCCCCCTGCGGCCAGGGGACCCTTCCCCAGATGCTGCAAGCCGGGCAAATTGATGCCTTTGGCCTGTGGGAGGTGGCCCCGGAGCTCGGAGCCCGCGCGCTCGGGGACAACCACATATTTTCCAAAACGGAACCGTCTACCGCGAGATGTACGCCCTGTATACCACGGCCGAAAAGCTTGCGGACGCGAGGATCCGGGCCGACATTGTCGAGTTCGTCCGCGCGCTCAACCAGACTCTCGATGTCTACAACAACGACCCAAAGAAGGTGTTTGCCCGCGTAGCCGAGCTTGTCCGTTCCGATGCCGATGTTGTCGAGGCCGTCTGGCCGGAGCATCTATGGACCGGCCGCTGGGCCCCGGACCTGATTGACTTCTTGGTCGAAGAGGACGCATATCTGGCGCAGGAGGATCGAAGGCAGCCTATCCCCAGAGCGGACATTGAGAAGTTCCTCGACACTAGCATCCTAGACGAACTCGGCTTGTAACGGAGCCCCAACCCCGACAGAGGCGGGAAAAGTGTATATACTTTGCGTAGTCACCCTCTACAGGGGCTATATAGGATGTACTTGCATAGTTTGGTTCCCGCGTCTGTGTCTCTTGTGTCTTAACCCTATTATTTAGCGCGAACATCCATCTATGGATGTCTCACAAAACCCCATTGATTGGCCGCCACTTTTTTATCTTCCTACTGATATGTTCCATTATCTGCGCAAACCTTACGCCTCTTTTGATTACCGAGGTGCTTGCTCTGTGCCCACCTATCCCTTTTGAATCTGTTCCTACCATTGCCTAGCAAGGCGGAGCATATAGGAAATAGAGCAGACGCTCACAATGAACTAAGAAATCACTTCCACTCCATCCCCCAGAGTGTCACGTTGCTTTCCCCCTTCACAGTTTGGGGTTATTATTCGATCGTTGTGGGCGGCGATATCCTGCCCATAGCGGGCCAAGAGCCCGCTGAGGCATTGAGGCGTCTCGACCAAGGGGTGTGTGGCTTGACAGGATGGATTTGTGTGTTGGGGTGGCTGACTCGATGACCCCCTTGGCGGGTGATGACTTGCATGATCGGGTACTTGCCCCTCCAAAACCCTCGTAAAGCCATCGAGGCTATGCCATTTTCTATTCCTCTCTTCTATTTCTGGTTTTAGGGTGAGAAATGAAGGAGAGAAAATAGTGTGCAAGGTAGAAAATGCTAAGCGGCGAGGGAGCAATTCATGAAGAGGCAGCCAACTATGCTCATGGCTCCGAGTGTACCTCGGTACGTCGCAGAACATCACTCCACGGAGAATATGAGCTAGAGATCTCAGAAAAGTATCGACTATGGGTTACTTCCCCTGTAGATGTCGAGGGCGACAGACTGGTCGCCTTCTGGCGGCGCGACGAAGTCGCCATCAAAGATCGTCGGCCTAAGCTCACCCACAACCGCTTGTTAGAAAAGCTCGCCGGCCACATCCTCTTTCCCCAAAGGGGATGATCTCAAAAAAGAAATTGATGGAATGAGGATATATGTAACTAGGGAAACATACAAATCATAACTGGGATAGATTGCGCCCTCAGGAAGCCCCAAGCTAGGCGGGATCGGATGGAAAACATCACCCCAGTACCGCTTCCACACGCGCAGGTTGGGAAGAAACTTGAAGTCGTCGAGGAGGCCGGACCAATTATGGTCGCTTGGCATGTTTAGCCCGCGGGACCACGAGTTCTTGTCCCGGGACAGCGGCGTGCTGATGGTGATGGTGAGGGACAGGCCCCGGAGGTCCCGCGCCATGGGATAGACGACCTTGACGAGAAAAGTCGCGTGATCCAGGCTCATCATGCGGTCCCACCGCAGGTAGCTCCGCGGTTCGACGTAAGAATCCCGCCGGCGCGCGTCCACGTAAATGTTGACCTCTTTACAGCCCGTCATCTCGGAAAGGTGGAGCCAGTGGAAGTCGTTGCCCCAGTGCTTCTCCCGATAGAGCCCGAAGCAGGATAGGAGAGTGGGGAAGTTGAGCGGGAGGGAGATGTCGAGCCAGCGTATGCGCGGCACATACGGCTTGGTTGCCAGTATGACGCGGTCAAAGCCTCCGCAGCCCCGAGAAACGCTTGAGGCTCGTTGTGTCGACGAAGACGAACCTCGTCATCTCGTACAGCGATTCAAAGCTTTCGAAGTGCCTTTATTCCGGGGAAAAAAGGAGAAGAAGAAGAAAATAAAAGAGTTAGCGGTGCCATTATAACTTGGAAAAGAAATCATTCCAAAGCCCTCTGAAAAAGAACATGGGTGCTCGTAACCGGGGGTCTGCTCGGTGCCCTACATCGCCTTACACGTCAAGAGCACGGGAAGGTAGCTCTTGGGCTGGTACTCCCCGCCAAGCTCGCACGGGCAGTGGAATCTCGTCAGCCTTTCGCCACTCGCTTCATATCGATCGGCCGGTAGGCCAGCCCGTTCAAGGCGGCCAAAAGCGCCTCCTCGCATCGCCAGTGATTGAGCCACTGCGAGTGAAGCCGGGCGTGCCAGAGGGGGCTCACGGGTAACCCTCGCCAGTGTTCACCTTGGGCTCGAGCCCTTTCAAACTCGTCCTGGGCCTCGTTCACCATACAAAACTCGGTCGTGCAAGGCCAAAAGCAAAAGCCCGGCTTTCCCGAGCCCCCTTGTCTCGGTGCCAAAAGACATGCTGCGCTAGGCCCTCGCTCCTCCACAGCTCCGGGTATATAGCGTCCCGGACCTCCCGGGGAACTTGGAGAAAAACGGAGACTGGGTTTGCTGGTCTTGGATGTGGAGACCGTCGGCGAACGGCCGCGGCTCGCTCCGCCCGTGCCTGTGAGTGCCTGCAGCAGACATCTCGGGAGGTTTCATCCAGCCCCAAGCGTTGGCTCGTCTCAGAGGGCAGGCAAGAGAGGAAGAAAAACAATGGGGGAGAGAGAGGTAGATGGGTCGTGGGAGGGACCAGGTAGCGCGCGGCGGCCGAAGAGGGGTATTGTCCTGCATGCATCTCCCCTTTGATGCTCCGAGTGGCGGCTTTTTTCGATTATCAGGAACTCAATCTGATCAAAGTATTGGCTATCTCAGGTCGTACACTGAGCAATGTCTAAGCCATGGATTAGCCGTTGTCAGCATTTTGGCGTTCTGCACGACCAGCTCAGTCCCGTACAAGTCCGATGCATGAAAGCATCCATGTTGGCAAGCATGCTGCTCGGCTCGGAGAAAACGTTGTTCGAATAACGGGGTACCTGGGGAAAGTCGACGCGATGTAGAAAGCGGAATTTCCTCCAACACGAGATCTGGAGAGGTGCGGGGCACATTCACAAAAGTGTCGATCGGGGTCCGTCAAGAGGATGATGATTGGATATAGATATGGCACTAAAGCGAACGAGTGGTATCGGTTGCTCTGAGCCGCGTTCGCGGGTTGCCATCGCCACCCTAACCCTAACACAACCCTAAAGAGTCCCAAGGGGTGGCCATGAGCTGACTAGTGCGCATGATATCGGACGACAGCAAGCGCGGGGCTGCGATGGCGTCTTGGGTATTAAAGGGCCGGTGGATGGCTTCAGCGAGTTCTGTGATACTCTTTTCTCCTTATCCTGCTTTCTTCCTGGTTCTTCTCAGTCACCTTCAGTATAGGTTTCCCAGGCCAATATTTGATGAGCCGTTCCCGGCTTGAAGTTACGACGAGACAGAGATTTGGGGAGCTCCATGGTTTTAAGTTGGATACTGGATGAGTTTAGTTGTCTAGGCGCGCCTCGGAGGACACTATTTCCAGAGCACCATTTTGATATTCATTCACGGCACCTCGAATGGAAGGATATTGAAGATTAGTAAGAAGTTGAAAACTATAAGAAACGAAAGGCGAGGTACATTGGTCAAGAACATAAGGGGACATTGATGACAATAGAAAAGAAAAGCTTATACAGAAGAAAATCCGTCCCCCAAGAAACAACTGCATGAAACCAAACTCCTCGACTTAGTGGAAGTCACCAAGTCTCGGTCCGAAATATTCTTCAGGGTCGGTAAGCTCCAGAAGAGTGCAGCTACCCTCGCAGCCTTCAAAGGCGCCATCATTACCCCACCAATGGACCTCCTTGCCCCAGATTTGGAGCGCGAAAAAGATAACGATACCTGAGATGGCAACGGCGCACGAGAAAGCAGCTGAGGTGACGAAGTTGTACTGTGAGAGGGAAAAACAAAGAGAGTTAGCAACACTCACGCATCTACTGGGTACCCGAGCTAGGGAAAGAGAAAGGGAACTCACCTTGGACCAGAAGTCTAGGTACCTCTTCTTGAGGAAGAGCCACGAGAAGGCGGCGACAGGAACGGCAGGCCAGATGTAGGCCAGGGTATAAGGAGACCAGCTGAGGGCGCCGTTGAACATGACAACAGGATGGGCGTTACGGATGATGGCGTTCTTAGGCCACTTGAGGCTGAGTACGTAGAAGATGGCCACAACAAGGACGCCCGCAGGGAATCCGATGAGAGTGACGGCGTACTGGCCACCGACACCCCAAATCTTCCTCGGTCCGACCGTGCCCCAGAAGACGGCAGCGGTGAAGAAAGTGTTGACACCCGGGCAGGTAAATCGGAAGGGAGCATCTTCGGTGCAGATATCCTTGATGTGGACCTGGTACTGGAGAACGGCGATGCTGATAAAAGTCGACACTAGCGTGGGTACCATCTGGGCCCAGAAAGTGAAGCGAGGGGCAATTTTGATGTAGTGCGCAAGCTTGAGGTCCTGGCTAAAGAGAGAGCGTGAGCCGCCGTGACATAGCCATAAGACTTGAAGAAGCACATGGCGATGGCGTTTCCTTCGACCCAAACACCACCGATGAATTCGGCGAGCACGTTCAGGGTAACTTCAATGCCAGTCATGGCCTTGATGATACCAATGGGAACAACAAAGATGAGACAGAGGAAGACACCATAGAAAACAACAGCGGGGTTGTGCTAGTCGGGTAGGCGGCAATACCAGCGATACCGAGGCCAAGCGCGATGGCAAGGCAAATCATGTACCACCATTCTGGGACCTCCTTATAAGATGCCATAAGACGATTGTGCACATCAAGGGCATTTCGGTCGGCCTGCTCTTGGCTTTGTTCTTGGTTATCTCTCCTCTTGCTCCTCTTCGTCTTGATGGCGGTCCAGGCATCGCGGAGGCCAAGCATGATCTCGTGTCTATGATAGAGGATACCATAGGTGACAGTTGACGAATAGACGGCAAAGAAGAACATGTATACAACAGCGTTACCGGCCGAGAGGAAGGGCGGTGAATAAGCCTCGTACTTGGCGCCGTCAAAGATACCGCTCTCATCGATGATGGAGGCAACCTTGTACCTCTTGCCGAAATGGTCAAAGGTGCGGTTCGAATTGATGGGAAGGTAGGCCGTGTTCCAGGTGTTGGTATAGTAGATGGCGATGATGATGAACATGGAAAAGAATGCGCCGAGGAAGACGTTAAACGTCGAGTAAAACGGAACCATGAGGGGGTCAATGACGTAGGTGATGATGTTCCAGTCGAAAGAGGGGATAGGGTTGAGGCCTAGGCCGGAGTAGCTGCCCGTGATCCGTCCGAGATGGCCGTTTTGGGAGCAATCCACGCCATCCAACTGAAGTAGCTGAGCGCGGCGAAAAGGTAGTTGGGCAGCCAGAAGTAGAAGAACATCAGAGTGAAGCCCCACAGGAAGAATTTAATGCGCGACATTTTCCATATCGACTTGAGAGGGCCGAGAACCTGGGCGCTCTCCCGATCGGTGTCATGGAACGCAGAGTTCAAGGCAATGGTCACCAGTGAGGAGGGCCAGACACAGTAGGCTGGGTAGACGAGGAATCGGCGGCAAATGCCGGCGAGACCGTAACCGATGAAGTTGGTAGACAAAGCGATGAGTGTCTGATATCCGACGCTGATGGCCCAAGGCTGGTTGAAATATTGAGGAAGGACCTGGATCCAGACAATGTAGTTGGTGTAAGGTGTACTCTTTGCAACATTGCTCATGATGGTGATGAGCATGTGCTCCTTTTATTGAACGGACCGGGGTTAAGGCTGTGGTAAACACCAAACAGGGTGAAACCCACGTCCGGCAATACCCTTTCGAAGAATCGACCGACGGGATACGCCAAAAGCTGAGGCACGGTCTGGATGACATAGATGCTGGGCAAGCGGACGTCGAAGAAGGAGTTGATAAAGGAGATGCAGCAAGCAAAGAAGATGCCGATGACCCAAGCGCGGATCGTAGAGGTCGGCATGGCAGGGTCATCGCGGTTATCGACGACGGCGCGCACCTCGGCATAAGGAGAGTTGCTAGTAATGAGAGCGGCCTCAATCTTCATCTCTTGGATGAGGCGCTCGTGTTTTTCGGGGTTTTCGAACACATCGTCGTTTCCTGTGAAATCAAATATTTGTGTTGGTAACTTTGTTTAAAGCCAAATGATAGTAGCGGATGGGGGTGGTGGAACTGACCGATGAATTGTTCGATTCTGTCAATGATCGAAATAGGGAAGTTGGGGTCCCTCGCGTGTTGGATATGGACTTGTTTCATCAGCTAGTCAGAAAGGAGGTGTAAGTCAAGATGTCATGCAGTGATCGCGAGGCTAGCGCCCCTGCTTGGTTTCTTTTGTCTCAACGAATGATAGAATTGGCTCAGGCCAAAACGAAGAAGGGAGGAAGCCCCGGGGCATTGTAATTTTCTTGGTCAGTACATACGCGTCGGGTATCCTCGAGGGTGAAGGAAGAGGCGAGAGCTTTCGCCTCGAGAAGGTCGTCCTCGGTGACGTTGAGGACATGACCCTCGTCCTGAGTGGTGTCGGAAATATCATCGGCCAAGTGGGGATCGAGCTAGAGTCCAGCATAGGTTAGCCATTGACGTGCCGGCACCCAAGCTCGGAGCAGGGATGCAACTCACCGGCCGCTTCTCATTCAGGTCCCCAAGCGGCGAGCCCAGCGGAGGGCTCGCCGCCTGAGGGGTGTCGTTGATTTCTTTGGACGCCATGGCGTTCCTCAAACGCGAAGTCAAGGATGACGTATACGAGAAAGATCTCGAGTGATAATAGAAAGAATAGAGGTGGCGCTAGACTTTACATGGGCGTGTCTGACATTGCTCACGGGGCGAGTGAACAATGGGTATAGCTGCAAGGGAGAGTGGAGGAACTGGGAGAGCTCGAGGGATAACCGGTAATAAGGAAAGACGGGGCCACGGGCGGGATTATGAATAAACGCAAGAACAGGCGAGGGCGCAATTGTGTAGGAGCTCTATAAAAGGGATTCCTCGCTAGACATATAAACCCCAGGGAAGAGGAGGAAGGGGGGAGACAACGACTTTGAGGATCATCGGGTGCTCGAGGTCCCGGAAATGTGGGAAAAGATAACGGAAGCAATATGTCGAGATACTTAATGACAGGTGAAAAGGGCCGGTCTCACTCTCCGCTTGTAGAAGGTGCATTGTACCATTCGGCGATTGCATCACTTTGATCGTTTTGCCCGCATCCGACTTGTAGATTGGGGCATACAGAGTCATACCTTCTTGTTCCCTCGTCTCCATTCCGCTCTCTTCTTTCCTATTTCGCACTCTCCTCCTAACTCCAACGCTCTGTTTTCCCACACCCCCTTCACCCCGGACCTTTGCTGCTTCTTCATTTTTCTTCTTCTTCCTTTCCTCCTGCTCTTGCTCTGTCTCTCTCTCTCTCTCTCTCTCTCTCTCTCTCTCTGTTCATTTTCTCCCTCGTTTTAGGTTGGGGTGCAACGTGTGCTCTTTGCCCGTATTCAGGATCAGTAGATGGCCACAACGTCCAACGGATCCTACTGTGCGAGTCCCCCTCTCTTCCCCTAGCCCCGGATCTCGATCTAAGCCTAAGGTATACCGCGGAAAAAGATCCGGCGAGGTCATTTCGGGGTGGATGTAGGATTGATGGAAGAGGGGACAAACTCTCGGGATAGAGAGGGGTGAATTCTGAGAAGGGAAGGTTTGGCTAAGGCACCTTCCTGAGCAATATAGGCGTGTTGAAACATTAGGAGGGGGAATTCAGGTTCAAGTCGCATTGGCAACCCGAAGAATAAAGCATGTGCATTCCATGTTGTGTCGTGTGAGGTATAGGGGACCTTGTCATTTGCAAAGGTCTGGCGCCGAGATCAGATGTAGCACTAGGTCCGGTACTATTGTTTCCATGTCGAGACGTGGGAAAAAGGGAGGGGTGGGAGGTGTTCAAGACCAAGGGTCAGGGCTCTGGGGTAGTGCACCCTCGATCCCGCATCGTCAACTCCGACATGCATGTGGGACAGACAGTAGAATACGGTGGAGAAAGAACTTTGCTGGCGTGACGGGAACGAGAGAGGGGACTCAAATCAATGCGAGTCCATGCCCAGGGCCGCGAAGGTTACTTGCTTGGGGAAATGGCGCGGGACCATTGGTTTTTCTTCTCTCTTTCTTTTCTCCCCCTTTCCTTTCCGAGACAACAGGGACGATGAAGGCTACGATATCAACTAAACAAAACCTCTAGATTTCGAGGTCGCTAGCCTTATCATCCCCTTGGCGTCCCCATGGAAATAATCAAGGGGTTCTTCGGCCGCACGAAGCAGAACCGTGCCGCTCAGGTGCCGGGACGGTACACCCTTGGGGGCACATGTCCCCAAGCTTCTTACGTTTCGAGAAAGCAAAGAGCCGATTCGCCTGGGGGCATGGGCTTGATAAGGCGAGCACGCATCTGGAAAGTTTCTAGCGGGCGACTGATTCGCTGGAGGATGGCGGGAGCGATGCGCTAGTGAAGTGGCCGTCAAATGCCATTTCTCAATTGCACGCTTGGCTGGCCGGACTTTAGGGAGGGGGAAGAGACGGAGAGTTCAGCCGGCACTAAAAACGCTCTTTGAGCCGGCAGATGTTCTTTGACACCCCTGGACCAGCAGATCAAAAGGAAGAAATCGCAACTCCTTGCAGACAGCCACAATCTCTGGCTGGCTGGCCAAGGTGGCCAGAACATGGAGGGCCGGTTGGGTAAATTAATTTGGGGACTGCGAATTGGCTGGGCCATTGGTCGATCTGCCCTAAGCAAGGCCGTTTGTGTTTGAGCTAAAATGGAAGCTCCAAACATCCTTTCCACAACCCCTCCCGCCCACCTCTTGGCTATCAAGATGCCAGAGTTGGTCATTACTTGGCGTTGATTGGATCATGGATCAAGGTTCTCCCTCCATGAGACAGGAGTGTTCTGAGAAGGGGAGGGAGAGGGAAAAGAGAGGGAGAGTGGGGGACAGGAACTTGGCTTCGGGCATTGACGATCGATAGGTACACGGTGGATTGGCGCACAAAAGATGCGATCCTACAGTCTTGAAACCGCTCAGCATTGTGCTGATAGAGAATCATCGCGGCTGGCTCGTCCGGTGTTGGCACGCGGTGGATGGGCGAGAGCCCCCGATGGCGATCACGTCTGGGCGATCACGTCTGGATTATGCTCCACCGACGAGCCTAAGTTGTCGAGATCATGTTCGGGGTGCATCGAATCAAATCACTTGATACCATCACATTTTGGCTCGGTCAAGTTGCCCCAAAGATGATGGAATTGAATGACCCAACGCGAACTCTGACATGCTATGGGGGCGAAGAGTGAGGAACAAACCCCCATCTAGAGCATGCACCGTCCGTACCGGTACGGGCTTACTATCTTAGCCGCCCAGCCTAGTAATCTCGGGGTATATCTAAGTGCAGGTGCTTTAGATGAAGGATCCCCAGCTGAGGCGCGCGCGGTGCGTATCCTGCAGCCAAAAGGTCAAAATCACAAAAAGATGGACAAGTTCCGCGTCGTCAGCGCTGCCCCCCATTCAATCGAACCCGCCGAGCTGTGGCGTTTTGTGGCAGAAGTTCCCCGTTTCAACCGCGAGGAGCAAGGGTAACAAGCGATCGCGGCGGAAGTGGAGGGCGACTATACTAAATAAAGAAAGTAGCTTTCGCCCTTGACTTATCCTTTTGGCTGAAGGAAGAGACTTTTGGGACTGGTTAGATACCACCATGGCCCATTCTTGCTCGTGCGAGTGTCCCTTTGATCTGTCCCTTTGATCTGTCCCTTTGATCTCGGGAGGTGTAGAGACGAGAAGGGGGTGGTTAGTTATCAGATGATGCAAGGTCCTTCTGTTTGCTGCTTCCAATGGTCCCTCTGTCGCCATGGACCCAATTGTCGTGTGCACATGTAGTCCGAAAAAGAGTGAGCGGACTGTGACCCGGAATCCCCAGGATGGAGTGCATCGCCGGTTTGATCACAACAATTGGCGAGCCCTTGGGTGGCGAGCGCCAAGTTGGCCAAGCCAGATCAATCGTTCGTATAATACTTCTACTTGTGGCATCGAACGGATTAAACGCGGGGGCCAACGGGGCCCGGGGCAAACACTTCAGGATGGTAAGGGCTTTTTGATCCTTCCCGCCAAAAGTCCATAGGCGCTTTCTCGCGGGCGATAGGCCATCCAAAAGGACATGAGTGAGAGGGGCTCTTGTCCCAAATTGTGCGATGACCGACGGGATTGTCGGGTCATGCTCCTGCCCGGTCCAATCGTCTCCCACACCATCCTCCCCCAGAATCTCGATTGCCCGAGGGGGCGTCCTCCACATTTTTTTGCAAAAGGATATCAAACTACCACCTGAATTTACATCACCAATGCGGTGATTGTGTTTCGGTTCGTCATTGGACGCTGGAGTGACACAGCAAATGCCTTTTTTGTTTTTTTTTCCGTTCATCTACGGCACCCGCTTCTTTTCAACGGGGCCAGCAATGGTCGCGAGCTGCCACACTGGCGCTGATGTCCTCGCTCCGAGCATCTATTGCGTGATCCGCCTAGCAATTAACCCGAAGGCGATTTGGTGGCAAGTGCTCGACAGCAGAGGGCGGTAATTTATTTTCCGTGGAGCGGCCCGGGAGTTTCGCCCAGCCATCGCCAAAACGCCGAGGTCGATTGAATCGGTGTTGGGGGGCCGCTCTCTAAACTAAAGTCCGTCCCCTCCCTTTTTGTCTTATCGTGGCAGCTATTAACGACAGGGCCAAGACGGTGCAGCCACCTAAAGGCCACATGATGCGACGCCGTCAACAAAGGAAAAAGGAACTTAGTTTGGATGCTACGGACGACGATGCTTTTTTCCGTCCAGGTAGGCCCAGGGGATGAACAGGCGGCCTATCGTCACTGTCTTCTCGATCTAGTTGCAGCCAAAACAATCAGTATTTGCACCTTGGCACGAGGCCCTGGCCGGTGTGTTGGAAGCCAAGACGGCTCTCGTGCTGTGTGTGTGTGTATTCCCTCCTCCACGGCCACCGTCAATTTGGCATGAAGCCACCCAACGACAGGGCCGCTTCCCGTCCCTTCAAGTGAAGGGAGGTGGAGTCGGCACGGTCAAGCCAAACCTCTTCTGGCAGGTAGCACTGAAGCCACCAACAAAGGAGGGCACGAAATCGAGCCACTCAGAGAAGTCCTGCCTGCCCGAAATAGCAATGTAGGGAAGCGATAGTGGAAAAACGAGCTAGAATCGGTGCATGACTTTAGCGTCGATGGTGAACGGGCTGCTGGAGATGCATTTGAGCTGCGATGATGTAACGTCAACCGAGAGGATATCGCCCTCCACTACACCTTCCGTCTTTGGGGAGCTGGACTTTTGGCAGCGACAGCCACAAAGTTCCTCTTGGCCTTCCCAAACAGAGCCAACAGATCGGCTCCACCCTCTTTTACCTCGGCGGCCCTCCTCTCCGCGCCGACGCCACCTCGGCCGAGTCCCTACCAACTGCTTTCTCGACATCCGACGCCCAACTGCGACCCGGATATCACCCAACGACTTGTCTCTCGGGACGTTGGAAGACGAACAGTTCACTGGGGGATGAGATAGTTTGGCCAATAGAGGGATGGGGACAGACTACACGGGGCGTGTTTGTTGGGGCTATCGTGAGCTCCAGGATCTAGAGTCTAGGCTGGATGGCCCGGTTTGAGAAAGTAATAGGGGCCGGCGCATAGATTTATTGTGACTAGCAATTGTTTAAAGCCCGCTTAGGGATTGGATTTAAGGTCGCCAAGCCTGAGGGGAAATGTTAAAAACGACTGCATGGCCCATGGCGCAGACAAGCGCGAGGTTCACGCCCAGTCTTTCGTCTAGTAGATCAACTGCCTCCCGGGATCCTGGACGCTGTAGCCTTTGGCATCCTTTGGCATCCAGCTTGACAGGAACCCCCGATCATGTCCTGATTGGGATGGGTGACGGCGCGAGAGTGTGGAGAGACAATATGCGCTGACGGGCCAATGTGCTACCTCCAGGGTCTCGGGTCACCCACAGCTCGCTCCTGGACAAAAGTTCCACCGGAAGCAGGACCTCGCAGAGCGTCCAGCAAAGAGTCCTTTAGGAGGCCACACAGAATACGAATGGAACAGATGCCGTGTTCCGCAGAATCCCAGGCTACGTCCCCCCACCTTCAAGCCCTATCTTCCCCTATCTGAGAAGGAAAATCCCGCTTCAGAGATCGACCTGTATCGCATGCCGGTATCCATACTACCACAGGCCACGCATCGCCTCGTGTTACCGAAACCCAAGGGTTCTTTTTGCTAGCATCCTTCCCCGAGCTGATGTGAGGATCCTACGAGAGTAAAGCGACCAAGGACGGCCAGTCCTACAATATGTAGAACTACATCCTGCACACGCTTCCCTGATTCCATTCCTCCAAGAAGCGAGGAGATATCCGCGGCAGCACGCCATGCTGCGTGAGTCTTTTGGAATTATTTTCCACGTGTGACGTTCGCTTTAGAGTTGGTTATCCCGTGCTTGGATTGATGTGGAGCCGTGGCGGGTTCTTCCGTCGCTAAACTCTGCCTCCGATTTCACATCCAAGACATGAAAGCCAAGTCCCTTTCGATAGAGAGAGAGAGAGAGAGAGAGAGAGAGAGAGAGAGACTTAAGGGTAATTCCTGTTGTCTTCCACGTGGCTAGCCATGGACGCCATGGACGCCGGTAGGTCAGAGAGGGTGTTCGCAAACGGCTGTCTCTTCCTCTAGAAGTTTGTCAACCTAACAGGTGTGAGCTCGCAATAGCGCTACCAAGCCACTGTCTGAAGCTACGAGTACGAGGTCGTTTAAGAGAGACAAGCACACCTGGTGAAAATGAACTTCATTATCAGTGGGAGCACCGCTGCCATAATGCATGGGAATTGACCGTGGCGTCTCGTTCTCAAAGATCTATCACAGCCTGGCACCGATTTCGAAGCAGTCCTATGCCCATCTGAGGGGCTACCAAGTGGTTGGCCTACTGATAAGGATATGCTCTGTGGAAGGTGTGAAGGATCCAAGCGATGGCAGCGATCCCAAGCGTCAGTGACACTATCGTGTAAGTCGGCCATGAAGCAGTTCCATCTTATATTCTATTTCTTCTTGTGGACAGGTGCCGAGGATTGTTGCCGTTGGGACTGGTGTCGAGTGCATAACCGCAATGATCCATATTTGGGATCAACGCTCAGTCCGTCCTTGTTCTACCGATGTCAAGGATGACGATGCAATCTCCAGTGCCCATTTCAATAGCCTATCCTTGCGATGAAAGGAACCATACCCACGGGCCTTGGAGTACCAGTCCTAGGATTAACTCAGGAGTCGCCCCTTTCGTAGTCAAAATTTCAAGAATCGTAGCGAGGCTGCGGTTGAGCGTGGCGCCTCGCCCTGGGGACTAGAGTTCGAAGTCTCCTTCGTCTAGCATTCGATTAGCTGACAGTAGCATAGGTAAGAGAAGAGAATTTCCAACTGACAGATGAAGACGTCTGGCTCTAAACCAGGACCATTCAGCTCGAGACCTTGAACATGGACACCGTCCGACATGAGGGATTTCATGTATTTCAGGCCGTCTGGTTGGGAAATCGAACACCCTGGAGCTGTGCTATATACCCCTAGTGAGAGTGAAACTTGGAGATTGGGCTTCGAGGGATGCGAAAATGGTATTGCCAGTAGTAGCGCCCTCAAGACCTATCCCCGGCAGGGGTTCAAGCGGAAAGAAGAAGGCGGCAGCTTCGCCGTCGAGCTAACGGATATATCGGACCCTTCACTTCAGAACAAGAAGAAAGGATGAAGACAGAATCCATCGAAACCCGAACTAAAGGCCTATGGACCCTCAGCCAGCATAAATCAGAATCCCTGGTCCTTGTGCTGATATAAAAGCTCTGGAGCGATGATCGTACTAAAAGGTCCACCAAGCATAAGAAGATCGGGTGGCCTTTCGGTGTCATGTGCTCGCCGTGTCCACGGTTCGCGGCAGCCGTACCTCCTCTGTGGCAAGTGTCCTCCGGGGCGCTGTACACCGCGGGATGTAGCTAGGACAGCAGTCAACATTATCATGGTGGAGTACAGGAAGACAAAGGACCAAGGTCGGTGACAGTAGACCCTGGTCTGGGCATCATAGAGCCGCCATTTGCGGGTCTACTAAGCTTCCTCTACTGCTCTTAGGGGAAGGACCAAACACGAGATAGGAAGAACAGCTAGCAGCTTCAACGATTTGTCGACAGCGGTGCGCCTTGCTGCCCCATACCTTGGTCTCTGCAAATCTTTCATGGTTCGTTCTCGCCATGCTTTCGTTTAGGAGGCAAGGACTCTTGAACTCTCAATTCCCAAAGTTTCCACGGATAACAAAGGCACTCACGGGAGAGGTTCCCTCGCTAATCCGGTGCTCAGATCTCATACAGGGGGATCATAGCCACCCCGCAAATATGAGGGAAGATGGGGCGACGGTGATGCGCTCTCCTCTAGCTCTCATCAAACTATAGGCCCAGGGGGCCAGCTAACCTGCAAATCAAATAAGGCCATCCCGGGTGCTCGAGCTGCGATGGGCCGCCCCAAAGGCGATGGGCCAAGGAAGGGGGGGGGACCGCGTGGCTCGAGCTGGGAAACCATACGGTTAGAGGGCGAGATAGGATGCCGCGGGTCCGTTTGGGTGAGGATGAAATCTGGACAGCGCATCCCGCGAGAGCAGAGGGCAGCTGGGTCCGTTTTCTCAACCAAGTTTCAGCCATCACGAGGATGATGAGAGGAAGGCGGTGCATCAACAGAAGCAATTATGGGCCAAAGGGCTCAGAGCTCAGATCGGATGGCCAAAAATAGGACTGCTCCGTAACCCCCTTTGCCCCCTTCGATCCACATTCTTTGGGGGACCAAAGAATCCAAGGCGAGGAGGTAGGGGCTCGTCCAGACATTTGCGCCTTTGCCCTTGCACGCGCGTGACGTTGTTCTACAGGGGCTGGAGGAGCTCGAGGTCATGAGCAGCGGAGGCAGGGCAGACGGACTGCTAGACAGAGAGCGAGGACACAAGGAGAAGAAAAAAACAGGCGAGGGAGACGGGGCAACGGTCAAAGAGAGACGGGATGCTCTGTAGCAGAGCGGCGGCATATGCGCGGTTTGTGGCAGACTGGTGGAGTCGGTCGGCGATCTTGGGGCACGGGGCGGGCCAGAATTGGGAGAGAGACAAGGAGTGGGCGTCGAGCCGAGTTGGCGTGGCCAGGGAGGTAGAGCCGAGCGTTGGTTTCGGCTTGCCCTGCCTTGGACCGGCTCAAGGCGTTCAATGTTGCGTCGACCAGCGAGAAACGAAAGCCCCCGATGAATAGATTGAGCAATCGCCAGCCTCGACCGTAACTTCTAAAAGAAAAAGGCAAGACAAGACAAAGATTCAATCAATCACAATCGTTTTGTTCTTCCTTGATGGGTTATTTTGCCTATTTTGCCCTACATGATTGTAGAAGCAGTTTTCTATCGTGGGCACAGTCGGCCAAAGCGAGGGCAGGCTAGGCTAGGCATGAACTGAAGCTCTTAGCGGGCAGGATCGGCGGGGCTGTCAAGAGGAGTTTTGGTGGGCATGATCATGACAGCGAACTTCGTCTCATGTCAGGGCGATCGCACCGATCCAGCATCATGCCTCCGACCCAGGTTTCGGAGAAAGCGAAAGGACGAAAAAGAGAGGGCAGAGAGGAACCTGCACGGATCAATTCTTTCCTTCACTGCTCCCCTGATCACCACGTCGCAAAACCTCGCCAGACGAAATGTCGCTCATATTATTAAATGGAGCTTGTTAAGTTGGAGAGGGTGATTATATATTCGCGAGGCCTCGACATTGGATGGTGATATTTTTCCTCCTTCGATCTTCATCCCATTCTTCAACTTCCAAGTTCTGTGAACTCTTTTTTCAACTTTTCAACTATACTTTAATTTTTCGAAAGCCGGGCTTTCTTTTTCGATTCTCAATCCTTTTCAAACAAAGAAAAAACCAACCCACCCACAATATCCAAGATGCAGCTCTCCATCGTCCTCGCTCTCCTCCCTCTCGCCCTCGCCGGCGTTGTCCCCGCCAGAACGGCGGCGCCGACTTCGGCACCTGCAACCCCAGCATCGACTTCCAGCTCGGTCGCGGCAACCGCAAGCCCGACGAGGGCACTTTCCTCCCCAGCGACGCCGTCGTCGCGCAGGGCCAGCAGGATGCGCTGAACCCCAACATCATCACCAACCGCGTGTGCGACCAGCTCACCAACGTCTGCAACGCCAACCAGGCCGCCAAGGACCTCTGCGAGCAGGCCAAGGCCCAGGTCGAGGCTGCCGGTACCCGGGATGCCTCCACCGCGCAGCTTTTCAACTCTGTGCTCGGCTTCTAAGCGATGGACGGGTTGAAAAATGAAGAGAGAAAGGGGGAGGGACACGAGAGGATGGGACCTTTGGGGAGGAAAGGGAAGGGGTTGAGGGGATATGAAAAAGCCTCTAATGAGGTGGAAGTTGAATAAAAACAAACCAATTCTTTCGCGCGAAAGCGCCTGTCACTTTTATGACAACCTAATCATTTTTCTTTCAAGATGCTTTTTTGTGCAATTCGTGTGGTGTGGTTACAAGTGCTCAGTTGCAGTCGCTAGTGATTCGCATCATTCATGTGGTCCGTCCTACTTACACAGGCCCTCGACAGCTGAGATCTTTTTCTCAAGTAAAAGAAAGGAAAAAGAAGAGTACGTAAGATGGTAGTGGGAGCGGGTTAGGTGGTGGTTCAACGATGACGGGGGCCGGACTCTCGCGGTCCGTCAAACCCCTGAGCATGCCCGTCTTATACCGGGCTAGATTTCATTCGACGGCATCACCAATGATGGGATATCCCGGCCGACATAAATGATACTTTTGGTTGTCATCACTTTTTCCAAGTCTTTACATGTACTCACTAATTCAGTCATAGTGTGTCTGGGTGACGGTTGAAATGGAGGCCGTAGAGGTGAGGTGAGTGTGTGGTCAATGTTTGTGTCTTGCAGTGACCCTTGCAAGTATTGAAAGGTTCTTACAGCTCCTCGTCTTCTAGTTGCCCCGTTCCAAACCCAGCAATCCGCCGTGTTTGTATTTACAATTGGGAGAGAGCTGGACAGGCCGGGCTGGCCGGGCTGGCAGAAGGAATATCAAGACATCGGCGCCGACGTGGCCGAGGGCGAGTGTGTGCTCCCACTGTGATGCGATGCTGGGCCCGGGGTGGGGTGGTATCATCAATCAAGACACATGCAGGCCAATTCATGTGACGTGCAGAAATTAACCTTTCGCTCGTCGAGATGACTTCCAAAAAGGTTTTCGGTCGCAAAGGGGTAACTGGTCCGATGGCCAAAAAAATGGGTGAAAATGGGAAACTAAACAAGCTGGGGCAAAGAAGAAAAATTCGCCTAATCAACTGCTTCTTCTTTTTACAAATCCCTTGATCCCCGCTGAACTCTTCACTGCTGCGGACGTTCCGAAAGAGGAGCAGAGCCTTGATATTGATACGATGCGAGACGAGCTTTCTCCGCGCACGACACAGGCGAGGCAATTCTAGACAACCGTCTGCCTCAGAGAATGAAGAGGGGAATGGCTACCGCGTCCCGGTGTATAGGTTGGTTGGCGAATAGTAGAGGGCGAACATTAGCCAGCCCGGGCAAAGGAGGAAAACCGCAGCAATGGGTTTCGCATCTGTGGTGAATGGCGGACGACGCCGACCCGCTCAAGCTATGGGCGCTATTTTATCGCCCCATGGGAGAGAGCGTCAGAGTTAGAGGGCTTCGATGGGTCGATGGCCGGAGCGGCGGTGGAGACCCACTACGAAGCGGGCTCCTCCGGGAAACCTGGGGACGACCCTGATTCGTGGATTTCGAACTCGTCTCTTGGGTTGAGCTTGACAGAGCATTGGGATTTATTCGGACCATCCAGCAAAATGTTGATTTTCCATTGGTCATGTGCAAGGAGAACATTGAAGGCTCAGTGTGCCGGCTCAGGGGACACATCGAAGTACCTGATGGTAACTTTCAGAAATTGTTAGTCCGCCTCCAGAACTCCCAGAATCCCTCCATCTCCAGTGCGCCTGCCTGGCGTTTCATTCTCTTAGTCGATGTACCTGTGTAGTACCGTACCGCTACGAACCACGAGGACCGTCCATCAGATGAGCCTTCCCGGTGCTTCCAGGCGAGGAATATTCTTCACTCGCCAAAATTTCTGCCAATAAGCACCCAGTTCCTGGCAACGACGAAGCTAGGCTCTTCCAGTCCTGCGCCAAGCATCAGATCATCTCTGGCCCTTTTCCGCCGCCCGCCTCCTCGCTACTGCTAGTCGGTCCTCGCCATGGCAAACTCGAGAGGCAAGCAAGGAAAATACATGCCATCCCGCCTGTCTCCGAAAGATGTAATTTTCTCGTACCCCTCGCGTCAACGCCGGTGTCAAGAAACCCAGGAGAGGGAACGATCTTGTCGCTCAGAGGAGAGATTTCTGAGGTGCTTCGATGCTGCGATGGTCCCCCGAACCTTGGCAGGGAGCCTAGGGATTGCCGTTGGAAATCTTGAATATCCTTGGGGAAGACCTAATCTGCACGTCTGTGATGATACGCATATACGTCAAACCAACGAGGGCGGTTGGGGCCTGCCTGCCCGGATCGGGGAGAGTGAACGAAAGGGAGGACGCGGGCGAGGTCTGGACTACAGAGGATGGATCGGTCGATACCGCAGGGCAACGTGTGGAATACCATAGAATACGAGCACACGTCCCCACCACCATCCAAGCCCTTCTCTGTCTACTGCTTCCCCCGAAAAAGGCATCGGAGGGGCGGTCGGGGCCGTGTCCCTGCCCTACCCACCGCAGGCCACCGACGTGGCTTGGCAACGCTTTTGACACCAGTTTGGTTGACCAGGAATTTTTCAACCAAAGCCAAGACCCTATGTTTGAGCCCCGTTTGGGCACGAGGGTGCCGTGCAATACTACTCAAGTCAGCGGGAATCGGAGAGGCGGCAGCCCGAGCAGGGCGCTATTTGTCCTTTGCTCGCCCATCCACTCGTCGAACCGTTCCATTATTATTAGTTTTTCTAGGTGACTGATCCCTGCTTTCTCACTGCAATCCGAGGGCATAGTCCCCCATCAGGAGACGGCGCAGCTGGGTTTGCATCCCTCCATTGGCGGATGGCGGATGCAGAGAAGTAGTATAGAAAATCAAAGGGAAGAAAAGAGACATTGGTACACTGCAGGGCTGCTTGGAAATGCCACTTGCGTGTGCTCTAGATTGTCCCCTGATGGTATCATGGCACTATATAAGCTTCCAGGGGCGCGACTTTTAACTTTTCCTTCCATTCTCTATATCGTTCATCAACAGTCCTACAATTTCACATTGCAAACGCATTCCCATCGTATTAGCAGGCCTCCTTCCCCTTCACGCCACTAACACTGAGCGGCCTAGCAGCTAAGAGTTCATAGCACGCAAAACACACAGTTCGGAACTCGTAACTACAGATCACTTCAAAGTCCCCCTTATAAACCACCATTTTTTCCCATTCCCAAGCTTGAGTGCGCCACACGACCTTGTCCAGGTGAATCCGCCGAAGCAACTCCTGAGAACATGGACCTCGAAAATAACGCCTCCAATTCGAGTGCTGCAATACCGCAGACCGAAAAGACCGTCGACATTGACGCCAACCTTGGCGTGGAAGAGAAGAAGCAAGTCGTGAGTTCTCTCCCTCTCCCTCTCCCTCTCCTTCTCTCCCTCTTCCCATCGAACACCACCTTCATCACGCTCTCGTCCGTGAAAAGGAAACCCCGCGACAGATACTAACCTCGGGGCACAGTACCGAAAACTAGTCCGGAAACTGGACTACCATTTATTACCATGGCTCTGCATCCTCTACCTGCTTGCCTTCCTCGACCGTGCCAACATTGGTAATGCCAAAATCGCCGGTCTCACCCACGATCTAGGCTTGAGTGTGCCCCAGTTCAACGCCACCTTGACCATTTTCTACGTCTCGTACTCCGTATTTGAGCCCTTGACCAATGTCTTGCTCAAGAAGTTAAGACCCTCCGTCTTCATCCCCGTCCTCATGTAAGTGTATTATTCATTGGGCCTTTGTCCGGCGCTCTATCCCTTTATTGTTTCGTTTGTCTCTTCTCCTCAGGCTAACGCGTGCCCTTGCGGGTAATTTCTTAGGATTATCTGGGGTGCCGTCATGACCTCCATGGGCTTCGTAAAGAACTGGAGCGGCCTCATGGCCGCCCGCTGGTTCCTAGGCCTCGCCGAAGCCGGCCTGTTTCCCGGCATCAGCTTCTACCTTTCCTGCTGGTACAGGCGATCCGAGCTCGGCGTCCGCACCTCCATCTTCTTCTCCTCCGCCGCCATTTCCGGCTCCTTTGGCGGCCTCCTCGCCGCCGCCATCGAAAAGATGGACGGCATCGGCAACCTGGCGGGCTGGGCGTGGATCTTCATCCTCGAAGGCCTGCTGACCGTCATCTTTGGCGTCGCCTCCTTTTGGGCCGTGTACGACTTCCCCGACGGACCCAAGACGCGGTTCCTCAAGCCCGAGGAGAAGCAACGCGCCATCCTCCGCCTCAAGCAGGACAAGCAGGCTAGCGCCTCGTACGAAGCTTTCCAGATGCTGTACGTCTGGCAGGCGCTCAAGGACTGGAAGACGTGGCTGGGCATGATCATCTACAGCGGCGCCACCATGCCCCTGTACGCCTTTAGTATGTTTCTGCCCACCATCATCATGGACCTCGGTTGGAACACGGGTGTGGTCAAGTCGCAGCTGTACAGCGTGCCCCCTTATGTCCTGGCCGCCCTCTTCACCGTCGTCGTGGGGTACTTGGCGGACCGGGTGAACCGCCGAGGCATTTTCAACATACTCTCCTCCTTGCTCGCGGCCGTCGGCTTCGCCATGCAGCTGGGGACCAGGAGCCCCGCCGCCCGCTACACGGCCACTTTTCTCGGCGCGCTGGGCATCTACCCCTGCATCCCCAACACCATCTCCTGGGTGTCCAACAATACCGAGGGCGTCTACAAGCGCGGTGTCGTGCTGGGCTTCGTCATCGGCTGGGGTAACCTCAACGGCATCGTCAGCTCCAACATCTACTTCTCCAGCCCCAACTACGTCGAGGGCCACAGCATCGTGCTCGCTTACTTGTGCCTGTTCCTCTGCGTCGGTAGCGCCCTCATGATGGTGCTGCTGAAGCTGGAGAATAAGAAGAGGCTGGAAGGCAAGCGGGACGTCTGGGTCGAGGGGAAGACGGAAGCTGAGATTCATGCACTGGGCGACGAGCGGCCCGATTTCTTATACATTATTTAGGACGGCTGCCCCCGCGACCGTTGGAGTTGATAGGGAATCGGAGCACCATCTTGTTTCCTCTTGATCCCTTTCTTCACTCCCTCTTTCCCTTCTTCCTTTTTCTTTGTCTTTTTCTTCCCTTTGCCCACTACCTTGTACGGCAGCGGGTACGGTGTTGGTGGTGTTATTTCTTTAATTGAATGACCTTGATGAGAGCTACGATGGATATGGGCGCTTGTGCTTGAGAAAGTGGGCGCCAAGTTGTAATGGGTGTAGAGCAAGCAGTTTCTTTTTTTTGTTCTTGTCAGGTTCAAAAGTCATAAAAAGAGCGCAGATGCATAGAGGACTAGATAGATGCGAGATGAGAGCTCTGATCTCCGAGTCGAGGCAGACCGTCATGAGGAATATATATATATATATATCTACATCCCTCGTTTGGGCTAATTACTTTTGACAACGATTTTTCCTGTTCCAAAAAGAATGTCGAGATAGATAAATAAAAAAGTAGCTTGGTATGACGTGATGCCATGAGCTGCAAATCTCATGATTCGAGCGAAGCCTCCGAGAATGTTGTCCAAAAGTATAAAAGGCTGGCGGAGCGCCCACCAACTCAACTCTCCAAGCCAGCCAGTTCCTGCTGCGCCGCAGAAAGGCCAAGATTGTTCGCTCCGGATTTCCATTTTGTCCAAAAGCACGCACGAGGGAAGCGCGTGGGTTTTAAGATGTTGACTAGGAAGTCTACCGTCAACGAAGAACAAGGGCCGATGGTCTAGTGGTATGATTCTCGCTTAGGGTAACACCCTGTGCTTGCATGCGAGAGGTCCCGGGTTCAATCCCCGGTTGGCCCCCATCTTTTTCATTTTTTCGTTGCTCCAATGTTTTCTCATCTTTTTTCCTGCACCACACACCCCCACACCATCCGTCACTCTCTCCCGAGAAGGCCGAGCCGTCCAATCAGTGGAGTCGTAGATAATTCATGCCGACAATCAGTTGACGGGCTTTCTTTTTCATCACCATTTTTCTTTCTTTTTGATATTTTGGGTTCGAGCCACCCAACTCTAACCACCAACACGTTGGTCGCTAGACTTCACCACGGATGCCGTGCTCTAACATGTTTGATTTGCTCGTCACCGTGACAACGGCGAGCGCTGCTTGCGGCGCGGGGCTCTGGAGCCAGAAAGATGCGCAAGTTCACGAATCGCTCATGAAGGACCAGATCGGTGTTGCATAGATGGCATTAGACATTGTTTCTTTTATTCCTACAAAAATCGACATGGCAATAAAACATCTTGCTTCCCGCTCCCCTTCGCTCCCCTCCCCCATTTTCGCATTGGGCGCTTACGCGTTGACCATGTCGAGACCAGTCTTGATGGTCAAGCCGAGGAGGCCGAGGAAGCTAATGTACTGGCCGGAGCCAATGTACCTTCCGGTGCCGTTCTTCTTGTCAACGTTGGTGTAGCCGATGGCGTAGAGGACGCGGGAGAAGGACCACCACGCGCCGAGGGCGGCGGAGGTGACGGGGTACTTGAGGCCGGCGGCGAGGAGGAGGTAGAGGAAGCTGGTGTGGCCCTCGAGGAAGTTTCCGTGGCCGCGCTGGGCGCAGTTGAAGAGGTAGAGGGCGTCCTTTTCGTTTTGGGACTTGGCGGCGGCGGTCTGCTCGGCGCTGGCGTACAGGTAAGGGTAGGGGACGCCGGCGCGCTTGCGGAAGGGGCCGACGCGGGCGCCGTGCCAGAATCCGACGAGGACGGTGAGGGCGCCGCTGAGGATGACGTAGCTGAGGCGGAGAAGATGGAGAGATTAGCTTTGGGTTTTGCTTGTTTGGGGGGGTTGGAGACGAGGGAGGATCGGGGGTGGAATAGATAGCTCGTGGGTAGGTTGGTAGAGGGGGAGGGAATAGCTTGGCTGGCGGTGACTTACCCGTATTCCTGGGGAATCTGAAGGGCGATGGAAGACATGGTGGGTATATGGAGGGAGAGAGAAGGACGAAAGATGAGATTGAAAATTTGAAAAGGTGGAATTAGTTAGATTAGAGGCGAAATGTGGTTTGGTAGCTTGGTTACGAAAGAGGGAAGAATGAGACAAGACGAGGAAGCTGTTTGGGGTCCCGGAGCTTTAAATGTCGAATTACTGATCAGTCTGGAGCTTACTGCAAGGGACAACAACAACGTAGCCCTCCCTTCCCCTTCCCCCACCCCAATCCCCAAGCCAAGCCAAGCGCAAGGGGGTGCCTTGACCCGCCACGTTTGCGTTTGTGGAAAAGCGCAGTTCCGCTGGAACCTTTTTCCCTCGTTTTGGTTTCCTGCCCTTTTTTAGCGGCGGAGTTTCGTAATCGCCGAAAGAGCGTTCCATGCCGAAGGAGACGGCCCCCTCCCCCTGAACAAGCGACGAAAGCGAAAGCGCGCCCGCCCGCGAAGAGGACGACGGGATTCTCGAGCCTTCTGTGCAGATTTCGGTAATAATACTATCGGCCCTCTTTCAGCCTTCGACGCGCGAGACTAGTAGAAGCCAAGCAAGCGCGAACGTATATGTAGAATTGCGCCGGCCGCCTTCTCCTTCGGCCAAACTGAAGCCCGCACACTCCGTTTCCAACAGGCGAACCACCCACCCTCGAGACAACTTTTATTTCCTCCTCCCCGCAAGCCTGCTCACTTTCTTGGAGATCCTTGGATCCTTGGGCATCGATGGCGCATTGCGTTGAAAAGAAGGATGCCTAAAAACATAAAGAAAAAGGCCCTGCAGCCTGTCATCTCCAGGGCAGAAGCAGGAGCGGATGACACGACGCGGGATGTGGCCCAAACGTGTTTCTCTCCGCGCCCTCTTGACGATTGAGAAGCTTGGGGATTTTTGTGATATTGTCTAGGCCACGCCAGCTTCTCAGCAGCCTGCGAGACGCGGCTCTTGGGCACCTGGCATCCTCGACATGTCCTCGTCTCATCCATGGATCACTGCCCATCTTCGGTCTTGGCTTCCATTATTCTCTGATCCTATTCCGGAGATCCTAGGGTCCACGACAGGGACCGGATGCCTAACACGGCCCCGTCAGACGATGGGGGGATGGTGGTCCATCAATGCTCACGATGTCTGTCGCTGCCAGTCAGCTTCACCTCCGTTTCTGGCGCTTTGCGGGGCCAGCCCTTTTTTCTTCTCCTTATTTGTAAGGCGGCGGAACTCCGCAACGCTACCATCCACTCTCCACACGGCAACCGGCATTCTCTGCAGCGAAAAAGAAGGAAGGATCTCTTCGCCGTCGGCGTTTAATTTCTTTGATTCCCACCTCCGAAATAATAATCGTGCAGCCTAGAGCCACGGGCCAGGCCGGTAGTACGACACCCCCGATTTCCGTCGGGATCACTAATTGGGAAAATAACAGATCACCTCCGGAAACCGCCTTTTGGGAATGGGGGCAGTTTTTGTGGACTGGACACTTGTGCTGTCCTTGTTTGCTTTTCTTTTTGTTACATACACGTATAATCCTGCGACACTATGCCGTAAGCTTATGGGCCTTGGCGGTGATCATCCTCTTTTCAAGGGTCTCTCGGAGGGACATCATCCAAGCCATTCCCTCTAGATAATAGTAGGCAAAGAGCGTAAGCTAGAGCTCACCCCCGCTTGTTAGCGCCCCAAGGAAATCCTCAGGTCCAGATCCGTTATCTCGCATCAAAACCTTGCTAGGCGTGAGAACAAACTTGCAGTAGTGTAGCCCACAAACTAACACGACCAACTTTCATGTTCTTTCAAGAGAGAGAAACAGCTATTCGCTCCATTCATCCCCCAGTTATAACTGACCTCCGCCCAAAATCCTAGCCGCCGCATCCCTCACCGCCTTCATCGCCAGCAGATACAGCTCCGGCCCAACACTAATCCGCGCCACCCCGATCCTCCCCAGCTCCCCGGTCGACAAGCCCGCCTCCCCGGCCCGGAGCTTGACCGCGACCCTACCCCCAATTCCCGCACCAGCGTCTCCACCTCGCTCGTGCGCAGGCCCCGCGCCCCGCCCCAGTAAAACACCGTCGTCGCCCCGGCCTCCAGGTACGCTTTGCCCCGCTCCACCGCCTCCCGCAGCGTCGGCTCGTCCTCGTCGACCGAGGGCGGCTCCAGCCGGAACACGTCGCACCGCGCGTTGAGCACAAATCCTTCCGGCGCCGCTGCCAGCGCTTCCCTCAGCCTGCGCACTTGCACTTCCACCGGGTACAGCGGGCCCTCCCCACTCCCCCGTTGTCGTCGTCGTTGCCGTTATCCACCGAGTTGCGCGGCGGGCGCCACGCGAACCCTGCCGAGGGGATGGAGTCTTCGATATTAGCCCCCGCCGCGCCGAGCTCCGCCGCCCGCGCGACAGCCTCGGCGATGCGCTCCCCGTACCCGTCCTGCAGATCGATCGAGATGGGTAGCGCGGCCGCGTGCGCCACCGGCGCGATGCGCGAAAACGCCGCGAGGTTCTGCTCGAGCGTCAGTTCCTCGTCCCGGATCCCTAGGCTCGCCGCGATGGCCCACGACGCCGTGGCCGTGGCCTTGACGAGGGTTTTGCCTCCTTGGTTGAGCTGGAGGAGCGACGATAGCGACGAGGCGTCGTAGATGTTGGGCAGCACCACGGGGTTTCCGGGCTCGTGGAGGGCCTTGAATGCGGACTGCGCTGTGCCGGACGACATTTTGGGAGGGTTCGGGGGTTTTCGGTTTCCTTTCTCTTCTCTTTTCTTGTTTGTCCTATCTCTCTCTCTTTCCGATTGGCGAGGAAACAAGGTTGCGGCCGTCGCACAAATAAATTGAGGGAGAAGAGAACTCGTAGGTAAAAATATTGTGCACACCGTTCACTCGCAGGTTGCAAGCTGATCGGCTTATAAGAGTGCGGTGGGAGAAAGAGGAGGGAAATGGCGTGCTTGGCCGTGTCGGCAGTGCACCCGCTTTATACTTCGTACCCTTCTAGCTGCTCCTCTTGCGACCTACGCCCTATGACATGTCATGTCACCCCCGCGTTTGCGGCTGGGGACGGCGATCGAAAGCAAAGGGTGGAAGCGATTCCTAACAAGGGTTGAGGTGCGGGAGAACACGAATCCCGCTCCGCGGAAACGCCGTGAAGCCAACTGCACCCGCGCGGCATGAGTCGGCCCCGACCGGGGTTGTGAACTGCAATATGGCCAAGCTCACCAAATCATGCACGGATTGCTGCACAGCATACCCAAAGAAACAACCCTCTCAAGAGACTGTGAAACGGAATCGACGAAAAAAATGTAGTATTCGCAAATATCCAATGCGTCGGCACCGTTCTAACCCGAGCCTAGCCACGGTCTAATATAAAAAAACATCCGTTTGCTTGGACCGCTATTCCCACCGATGCCGATCTTAGTATAGATGTATCCGTGTGTATGAAGAACGAGAGAGGTAGCACCAATCAATTTTTCGGTCCTAGGTCAAACGAGGAGAGCTCCCCGTCCCAAAAGAAAAGAAAAGGAAATGGGATAGGGGAGAGTGAGAGTTAGGGCAAGGTGTGAAAAGACCAAAAGAAATCTCTCCATGCCTCCCCTACCCTGCTGTAACTATTTTAGCGGCTGCGAGGCTTTGACCTGCCTTCCTCCAGCGCTCTTCGAATGATTCCTGTTGCCTCATCCATCACATCGTAACCTCGTTTCCACGTGTAAAGCTGGACGCCTTGGTCGTCCAAAATCTCCTGAGCCCTCGCTAGTCGCCGCCGCCACAGCTCCAGCTTCTTGTTCACCGTCGCGTTGCCCTGCTGCTGCCCCTGGCTGTTCCATTCCGAGGCCGTTGCAGCCGGCCCGTTGGGCGGCGTCCCCGACATCCGGGGAGTCGACGCCGGAGGCGTTCTGTTGTCGCGAGGGGTAATGTAATCAGGACCCGCTCTAATGCTCTGGACACTCGAACCAGTGCCAGTGCGCCTCGGCGGCGGGAGGAGGCGTTTGTCGCGCTGCGGACCCGTCAGAGCCATTAGTCGCTCTTTGCGTGTCTCCCGGATACTGTCTATTCCCTGGCCCAGGCGTAGAGTTGTTCGAATATTGCGACTGAGAAAGGGGTGACGGGGGTTGCCGTCAGAGGGGGCGCCGACGGGCTTTCGAGACCGTGGCGGAGGCGGCGGCGGCGCTGGTGAGCTCCTCTTGGACGTTTGTGAAGAGTCTTCCTGTAGGGTGGAAGCTCTGCTTTCCGAAGAGCCGCTCCTTAGCGCAGCCGGTTTCGCCGGGCGAGGGGAGGGGCCCGGCTAGAGGGTCCTGAGCTGCTGCTGCTGCCCTGCCGGGGTTTTTTCATTTGCGGAGGGCCTTCTTTCGGCGTTGGGGGCTTTTCGTCATCCGAAAAGTCGATTAAATTCCCAGTCGGCACTTCCTCAACCTGCGAACTTCGCGGGGGTAGCTGTGGTCTGTGTGTCGGGCCATCATCCCCATGAGCCGGGGATGACCGGCGTTCCGGTTCCACCTTCGCTTTCAGTTTGTCCTTCTCCGCTCGGAGAATGCCCGCTGCAATCGAGGAGTCGAAAAAGTCGGGATGATCCGGAGTTGTCACATCCCGAATAAAGATGGCCAGCACGCGTCCTGGGTGCGCCACTGCAAGCTCCGTATACACCTCAAGATCGGCCTCTCCGCTATCACCGACGAGGATGAACTTGCGTTCTGGGAAGTCGGCGAGAATCCTCTCCAGCGTTGGCTTCTTACGTTCCGCCACGGGCTCAAAGATACCCTGCAGCATGCCGTTGTACGCCTTGAGGTGCATGGAGCCGGGAGGCAGGCCGGATATCTTGAAAAAGGTGGCCAGCACAGGGAATAGCTGCCAAGGGCTGTTGGAGCAGTAGTGTATGCCCACCCCCATCGCATGCATCTTGTTGTACCATTCCCTGACCCCATCAACCGTGAGCCCCGGTAGATCCCGAATAAAAGTATTCCGGAAGATCTCGCGCGCACCCGCCGAGATGTTGGACCGCTTGATCGTGTCATCAATGTCGCTAATGACGCTCACACCAGCAGACTCGGTGACTTGGACTTCCTGTATTGTCGACAGCCTCTCGTTTGCCAGCACCCTGACGTGTGTCGGCACAAAGGGAAGCGCCGCTCTGATGTTGAACTGGCCCGACGCATTGGTCATGACCGTCCGGGACTGCGAGCACGACTCGTTGTAAAAGAATATCGTAATGGGAATCTGCGTAAACGGCACTGTGAGGAACGGCGCGATACGCGCGGCAAGGTTTATGTTAGCGGTGGCCAGCTCAGCCTCCGTCAAGTCCATGCCCGCCGACGAGGCTGTCGCTGGTCGCTGAGGAGGGGCGAGCCCGACCGGGGTCGTGCTCCGAGAGTTGCCACCAAGGCTGTTCGGGCCTGGCCGGTACGGCTTATCGGGGTCCTCAGTGTACTGCCCTTGGGATGCCGCCTTGCCCTCCTCTTGTCCCCTCTGCTCGATTTTGGCCGCCTCGAGAGCAATTTTCTCTTGCACCCTCAGGTCCTCATGCGATGCAAGAGCTCCCGAATCATCCCCTGCTGCCCCGCCCCCTTGCTGAGCATCTATCCTCGGGATGCCGCTAAGTTGCCGCGCCAGGCCGAGCATGATTCGGTTCTTTCTCGTTAACGGGCCTTTGTGGGGCGAGTATAGCCATCCTCGCACGTCAACATCGACAATGGCGTCCTTGTCCCATTCGCGCTCCCAGCCCGTATCCCAGTAGTCGTCATCCCTCATCCCCCGGCGCCCCATCAGTAACCGGTGGCGGGGACTGTGCAAGTCGGTCTTTACATGGCGTTTGGCGTACGTGGGGAAGAGTATCATTTGGTCGGTTCCCTGAACAGTTACCCGAGCATCCGGGAATGCGCCGGGTATGGATTGGCGCTCGTGCTCAAACGGATCAAAGGCCGCCGTTCGCGTCTGCGCATATGACTCCCGAATCTCGCTCACGGCCGAGGCCCCTGCCCTGTACACGGACCCTGCCATAGCCGCCAACCTCGTCCGCCTCGACGTGCGCATCCCCCGTCCGAATCATATCCACCCCACCGGGGCCCCATAGCGTCCGCCCCCATCTTGCCCCAGTCCGTTTCCCGACGTCGACGACGAAGATGCCGGCAGCATCTTGTCTTGACCTATATGCCCGACCCCGCGAGGCTTGGCCGCACGTCGCGGGGCAAAGGCGAACCGAGCCCCTTGGCGGCGGACAAGGTCGAGCACGCCGGGCTTCCCGTCGAGCCGGCGGCGATACCTCGAGAGGAGGAAGTTGTGAATGCGCGACTGGGCGCGGTGCTTGAATTTCGGGAGTGTGTCGAGGTGGAAGAGCAGCACGCGCTCCTGGTACCGGGTGCGGAGGGCGCTGGGAAATAGGTAGCGAAGGAGCTCCCGCTTATTATGCGATGGGGGCAATCGTGGAAAGGGAGCCAGCGTGATCAATCGACGCAAATAAAGACAAAAAAGTGTCGATGCCGAAAACAATTGATTGCCGATGGGCTCCGTCGAGGAATGTGCAAGAAGTTTGGGGGTAATGACTCGGTTCCTGGTGTGGCCTCGAGGACAGTTGGATGATGACGAAAGTGCTTGTTGGATGGGCAGGCACGGTCAGCTTGTGAGGTGGGGCGTCATCTGCGCATCCCGGGAGGGCTCCTCAATGCCATGCACCTTCCAAGCCTGGAGCCAAGGTTCGGAAAGGCCCTGTTTATTCCTCCGCCAAAGTCCTAAAGTACTGAGGTAATAGCATGGTCATGCACGTTGACATGATTATGGCGCACACTAAATAGGGCCCTACTATCGAGGTAGCTCACCCGCAAACACGGGCTGCCACACAAGACGGCAGCTTCCACCCAATCGGACTCGGGGCTACCAAACCTCAGTCACTGTGCACTGAGCCTTAAGCCTTAAGCTGAGGCCCCCGCCACACCCCAGGTCCACGTGATTGTGTGCTGAGCCCGTGGCCTGGCAACGCCGAAACATTCCAGCGTTCAATTCCAGAGGGATACCCTCATCTCAAGCTCACGACCGCAACTATTCTTTAGTTTTATTTTTTGTTTTATTTTTATTTTTCAAAAATATCTTGCTCTTCATGATTGAGACACAAGGATTCAGAAATCTATAAAAATACGCTGAAAAGAAGAGGACACTGTCCGTGCTCCGGCGGGAACCCGTCATCATGCAAATCCCAAAACGTGAAGATGGTTGGTGGGGCGGGTACTTGGGTATTAACTTGATGCTATACGACTAGCCTCACCTCCGGCCTCCCTTAGGCTTCCCCTTGGGGCACCCTTGCCCTTGGAGGCGGCTTGGCCTTTGCTACCCACCCGCGACCGAGTCGGCTTCGATATCTTGGACTTGGGTTGCTTCTTTAGCTCGAGCACCGCGCCTTTCCCGTCCCTCTCCGCCCGGCCCTTCTTCCACGTCGGTCCCTCGGATCGGGACGCCTTGGCGTCCAGCTTCTTCTTATCCTTGTTGCTCAGGCTCTTGCCGCCGTGTTTCTTCTTCAGAGACTCCCGGAGGCCGTTGAGCTGCGAACGACCAGCCTCCTTTGCCTTCTTCTTGTCGTGCTCCGACTCGAACCAGGTCCTCTTGGGGCGGCCCTTGATCTCGGCCTCATGCTCCATCAGGTTCTCACCCTTCTTGACTTGCATCTCCATATGGGCCAACTGCTTCTCATCCTTTTCCTCCTTCATGATTTCATCAATCTCGTCCTCCATGTCGTCAATCTTCTTCTGCCACTTGTCCGCCTCGACCGGGTCAATTACCCTGCTCGTAATCTTGGAGCCCTGCGCCTTGCCAGCCCTGACGGCGGCTCGGACCACCTTGCGATCAGGTTCTGCCGCTAGTGTACACGCGCTACCGCTCCTACCCGCTCGGGCAGTACGACCGACTCTGTGCACATAAATCTCGACGCTCTGGGGTGCCTCGTAGTTGATGACCGTGTCCACGCCCTTGATGTCCAGACCTCGAGAGGCCAGATCAGTGGCTAACAGATATGATACCTTGCCGTCTCGAAACGTTTCGACGCTGGAAATTCTCTGTGATGAAAAGAAAAATTAAGTTAGCACATGTACACGGGTGGAGGTTGAGACAAGTGGTGATATGATCCTAACGTACCTGTGCTTGGTTCATGCTACCGTGGAGTTCGGCGGACGAGAGGCCCAGCATCCCAAAGACTATGCGGGCGAAATGCGCTTGCTTCTTCTGCCGGAAAAAGATAATGACCCGCTCGTGGTAGAGGTTCTTGCAGAGCCAGACCAGGTATCCCATGCGCTTCTCTTCCCTACCAGGCCTCAGTCTCACAAACTCCTGGGTGAGGGTACCGGCCGTGCTCTTCTGCGAGTCCACCATAAGACGGACGGGCTTGTTGAGACCAACGCGAATAAGCTGGTCGACCGACGAAGTCATGGTGGCGGAGAACAGCATCGTCTGCCGAGACTTGGGGAGCGTCGTGAGGATCTCGTTCAACTCGTCCGCGAAACCGTCTTCGAGCATGCGATCGGCCTCGTCCAGAACCAGGATTTCGACCGTGTCAACCGTGAAGCTCATCGAATTCCTCATGTGGTCGATGAATCGACCCGGAGTAGCGATGATGACGTCGGGCCGGAGCCGGAGCTCGTTCTCCTGCGCCTTCAGGCTCAAACCACCGACGGCGAGTGAATTTGATGTCGGTAAACGACGCGAGCTTCACCGCAACGGCGTGACATTGGATGGCAAGCTCACGAGTCGGTGTGAGGACGACGACGCGAGATGTGGGGACTTTCTTGGGCCTGAACAGGAGTCGCTCGATGATGGGGAGGATGAACGCGGCAGTCTTGCCGGAACCCGTCACGGCTCCACCAACGACATCCTTTCCGAGGAGGGCCATCGGAATCGTTTTGCTCTGAATGGGAGTAGGTTTCGTGTAGCCCGCGGCAGCCAAACCTCGTAGAATGGGCCTGCTGAGCGACATACTTTGAAACATGCTGTCCTTGCCCTTCTTGGTCGCGTCAGTCGTCTCCTCCTCTGGCGCAAAAAGGCTGCTCGTTTCGCCACTTCCTCGGCGTCTTCTTCACCGTCAGAGTCAGAGTCGCGGCCACCGATGTGATCGGCAACTTCATCTTCATCTTCATCTTCATCACTGTCCTCCACGGGTGAGTGGGCGTCCTCCTCATCAGACCCGGCATTGTCCTCGTCTTTCTCCCCTTCCTCCTCCTCATATTCAGAGTCGACATCCATGCCAAAGGCATCGTCGGCCAAGACCTCATCTTCGGCATCGTTCAGGTCAAGGTCTAGGTCTTCGTCGTCTTCGAGGTCTGCCTCATCATCTCCATCGCTTTCCGAATCAGAGGTGTCGTCCTTGTTCGACTTTGTCTTTTTCTGCTCCTTCTTTTCTCTTCTCCTTTCGATGATGGCGTCGAGATCTACTCCCTTGTTCGCGCCATCCATTCCCTTTAGCACCATCAAATCCCCAGCCCTCGAACTCATCATCCCCAAGGTCGTTGGCGCCATCGGGAGCAAACTCGAAATCGGAGGCCATGGCCCCGTCGTCCTCGTCATTCTTGCCCCAGAGTCCTTCCGGGCCAGACTCCTTCTCAGTCGCCCTTCCCTTCTTTCCCTTCTTAGTCGGCTTGGCCTTCTTTTGGGAGGCTCTGGCGCAAGATCCTCCTCATCCGGTACGGCGTCGGAATCCTCGATCGTGTAGACGAAGTCGTCGTCGATGGACCGTTTCTTGAGGGCCATTGTGAAGGTACGGCTCTAGGAGAAATGATTATAATTTCCTAAATTGCCGAGAGGAAAAAGAGAAGAAAATTGACAAAATGGGTGGCAGCCGAGTGCTACGGGCGGTTCATGTGTCAACTAGAACCAGAACTCTTTTTTTCTTTTCCCCCAAAGAAGTCGTCAAGCTCTCCGAGGGGCATACGGCGACCAACCCGCCAAATTCTCAGAAATTTTCAGATTCTGCCGTTCTCCCGATCTGGCTGTTGTGGGGCAGGCGGTGAGCCTGGCATCAATTGATGGGAACACCAGGATTGACTGAACCCAGCCAACGCCAGACGCACACTGGCACATAGACAGGGAGCCAGCTCCAGGGGTCCGTCGAGAAGAACACTCACAACCTTGAAGGGTGGGGGCCCAGGACCAAGAGAATTCCCCACGTGATTGCTGACATGACCAGACCCACCACGAATAAATGATGAGGGTGGGTATCTTGTACCTCTGCGCAGACAACATGGTACGAGAATACATGCTTCTTTTCCCTTCGAAAAGGGTCTTGTCTTTGAGGAAGAGGCGAATGGCGACGTCAGGAACAGGCCCTCCGCTAATAAACAACCCCACCATTTTTATTTCGTTGATTGGGTGACGGGACACTTCCTCGCCGGCGCAAGAGACGAAGCAGGCAGGAAGAACGTTTTAAAGGATAGAGGTTGTCCATCCCACTTTCAACTCAACCTCTGCAAGTTCTTGACGTGTTTTCGGCTTGTCGTCCGCTGTTGTTTTATCCATCCAAGCTTTCCCCATCTTCCATCTCCGGGGCTATTTTACTTACGCGTCGCCTTCATCCTTTTCGATATCTCTTCCATCCCCCTTTCTCCTCAACCCCTCCTACCCCTCCCACCCCTCCCGCAAAGAGCAAAAATGGGTGAATCCAGGTACGCCAGGCCCATTTCGCATATCAGCTCCGAATTTTGCTGTCATTGGGGCGGACGTTATTGGTTTGCATACTGACTTGTTTGTTCTTTTTTACTGTAGACAGGAGCTCGTCGCTTGGCTTAACCAGCTACTCCAGCTGAACATCACCAAGGTTGAGCAATGCGGTACCGGGTAAGTCATGTCTCCATGCAGCAACGCGCAACCTCCGATCATCACCCCCTACGAGATACATCGACTGACAAGAATATCGGACCAGCGCGGCGCTATGCCAGGTGTTCGACAGCATTTTTATGGATGTCCCGATGTCTCGAGTCAAGTTTAACGTGAACAGTGAATACGCTTATATCCAGAACTTCAAGGTCCTACAAAGTGAGCACCCCCGCCCGGTCCCAACCCCACGCACCCCCTCCTTGCCCTTTAATAGGCCGTGATCTCCAATGTGGCGCGAGAGATGGAAGGTTAACCGATATATTCCACAGACTGCTTCAATAAGCACAGCGTAGACAAGCCTATTCCCGTCGAGTCTTTGGTCAAGTGCAAGATGCAGGACAACTTGGAGTTCCTGCAGTGGACTAAGCGGTACTGGGACCTCAACTTCCCCGACCACGACTACGACGCGGTCGCGCGCCGAAAGGGCAGCGGCATGCCCGCCTCCGCCGGTGCGCCCCGAATCACGAGTGCCGGCGGAGCCAGGCGAGGAGGTACGACGCCTACTGCCGGCCGCCCCAAGGTTGGCGGCGGTGGCGGCGTTGTTTCTGCCGCTCTTCAAAAGGAGAATACCGAGCTTAAGGAGACGGTTACCGGACTGGAGAGGGAGCGAGACTTCTACTTTAGCAAACTTCGCGATATCGAGCTCTTGGTTCAGGCGGCCGTAGAGGACGACCCTGAGCTTGAAAAGCAAGAGGATGGGCTCGTCAAGCAGATCCAGAACATCCTCTACTCGACAGAGGAAGGATTCGAGATTCCCGCCGAAGCGGATGGCCTCGACGACCAAGAGACATTCTGATTGCGCGGTGACTCACCCCCACGCACGCCACGTAACAGAAGAGGAAGAAAAAGGCATTGCATGCAAAGTTACATGTTGGAATAATGAGAGGAGAAGGTAACTTGAGCACGCCGCAACGCAAGCGACGAACTGACGAAAATTATCAATTCATTGGGCGAGGAGTTTATCATAGGCCTTTCATCATTAAGAAGCCTAGATTCGGTACTGGTTTTGCGTACCATCATGAGTGGAGTCGGTGAAGTTGTGCTATTATACGTACGCCCCTGAGTTATACCATAGAATACTGTTCAAGGCGGCTTGTGCGCTTATGCGCTCGTGCGCTCCTCGACGTTGGACGTCTTTGTGAGATTCAGGACTCGAGCCGTCGGGGAAGAGGAGGGGTTCTGCCGCCTTGTGACCAGAATTCTCGTCAATGAACAAAATTGTGTTGAATGCTCTATGCCCGCGTTGAAGGCTGTCAATGCATTTCTATTTGTCTTGTTTTCCTATTATTTGCTTGTCTGTGCCTGCGTTCCGTACCTTGAATTTGGTATCGCGAGATTTGACGAGGGTGTACATTTCGACCCCACCACCCACTCGTGGGAGACTGTAGCCTTGGTGGTCGAATCAAAATTCCCAACATGTAGCTAGGATGCTCGTTCCTCTCTCCTTTCTCTACGTTGAGCAGACGTTGGACTTCTACGTACAGCGAAACCTCGCGACTTTACCGTCAATCGACGAGGCTGATGAAGATAACTAGCCGCCCTTGGATGCTCCTCGCTAAATAAAATCGCAAAAGGTTAAAATGGTCCCAACCCTAGACGATCGAGACGGTCTCTCGGCCACGGCGCTTGCGGCAGGGATGAGTGGTTCTTGATGGAGCTTGGTCTGGTGGATGACGTGAATGTGCGCCACAACGTCGACGCGAGAGTTCGTAGTGCATGAATCGCCTTCCCCAAAGCGGGGAGGCCAAAAGTGCATCGGGGGTATTCTTTTCGATCCCCCTATAAAATAGGGGTCGTTGGAAGGAGAGAATACTACTAAAGGAAAGCCGCCGACTGATGCTGACGAGCCTCCCACTCTCTTTTGTTCCTGTTCCGCCAGCAACCTACCAACGTGAAGAAATCTAGGGAGCGGAGAGTTCAACAACCATTATCGAGGCCTGTTCTTTTGAGGCCTGTCCTTCTTCTCTTTCAGCTCCAAACGGGCGGGTGCCTCAGCTGAGATTTGCGCCAGCCTTGGACTTGGAACGGCTCCAATACATCAATGGAACGATCCCTCCATACATTGATGATATATTACCAGAGTTGTAATAATCCCCGCTAGAGAGTGTGCTTGTGTGCCTTGGTTCCCTAGTTTCCGATTTGGAAAGCGGTCACTGGGACCCAATCCATTGGATCACCTGCCTCGAACAAAAACGGCAGTCGAGCCCGCCTAATCCCAAAGAAGGTGCGGGCAACCTCAGAGCTTAGGACGCAATCGACTCAACAACCACAGTCATTCCCACCCACCCTCATTTCCAAATCTCGAAGCCAATCTCGTTGGTTCTGCGCATCTTAAACCTCTTCTCCTCATTCCCTTCCCTCTCTCACAAAAATTCCCCTAAATCCCCGAATCCCTTCACTCCCGCCTCAAAAGAACAAAAGAAAAAACGGCCGTCCTTCGGATTACCCCACCAAGCACATAATACTGGCACCCAACCAGCCTCGCTTCGCACGTGTCGGTATTAATCGATTGTGCCAATAAACGATACCCTCCCACGGCGACTGGCAAGCCCCGCTACACAGCAATCCTCGACAATAACCACTGAAGAGGTCCACGCAAACCAATTTGATATTTCCAATTTATCTTGTAGGCCGCAGCCTCAGATTCTTCGCTTGAAGCATTCGAGCGGACCCCGACCCGGGTGCTCCGGAGAGATTAGGCACCCAAGCAGGCAGCGATCATGGCACCACCGGCGGAGATCTCCATTCCCTCGACCATCGTCTCCACGGCCGAGTCGAAACCCTTTACCCTGTACAACATCACTCTCCGCCTCCCCTCCGCTCGTTCGTCGTCCAGAAGCGATACTCTGACTTCGCCACCCTCCACTCAGCCCTCACCTCTCAGGTAGGCGCACCGCCTCCAACTCCTCTTCCGTCCAAATCATGGCTCAAGTCGACCATCTCCTCGCCCGAGCTTACCGAGCTCCGCCGCCAGGGCCTCGAGGCCTACCTCCGCGCCATTGCAGAATCCCCGATAGACGGTGGCGAGATACGACAACGTGGAGGAGTTTCCTCTCGCTTCCCAGCTCAAGCACCTCCGCGTCTGCCGCGTCGGCAGCCGGCATGATTGGTACGGCGGCCGTCGGGGCCGCGGACCCGACCATGTGGTTGGACATGCACAGGGAGATGAAGGCCTGCCTCCACTCGGCGCAGAGCCACCTTACGAAGCGGGACGGCGCATACGATGCTCACAATACCTCGACCGCGGCAGAGGCAGGCGCCGCGGCAAAGAGAGAGCTCGTCAAAGCAGGCACATTACTAGCCAGCCTCTCCGACGGGCTGCGGACTATACAGGAGAGCAGCCGGTTGGGTGACGGGGAGGTGAGGCGGCGGCGGGATCTGCTCGGCGCAGCGAGGGTGGAGAGGGACGGTCTAGAGCGATTGAGTAACACGATATCGCCGTCGCAGACTGCCATGAGGAGTGGCGGACGTGACGGTCCGTCTTGGGGCGGCGACAAGGCGTCCTTGCTCTCGGGGGCCTCGACGTCCTCGTCTAGCAGGAGTGCGACGCGGCCGGGCGGTCGCGTAATCGGCGCGCCGCTACCCGAAACCGATCAGACGCGGGAGCTCGACAACACGCAGCTCCTGTCCCTCCAGAAGCGGGTGCTCACCGAGCAGGACCAAAACGTCGATCAGCTCACGGCCATTGTCCGCCGGCAAAAGGAAATTGGGCTCGCCATCAAGGACGAGGTGGACCGGCAAACGGAGATGCTGGACATGATGAACGACGACGTGGACCGCGTGGGCAACAAGATCAAGGTTGCCAAGAACCGGACGAGAAACCTCTGACTCGTGGTGGGATGGGCCGTCCGAAGCTTCTTCGCCCTCATGGAAACGGTGCTCTGGGTGCGGTGGATGACGGCCAATGCGGCTGCGGGGTTCCTGTGGGGGCTGCAACTGCTGCTTTATGCGATGAGAGGCATTCTGGATATTCGGACTTACCTCTAGAAGAGACTCTTCATTTGTCTTTTCTTGTGTACGGAAATGGGAACTAATCAACTATATCATGCTTTGTTTTATTTTACAATTTATTATTATCGCCAATTGATAATACATTTTTTCCTTGCTTTCCCGCAGTCTCTCCTTTTCTCTACTTTCGAGGGCCTTCCCTCTCTCCACTGTCTAACTAGACTCTGTAGGAGACCTCACAGGCCATCAAGTGCACTCGTTGTAATCATCCCGGGCAAAGAGAAGATGAAGAAAAAGCTGGAAATAAATAAACAAATAACACCACGCTCTTCTCTCCTCCATCGTCTCAGCCCAGCCGACACGCGGGATCTCGAACAAATGTGCGCGGTATGGGCGTTTGCCACGTCACACGCATAGCAACACACAAAGGGAATGATTCTCGGCCTCGGCTTCTCGGGAGGCGTCATCTAGAAGGACAGAGGAGGAAAATTGAAGAAAAACCCCGTCCCCTCCGAAAAAAGGCCATTTCCCATGACCCGACGTTTGAAAGTGTTTGGTCCACTCGCTCGCGCCGAACCGCCCCCGGTCGTTCTGGCGGTAATAGGAGGAAGGGGGCCAAAAGCAAGAGAGCCGGCACTCAGCCGACGCGAAAATCCACTAATCCACTAGTTGAGACAAAAACTGGCTTCTGTTTGCTTCCATCCCGTCTTCAAGGAAGCCTCTTCTGCACGCCAATCATCCTTTTGTTCTTCCTTTTTTTTTTTTTTCTTTCTTCTACTTTTTTTCTTCTTCTTTTCACTCTTGCCTCGTACTTGACTTGTGCCCACCCATTCATTCCCCGGCCCGGTCCAAGGTGGGCCACTGGCATTTCGTTGTCTCATGCCCCCAATCAAGTGGTGTGCCAAGCTTGGATTGACAGCTCATCTGTCGATTGGTTGGCCAATCGCTACGTCACCTCGCTACCCGTTGCCGGGCAACCACGCACACGAACGCGTAAAGCAAAAGATTGTGTGAAGAAGCTCTGTCTGCCTAGCTCAGGTTTCCCGAGGTGCAAATTGGCTGAAATAGATCAGGCGAGATGGATTGATTCCGATCCGCATTCCTCGCGTCTCCCTCTCTTTCGTCCTGGACTCTTCACCCACAGAACACGTCGGCGGTTAACAGATGGGATAGCTGGGAAAATACCACTCGAGCGAAATGAGCATCAATGTGGGTGAGCGGGTAAGCATGCCAGTGAATCACTTTGGAGGTGGATTCGTACAGAATGAAGGGGGAAGATCCTTGCAAGCGAAGACTTGGATCAACGTTTTCGTCTTCGAATGTGACGGGCAGCCGCCCGTCTCAAATTGGTGGGGAGGTCCAGCACCATTCGAGCAGCATCTTTCCGTGTCGGGAAAAACAGGTCACATGGCAGTTGCCTCTCGAACCCAAGAGACACGATTGGAGCACAAGGGAGACCCCACGGCGACCGAGACCCTTGAAGAAAAGCCAAACGGGGGAAGCTTGCCAAATTGGTGGCTGATGGAAGAGCCCGGTTTCGCTGCCACCCCTGCTCAAGGGAGTGTGCCAAAATGAGTGTGGTGGGATTGGGCCGGGCAGACAACGAGGAAATCCAGGGATTGGCAGGAATGGGATCATCTCCCTCCCTCTCTCTGGCTTGGATATCGACACTCGAAGATAACACGAAGGAGGGGATCCGCGAGAAGGGAGGCGACAAGAGTGAAGAGGATTGAAAAACAAAAACACGACCGACTCGCGCATGTACATGATAGTGTGCGAAAAAAGTACCGGATTGTGCGGGGTATTTGATCGAGGGCTCCTATCATTGATCGCTTGCCTTCTGCTTCCCCTTGCCTCACATGCATGATACATGCTTGAGGCTTGAGCGTGACATGTCGTCAACGACTCTTGCAGGCAGGACGCCGCGCGAGGATGCCAATGCAGAGCCGCCTTCAGGAGAAAAAAACACACGTGTACACATACCCACAACAAAAAGAACCTCTCAAGAGAGGAAAACCAGAGAAAGAAGAAATATGGCCCAAAAATGGAGGCATGGGAAGAGAACGCTTGGGGCTGTGCCACTCACCAAGCACCAGATAGTCCATCAAATCTGGCGGTTCCCTGGCGCACCGGAGACAGGGATGCTACCACCTTGTTGGAGAGTTGACGGTGGCCATCAATCCGATTCTCAAAGCTACAAAGGTTGAACAATAGTGATGATGAACCTCTCTCAATCCGGCCCTTCCCGCAATGAACCTGCTGCAGACCGAAAGAGGTTTGTAACTATTATTAGGAGTAGGTGGGGGTAGCGGGAGCGTTTCATGGCGGTTGAGAAAGAAAGGAAAGAAGAAAAAAAAAAGGAAAGAAAAAAAGGCTACTATTACAGTGAGAAGCGAAGGGATCTGCCTGGCTCATCTGCCGTAAATAGCGAGGTAGCTCCCGCGAAAAGTGGTTAGCATCGACCGGGAACGCGTGTGAGATGGATTATATGGACGCCATCCTTGCTGCAAGAAGGATTGGTTGGAATGTACGAAGTACGCTCTCTCTTGCGTGTTTGGTGAAAACAATTGACTGATGATGAAGCAATGATGGATCTGGAATCGTGGATGTGCTGGCCGGAGCAAGTTCGACAGCCCCCACAGGCTCCTAGACCTGATCCGTCACGCTTCATTGACCAGCTCGAGTGATTCCATGACCAACCCCCACAACACCCCCTGCAAAATCTGCAGAGGCAACCACTAATTGGGCGCTGGGTGCTTCTGCAATGGGAAAGACCACGGCTTGTCTGGTGCTGCGGTGCGGTGCTCTTGGGCTGGTGGATCCGGTCTGGCGACTAGTTTGATGGTGCAAGCCTTAATCATTCGTCGGGGCCCCTCCCGCCTGCCGTGCCCACCCAGCTCTTTCCCAACCCAACCCCATTGCCCCAGCGCCCCTTCCGCCCCGTCAAAATCTGGCCCGATTTGTCCCAAAGTAAACAACCGCCCCCGGAAGGTACATCCACATCAGCAATAACCACGAGGTTTTCTCTCTCCCCTTTTTCCCCCTTCCCCTTTGCTCCCCAATTTTTTTCCCCAACCACAACTCATCGTACCCACTCTACATGTTTTTCAAATATCGAGACCGAATCATCCTGAGCAAGCAGAGCCTTCGTCGAACAAGATTTCCCTGACAAGGCGACCGTCCATCTTGCGAGCTACTAACCGTTTCCACATCATCAACTTGACTCGTACCACGATACCTTTTCACCATCTTGCCCTTGTACGCCATCACCATCGGCTGGTCTGAGCTCCCTCGCCGGGAGAGACCTTTTACCCCTATCAAACCAGCGCTTCGTTTGGCTTCTCGCAACTCCTTTCTGACCGAGTCCTGCATAGCTTTTGGAGCCCGGCGTTTTTCTTCTCTTTTCTCTTTTCTCTTTTTGCTGTCTGCTTGTGAGTATCGACCTCCTCGACAACCTATTGTCTTGGGTCAGCCCATCAGGGCCCCAAGTGATGCTGCGCCAGCGACTGACTGCATGACCTCGCCGACAAGGTTACCTCACGATCTCGCCAATGGCCGACACGGCATCACGATAGACTGTCTTCCATCACACGCACACCTGCTCAATACGCCAGTCCAATCTACCTTCGAGTGTCAAGCAGACGGGATAGCCCCCGGAATGAGCCAGCCTCCCCCGCCTCCGCCCCATGGCGAGGTACCGAAATCCTCGGGCTTGCCGCCCGGGAAATACGATATCTTTGTGATACCACAGCACTCGGCCGGCTCGGGGTTTCTCTATCTGCCTTCCCTTCAGCCCAACATCAATAGCTTTGCTGCAGGGTTTGCTAGCGCCTTAATAATGGTGGCCATGTTTCAGAGTATGGCCCCTGCCTTCCAAACGTGGTGGAGTGGTTTCCAGGGTATGGGAAACATGGGAATGGCCATGTTGATGGTTGCCATCGGTGTTGGGGCCTGGGCCTTGGGCAGAACGCAACAAGACCAGCCAGCCCCTCCCCGGCCGGAGCCCACCGGCCCTGGCAACATGGGAGGTGGTAGCTCGTCTGGAGGTTACCACGGCGCAGCGCCGAACCCGGGGCCGCAGCCAAATCCCGGCCCTCCTCCGCCTCCCCCACCTCATAGCGAGCCTCCTCCTAATCCGGGCCCGCCGCCCGGCCCAACTCCCGGCGCTGAACGACCCAAATCTTCCTGGCAGAGAACCCAGTCGGGACCTCCACCAAAAGCTGGGCCGTCGAAGCCAGACAACTCCAAGGGGTCCTGGGAGAAGGCTCGAGAAGAAACGAGGCGGCGTGAAGAGGAACGAAAAGCCAAGGAAGAAGAACAGAAGCGCAAAGACGACGCTGCCAAAAAGCTTCGAGAGCAGCGTGAAAGGGAGGCCAAGGAACGAGAGCGGCGGGAGAGGGAAGCCCGTGAACGTAGAGAGAGGCTCGAAGCTGAACGGCGGGAGAGAATGGAGGCTGAAAGACGCGAAAAGGAATTGCGGGAGAAGCTTGAGCAGGAGCGCCTGGTGAGGAAAAGCTGCAAAGGGAAAAGAAGAACGCGATCGTATAGATAGGGTCGAGCGAGAAAAGCTCGAGAAGCTTGAGCGCGATAGGGTAGAGAGATTAGCACGGGAACAGACGCAACGAGAAGCGCGAGAAAGAGAGGCGAGAGAGGCGAGAGAGAGGGAAGCCAAAGCGGCAAGAGAGGCTAGGGAGAGAGAAGTGCAAGAAGCTAGAGAAAGAGAGGCAAGAGAGGCTCGGGAAAGGGAAGCGAGAGAAGTTAGAGAGAAGGCGGCGAGGGAAGCCAGGGAAAAGCAGCTGGAGCAAATGCGAAAGAGAGAAGAAGAGGATGCCAAGGCCTCCAAAAGGCAAGTACCTACGCCTACTCGGGCGTGGGGGAGAAGATCAATCCGTGGCCAAACGGGAAACCTACACCCAGTACCACGGCTCCTCCGTCTCCTTCAACGCCATCGCATCCATATCCACCATCAAATCCAAATCCAGCACCATCCACCGTCTTTACCAGTCCTAACAGCGAGAAGCGGCCGCCAGCACCGTCCGTCAACACATTTACAGGCACCGACAACGAGACCACGTACTCCTACCGACCCTACGATCAACCGAAGCAGCCCAGAAGGAAGAACTCGTTTTCAGAATTCTCTGAAACGTCATGGGCCCCCTCGCACACGACCGCGAAAACCTCGCCCCCGCCCTCCATGCGGGGCCGTACACGACTACAGATCCCGACAAAATCGTTATTAAGGCTGTCTACCTCTTCATGAACCAGTTCTCCAAGACACCCGCCAGCCAGCTCGTGTCTGGCATTGGCACCGTCACGGATGGACTGATTCTGAGGATCACGACAGAGGGTCTCTTCATCGACGATGACGTCAGGGTGTGCCACAGCGCGAATGGGACGTCAAGGCCTGGACACTGAAACAGGCCGAGGTATGGTGCCCCCGCACTGTTTAACTCCATCTCCCCAGACCCCAAGCGGTGCGAATACCAGCTCCCCCAACGTACTCCGCAAAATGGCTGGTCAGCGCTTTCAAGACCGAGGCGCATCCAAGATCCTCTCAGGCGACGACGCAGACCTATATCTCTCGGAGATGCTGCGTGCCTGCAAGGATTGCTGCCGCCTCGGTCTTTGTGAGGCAACTTTTAAAGGTACTAACATCCCATCTCCGACGGGGCAGACTGGAGAATGGAAACCCAAAGGTCTCCACGTTCTCCGAGCCACGATTCGCGATCAAGAAGGCAAGAGGTACATGTTTGTCCTCAACGAGGAAGAGAGCTGGAAGGTGGCGGTGGGTTTGCAGCGGCTCCGTCGAGGCACGCAAGCCAGGGCATTGGGCATTAGCGGGATGAGTAGCGCAGAGATGAGGGGTTCGCTCGAATTGCTGGGCTGGATATGACTGCATGGCAGATCCGACGCTAAACGCGCACCACCAAAAGAATCCCGACAGTCTCACGAGCCGTCGCGGACTCTCTCTCGACTTCTATCTACCCCACAATGGCGAACACCGGCAACTCCCGGGCGGCGTCATGCTTTCGGCCCACGCTGCTTGGTCGCAACCTTACCCACCTTGTTCTCCACTCCCCTCGCCCCTGGATACTGAGCATAATCCATCCATGTTGGGAGGTGTTTTGCGCCTACCCTTTCCCAGACCCTTTCGTGGGTCCCAATCCACGCCGCCGGTGTTGGGTTGGCGAGCAACCTTGGTCACAACGACACTGGAATTATTTCCGTTTCCGTCTCGGTCCCGTCACACCAAACCAAAATCATTCATCGCTTCTCCCTTCCCAACAAGCCGCGCAGATTCGGTGGGGCGGGCAACAACTGCAACGACTACCACAACAACAACAACAACAACAACAATAGCATTCACCTACACCACACCAACTCACCCATTTGATGTTTGATTTTTTCCACTTTCGGCATTGTTCCAGCGACACTTTGTGATTTAGAAAGAAAGAGGGGTTTAAAAGCACGTCAGCCATAGATCACTTGATTTGCGTTGGGTTTTTGGGCCCCATATGGTTCTTTCTGGTTTCTTGTTCTTCTTTTCTCGCTTGGGCGGTGGAGCGAAACCTCATCGCTTCACTCCCACCATTCCGGTCGCATGTTATGGCCGGCCAACACCCCGTTGTCCGCTCTGGACAATCATGAATCCCTGTGCCCGGGCTCAGTTTCGCCCGGAGCATTCAAATGAAGTAGATACCTTAGATTGAGCTTGCAGGATGGGGGATCTGAGATGTGTTATGAATACAACATGAAGAAATTTTAATGCCTTATACGCTTTTGCCATTGAACCAGCTGTTACGTAAATCTTGGCCGCATTGTGTTGTTACATATATATAGTGCTGTGGACACAGGCCTTCCTGTCCAGCAACATTGAAGCTTTTCACACGCACCTGCAGAAGCTCGCGTCTACGGCACCACGCTCAGGCAGGCAGAAAAGTTGCCGGCGCGTCTAAGGATGTCGGAAACGGGCAGACACTAACACAAGCGACGACATTTTCGCTGTGAAGGTAACTGTAGGGGTAACTATCGGAGGGCCAACGCGTCCGTCCATAATAGCGGCAAGTATTATTGCCTGCCTCACTTCTTCAGGCTATAGCACATTGGAGTGTTTTACGTGGTTAACAGATGTGATAGATGAAGCATACTGAGAGAAGAGCACGGTGGAAGAACAAGACGGCGCTTGGCCGGGCCAGAAATTGCATCCTTACAAAATACAGCATGATTTGTATATCAGTGTTACCTTAGGTTTCAATGACTAACGGTATTGGTGCCAGGCGTAAGAGGGACAGAGGTGTTCGTCGGCAGTCAGGGGGTACTACTGAAGCTGTCTTGGTTTCTGCTCATCTCCATTTGGCCCCTTGTCCTTCTCTGCCGCCTCGGCATCCCCTGGCTGGGAACCCATCATGGCGAGGGGCAACGTCCTGGCTGCTTCGTTGGCGGTCCTGCCGCTCAGCAGTGGCGGCGCGAGCCTGATCAAACTTGAGGGTCTCGGCGGCGGCTCTTTGGGCGTCGGCCGTGCATGACTTGTTATTCGCGACGTTTTGGTGTACGTACGAGGGTACGAAACCACCAGGTCGTCCGGGCACCATTTCCGCGTATCTCGTGCCGAGTAGAGGGTGGTTGGCGGAGGGGCGGGGTTTTTGGTTTTGTTGGACGAGCGCCGGTTTCAATCGTAGGGGAGATGGCGCGACGAGTCGGTGTGAGTGGGTGTAGACCGCTTTGAAGATGGATGCTATGGGAAGAGATTAGCCCATTCTGACTATTTTGGGGGAAGGGAAAGGAAACGAGATAGGCCATCATTCATCGCGATCACGTACCCAAGTTTTGATCTCTATTTAGCTATAAGGACAGGGGCGACAGGTTGTGGTCGCCGTTTTTGTTACCTCACTAAGCAGTCGATAATGACGAGGGGAAGGCGGGTATGACATAGATATATTAGGCTACCTTGTGCTAGGTGGCCTTGCAACTTTCGGAAAGAAATCACAAAAAGCCTTGAAGCAAAAGGAATCAAGCAACGGACAAGCTAGGTTCTCCCCAAAAATTGAGGGAAGCAAAACACCGTGTAAGAGGATGAAGGTTCGGGAAAAGTTTCCACTTGACGTGAGCGCTTTTCGTTTTGAAAGAGTTTTTCCTCAACCTCAAAAGTTTCGAGGCACCACATGCTACAAACTTTGGAAAGAGCCACCGTGGAGTGCGGAAAGGACGATGCCGCGAGTCGGCCGGGGGTTCCTTCCGCCCCAAGACAGCGTTAACGCGGGTTTCAAGCGCCGAGGAAGGTGGCACCGCCGTCCCTGCGCCCAAAAGGAAAGATCCTGAGCCAGTTCCTTTGACTCTTTGTTCAATACTTGTGCGGCCTGAAATTGCGGATTGGCATAGCCGTCGTGCGCCGCGTGAAGCTAATTCCAACAGCCGCCATGGCGCCAGGTCGTCCAGGTGTTAGTCATGGCCCCATAGCGTCTTCGAGAAGGGGAGCTCGAAGGTCAAACGATGCATGCGAAACGAGGCAGAGGAGAGTCAAGAAGCAAGCTACAGAGGCAGGAAGGTCGGGAGGTTGGTTCGACAGGCGTGCGTGGGGCATTTTGTAGTTTGGTGCCAAGCGCGATCTGAGAAGAAGGGGGAAAAAAGGAAAGAAGAAAATAAGAGCACGTCTCCACCCGCGAGAATGAGCCCACAAGTCATCGTGCACCGATCCTCACGATGCCTCAAGTTGCCGGCGATCGGGCCAGAGAGCCTAGGGGACGGCCCAGTTTGATGGGGGAGAGTGAGTAAGTGCCAAAATTGGGGAGGGCCCTTCGTTCGTCCGATCTCAGCGGGCCTCAACTCCCATGAATCGTGCGGTTTTCCCCCATAAAGGCCGAGCACGCGCCTCTGCTTTCCCATTCCGGTCTCCGGGAACGAAATGCCAAGCCAATCATTTCCGCCGTGTCGGTCCAAAACGGCTGCACACAATAAAACGTCGGTGGAGTGGGGTCGGTGCACTAATACCTACGCAACTACGGTACGATACGGCAACGTTAAATACTCCCGCCCGGTGGGGCATTGGGGGCCACTTGACTGAATCGAGAGGTAGAGACGGAGCGAGAGCAAGGAAAGCGCAAGAGAGAGAGAGCCGGAAAGAGAGCGACTGGGAGAGAACCCGCCAGAGGGAGGAAAGGGGGACGCACAAATTGGATGCCTCTGGAAATCAGCTTAGGGGCATTTGCCCTTGTGTAACACGAAACGAGACAACAACCCGGTACGCCAGATTCGCGGAGATGATGTTCACTACTCTCTTGAAAACTGCTCTGGATGCAGCCCCACGACAAGGAGACCGCTTCCCCACCAGAGTGCGCGGACGGTGCGTGATGCATTAGCTCAGTCAACCCCTCGGTGCTGCGACTCGAATGTTTAGAACGTCTTTTGTAACGATGTGTAATAATCAGTTAGCAGAAGCAACGACTCGCGGCAACGCATCAGACGCATCGCACGGTCGACTACTGCCAACTCTCTACAACGGTATACACGCCAACGTTGGGGTTCCCAGAGAGCGCTTAAGTACTTCGTAGAAACGAAAAAAGGAAGAAAACACAAGGGAGGGTCTTTTCTTCCACCCCCTCTAGATGGGAATACGCCAGCCCAGGTCCGTTCCGCTCAGCTAGTTCACCTTCCATCCTCGCGAGCTGGTGTCACTGAACTGGGCCCCCGAGAGTGAGGCCCCTCTGTCAACATCGCGGTTGGGACATCACGTCCAGGCATCCATATGGTACGAGACTCCCTTCTGTAACACACACCTTTATACGCACACACACACACACGCACAAGCGTCCACGCTAGAGTCACCGGCATCCGCACGAGTCGAGCATATATTCCCTCGATCACGAGTGGACTCCTAGCAGGGCGTGGGTGAAGAGGGAGTGGAGGGTGGCGACACGATGGGGTGTCTCAGTCTCTATCCCTGTAGCCTCATCTTCAAGGATTGATTCGCGGCGAAGCCAAGGCCACGATCACTAAGAATGGGAAACGATAGGCAGCAGGTGGAAAGAGGAGGAGGGGGATTTCCAAGAGCCACAGTACATGGAAGATGACGTGTGGTTGTCCCTAGCATCGATGGAGCACACAGCCTGGGCAAAAATAAATCGCTGGGGCTGTCTCTAGGGCTTCACGGCACAGGCTAGGGCCAAGGGGTTGGTGAAAACACGCGCGCACACGCACATACATGGGAGAAGGATGGGGGAGAGTGAGGGAGATGGATGGGTGGTGTATCCCACCCTCAACAGATCCAAGGCTCCACGCCTAGCACGGCAAACCACCCCCTCCCCCTTTTCTTTTTTTCTTTTTCTTTTTTTCTCTCCCTCCCCTCAACTCTCTCTCTCTCTCCCTATTTCTGATTGTGTGCGCCCAACCACACTCAGCTCAGCATGGGCAGAGCAAGAGACAACCTCAACGCCATGATTGGGGGTAAGGACCCGCCTGAAGGAGGGGAAAGTGCCGAGCCTGCGTAATCCCTGCATGAGGTCCTCCGTCCCTATTCGTGCCTTGTCTCAAAGAGGGGGGAACGAGTCGAGGTGGGAGGTGGCGAGCTGTAATAACCTTGCTCCCATCTGGGCGTCTGTAGAGTCCGATCCTATCACAATGCCGAGGACCCCTAGGTACAGTGAGGCTTATTTCCAGATCTTTCCGGTATGTAAGAGGTATGTAAAAGAGGGTCAAGATACCGGTACGTGATAGCCATTCTCCGAACGAGCTAGAGGCTATCAGAGCTCGCTCTCGTGGAGTGAAGAGTTAGAAGGTTGAGTAAGATTGGTATTCCAATGTTGACTTCTTGTCAATGTATCTACAGGGCCCGACCTTATTTCCTCGCCATAAACGCCCCTAGCCAGATCAACCACATCAGTCTTCGATGACGGGATCTTCTTTAGTGATGAGTGACAATGTAGGTTCAAGGGTCGGAGAAAGACATAGAAAAGGAGTGTAGCTATAGTAAGATGTAGAAGGAAGGAAAAGAGAAGACGAAAATGAAAAGATTTGAAAAAGTAAAACAAAACACACTAGATGCACCGTGGAAGGACAATACTTCTTGAGGCCAAAGGGTTACTCAAAGTTGGACTTTGACAAAAAGGAAATTCGACATGAGAGACTGGGGAGAAGGGTGAGACAACATCCTGTAGAGGGGGCGAGAGTTCATGCCACAGATACGAAAGTGGAAGCATTTCTTAAAATATTCCATGGCAGCCAGCGGCCCATCTCAAAAGCGTGAACCCAATCTTAGGCAGGACTCGAGGGTACTGAATAACCTTGGTCTCTAAGTTTACGAAGGACAGAGCGCTCGTCGGATGCTAAAGTTGGGGGTAGAACACACTTGTAAGTCAATTATTCAAACCGTAGGGGGCGGGGACGGGGAGGCACAGTGCCTTTTTGCATCTCTTGTTCCTCGTGATCTACAAAGAAAGGAAATTGAGGTGACATGGCCTCAATTTCTTATGGAATAGAAGGTGCCGTATGCTCAGCTTGGGGGAGGGGACGGACATAACGGTGTGTGATTGTGGGGATATGAAGATGAACTCGACAAGTGGAATAATGCCAACTATTGTATAGGGGCAAGGGTCTTAACTCACATGGCCTTTGGCATGGCACATCAGCATCGCAGACCGCAAACATGCGGGTCTCAACTTGATCGACGAGAATCGCACCCTGCCCGCTAACGTAATCGACGCGGTAAACGTCGACACGGATTGAGTAGGTTCCCTCGTAGGCGATATTGAGGTCAGGAAACATGAAAGCGACTGGGTGGCCTGTGCTTGAGGAGGAGCGGCGTTGCTCGTCCAGGCCAACGGCGGCGGCAGAGAAGCTCCCGCCAAGCTGTTCGGGGACGGGGTTGCCCTCTGCGTCGAGCAAGATAGCGGTGGCAAAGAGATAAGGGATATCATCCTCTGTAGTACCAGCAGGTCGGCCCTTCGCTATGACAGGCGGGTATAGTTTGGCCCCGCACGAGCTTGTGTTGGAGGTTGAACCCCAATATTGAACATGTTGGACCTGAAACTTTGGTTCGTTCTAGATGGCGGTAGCGCAGAAAGAGGGCGCCGTATGCTGTTACTGCTGTGGTTGTGGTTGTGGCTGTTGCTGCTGCTGCTGCTGCTTCCGCCTGTGCCTGACACTCGACTGGACCTCGAGGACCCCTTGGAAGGCATGGTGATAATAGTATTACTTATAGTTTTGGGTTTCAACGTCTGGATCTTGCGGAGCCCCGAAATGTTGAGGCCAAGGCACAAGAGGAACAAAGGCACGATGACGATGACGGCGAGGAAATGAGGCTACACCCCGGGTAAAAAAAAGATTAAAAAAACGAAGAAAAGAAAACGTGGAAAACAAGATCCCGGAATGTGTGATGGCCGGAGGAGCTGATGATAGGTGAGGCGAGGGAACAGAAGGAGGGATCGCTCTGCCGTTGTGTATCCTTGCAAAAGATTGCGTTCCTTGACAAGTAACGAGATGGTGGAGAGGAGAAAGGATGAATTGCGTGGGAGAAGGCCAGCTTATGATATAATTTGTAAATACTTACATGGTACGCCTGCCTCGTGGTGATCGGGTGTTGGTGCATATAAGTCAAGCGGTGGTGGCGGTCGTAACTCAGTTGAAAGTCGAAAGTGGCTCTGCGACGACAGAGAGTGATGGACGAGGATAGCTCCCCTTGGCGCACCCCTCCACCTCTCTTCACCCTAGGAAAAGCGGCGGGATGGGCAAGAGAGGCTTTTCTTTTCTTTTTCCTCCTCTCCCTCTTTCCCTTGTGCGCAATTCTAGTTTCTTTCTCTGGAGAGGTAGGCGATAGACTTCGTGTCCCCAGAGAGACAGCCGAGTCTCTATCGATAAGGGGGGCGTTCTTTGAAGCCGAGTATGGGGTGTGTGACCAAGTGAGGTCCTTTTAGAGAACGTGATACTGGATGGAGCTAGACGAGGCGGTAGGGCTTAAATGAGATATTTTGGTGGAGGACAGCAGTCTTGGGCCGCAGACGGGGCCTTTCAGGAAATGACAGCTCAGCCGGGGGTGTACGCGTGCTATGTATCGTTCATACGCATGTCTCTCAATGACATGAATGTGCGTGTATCTCGGCGCTGTTGACAAGACAGTAATTCATGAGCAGCGAGGCCGATGATACTAGAGAAGGAGATCCGTGCCAATCATCCGCAGCCAGCGGCTTCAGTTGACGCAACTTGCAAGGAGGGGATAGGAATGCCACCCCTCTTGCTCTCCGAGCACCGTATTTACCCTCCACCCTGGTCCCTAACCCCGACGAGGCCACCAGGGCGGAAGAGAAGGGGTGTGGGTGGAGTGATGAGTGAGGGATGACTGCCTTGGCTGAGCACATTCCCATTCAGCTCAGCAGAAAATGGTGTCTCTCTCCTTCTCTTGTAAAACAGCACAGGGCGGTTTTAGACAGGTTCGTTCGCTTACCCTTCTTCAAGGGTCTTCTTAAGGCACGATAACACGCGAGGAAGAAGAAGGCAGAAGAGGAGTGCTCAGCTGAGAGGGGATATTCTCCTGCCTCGCCCTGCGAGCTTGGTTGCAACCGAGGATAGGTTTTGAGGAGGGTAACAACGTCGTCAGCCGACAACAATAATAGGCTATTAAATCAGGGGATTCTTGCGAATCCTGTGTTATCGACATTCCTTCTCGTTTCCCTTTTCCTCTTTTTCCTTTCTTTTGGTGGTTTGGACTGGTAAGAGAAACGCCACGCGGGCGGTTGTGCTCCCGACCTCGACCGCCTCGCCGCGGCTCAAGAGCCCGCCTTTGCCTCCTCTCCCCATTGCCATTCAGTTGGGCAGGGGTGGGTCTCAGACAGAACCTTGGTCGAGGACCAGTTCGCCGGGACCCTTGTGAGGCGGGCGCTAACAAGGATTACCCTTCACATGGTAAAGATGTGACCAAGACACCTCGTTAGTCCTCAGATATCAATAACAACTCATGCTAATAGTTGTGGTAATGGAAAAGGAAGCTGCCCTGAATCCTGAAAGTGGCCACAGCGGAAATAGGAACAAAAGAGGGTGCCCTCAGATAATGTTTCCTACCCTTTCTTACAGTTGAGAGTGGGGGATGGGCTGAATACGGGGAAGAGGAGAGGGGAGAGGGGAGTAGAAGTTGAGAGCGAAAAAAAAAAAAGAAAAAAAGACGAGAAAAAGATGGAGCATCCTAGGTACGAACACTTGTCTTTTCTTTTCTTCTCCTCCTTTTTCTCTCCTTTCTTTTGCTGGCCTTCTTGCTTGTCTACTGTTCGTCATCCGTCAAGAAGAAGTCGGACAGTGTGCAAATCATCATTCGTGCAAGACTGCCGTGGCCCCAAATTGGCAATGAAACGAAACTTGGAGGACCGGGATCAACGCTGATCTCGTCTGTCGCTCATCATTGTCCCATCTGGCTGGGCCAGGAGCAAGACCGGCGAGTGGAGAGAGTGGAGAGGGCACGCTAGATGATTGCTCAGTTCGGGGTGATGAAATAGGGGGCTTGGGACCAAAGGACCCCCTTAGGCTGGGATAGACAGCAGTTGTTCTTTAGCATTGATCATGGGTACGCTGGATGGATCAATTGTAATACCAACGAGAGCAGGGGGAACATCGGAAGCAACAGTTTCCGTAGGTGGGAGGGTTGAAGAAAAAGCAATACTGAACTGGGCTACTCCAACTTGATTGCTTGATTGCTTGGGAAGGGAAGCCCACCACACACTTGAAGCTCAAATTGATCACGGAATCTGGGATTGACTGTTGATGGAAAGAGCAGCTTGGCTCGCCTACACCAAAGTACAAGTAAGTAAGTGAGACTCCCGGAGCTGGCGTAGCGCATGGCTTGAGCGTGGCCCTAAAGGCTCGTCTCCTTCGACCCTTCCATCCTTGGGCATCTCAACGAGGATGGAGGGCGCCCTTCCCTTGGGGTCAAGCCAGTAAGATTTGAGAGTGCGCAAGGTTTTGTCCGTTGTGTTACCAAAGCCAAAGGCCGAAAAAAAAAAAAGAAAAAAAGAAAAAGAAAAAGAAAAAGAAAAAGAAAAAGGAGGCAAAAGGAAGGCGCACTGGCACTGGGCTAGTGGCGGCAGGAGCCAGCGGCCACGAGATCTATGTCTGGTGGCGGACGACTCTTCTCATTCGACTGAACAAATGAGCCGCCTTGCACTCGTAGCCATCCCCCATCCTTACTACACCACGACTTTCGAGGAATACTGCCTCTTCATCCCTTGATGAGACCAGCTGGTTCACAAACTCAGATAAAACCAACCCCACCCGAAAGTATCTGTGTTGATACCGAAAGCGCCAAAGGAGGGGAAACCCCCGCGAAGCCCACACAAAAGGGGGAGGGGTGGGGGCAAGATTGCTCATCCGCGCTCTGTACACATCCAGCCAAGCCCAGCAAAGAGCACGAGCACGAGCACGGTGGGGCGGAGGCAAGCCAGCCCATCTCATCTCAACCGAACCTCTGGTTCAGAAGAAAAGAGACTGGTCACTTGTCTGATATCGCTGAATCCATCGTAACACAGGAGATTTGTTTATTTCCAGCTTGTGACGCCCCCTCCCTGCCATTGAAGCCATCAAGTGAGGTTCGGCTGTTCGCCGGTTGACCAGGGGTGAGGAGGTGCCGTGGAGGTGATGGAGGACGAGAGACAACGAGATGGGGATGAAAGCAATTGAAGTGAAGGTGAAGGAAAGAGAGTCGGGAAGGGGACGCGTCCACGACGAGGAAAGCCAACCCAGCCACGCTCAGCCCGGCCCAGTCAGGTTGTGAGCGTGATGATGCGCGTTGTACAGTTCGAAAAACGCTGCATTACGTCCTGCATGTGAAATGCAGCGGTTCCGAGAGGAAGCCTGTGCAAATGCGAGGTAGATCAGGGAGCGGCCAGTCCCCGGTTTCCAGGATCTGGTCCAAGCCACCCTTAGCCGGATTGGAAAGCCGAACCCACCCTCCATCTCCTCCTCTGATCTCAGATCGTTGGCTAGGGCGGCGGACTGTGGCGTTCAAATAATGGTTTGGGTTCCAATCACGCGCCGCAGGCCACTTGCCCTGGACGCCTTGGAATGCTCTGGGGACGCTGTACACTGGCTGTACGCTGGCTGTTCGTATTGTACTGATCAGTCAATGGATCTTTAGGTTGGATGCAAGCCCCCGAACGAGTCGGCGTGCTGGATCTGGTGGAAGCTGACAACGACACGCGGAGACCAACATCTGCTGTGCGAGCAAGGGCGGCGGCGCCCATTGTTCTCTCTCTCCCTCTTGATAACGCTATCTTCATTTTGTGCTTGCCTTCCATCCCCCTCTTTTCTCACTTTCGCTTCCCCATTTCTCGCTATTTTTATCGTAAATACCTCAGACTTGCTTAAAGATTCAACAGAGGAGAGGGAGGGGGAGGGAGTGAGTCAAGAGACATCGGCGGCGCCACTTTCTGCCCACTTGTGCAACTCACCCTTTTGGATGAAGCACAAATCCGGTGCTGCGGTACGCCATCGGCCAATGCTCAGCCCTGGCGGAGATTGTCTGCGAGGATGCTCGTTAATATTACTTTGCACCAAACACGGCGACGAGCCACCTCTCCGCAGATGCCTGCCCTGCTGGCTCTCTTACACAAGAACCGAAGCCCAGATACCGGGAACGGAACACAGGGAGCATGGCTGAGTGCGCCTTTGTATTTGCCGTGGCTTGGGTCATGATTTGCCCGGTTCCTGTTTCTCTTATCACCCACTACTAGGAGTGTACTTAAGCGTTTCGGAAGCAGATCCGGAGAGCCCCACTAGCCTTCAACAAGACCCGACTGAATCAAGATGCGTGCTTCCGTGAACCGACTACCGGCGCCGGCACAGGCAAGGTCGATCCTCACCCAGCACTGCGAGCACGCCCCCACCGAGGCCCCGAATTTTGCTAATTCCCCATGCTCCTGAGTTGATTCGTGCTTTTCCCCTCCACCGCATGGTATTTTCGTGGAGAAGCACACTAGAGGAACTCAAGGGGAACCAAAACCCTCCCTTGCCCAGAATACCGGAAATGGCTATGACGGTGGGAAGGCCAGGGATGACACTGGCGTCTATTCTGTTCAGCAAGGGAGCCCACCCTCAAACAAACGGCTAATTCCCCTCAAAAAACCCCCACCCTTCAATGCAAGTCGCACATTACATCAACAGATTCGTGGCTGACCAAAGAGGCAATAACACAATGGATCACACTCATGAAGCCTACATCTTGTGTTTTCGAAGCCCCCCTCCCCATTCTTCCCCGTAATTCAAGGGCGAAGAAAGGTCGTTGAGACCATTACTTGGTTTCTACCAAGACTGCTGTTGTAGTAGTCAAAGTGGAATTGTGGAGGTTCTCGCCGGAATTTCCGTGTAAATCCGAAGCACCTGGGCTGAGGCCTTGGCTCCCCAAACATCTGTACCAGTTTGGGCTTAGAATTTGAGGCTCAAGCCGTGATAGTGCTCCTGAACGAACCCCCTCGACCCTTAGAGAAGCAGCGAGGAGCAAGGCGGATGTCCGACGATAGGCTGCCAACGTTCAGTGCTGATTATCTCTAAACGAGGATCCTAGGAAGATGGCGGCCTGTTCCACCAAGTCGCGTCCCTGGCAAAGTACTGGATGTTTAACCCTTGACATTTTGCCTCTCGCCCTCCATTATTTTTTATGACGCACGATCCGACTGACTCGGCTTCGCCTGCTGTTCGTTATCAACCTAATAATACCCAGCGTCTTTTTTTCCTTTCTTTCTTTTTTTTTCCTTTCTTTCTTTTTTTTTCCTTTTTTTTTTTTTTTTTTTGGTTGAGGCATGCACAAGGACATCGATGCAACAGGGTTCCCCTACCTTGTCCTTCCCTCACCATCACCATCACACACCTCGATGCAGCTCTTGGGCCCGGAGATATCGCTGGTTTTCCGGTCCTCGTGGTCGGTACCGTCCTGGGTAAGTGAAATAAACGATCCTTAATCGCCGACGAGAGAACACCCTCTGGTGTCGAAAATGATACTCCTCTTCAGCTAGCCAAGGGCGCAGTCGTGTCAACCAAGTTAGCGGCCGAGGATCGCTATCCACAACCACTTCCACCGTCACTTTCCTTCTTTCTTTTTCCTCTCCCTGTTTCTTCTTTTTTCTACCGTCTTCTCACTTCTCACTTTTTTCTTCTCTTCCCTTTCCCCTTTTAACCCAGGCTCTCACTTCTCGTCTAACGACTCTTCCATTTCTTTTCCGCTTCTTTTCTTTCTTTTTCCTCTTTCTCTCATTCTATGCATTGCCACCCTCCTCCTCTTACCCCCTGATGCTTTTACCTGTCCTCAGGTCTAATCACGACTGCCTTCCCTCTCCCTAGCTCTTGCCCCCTCTCTCACTTTTGTCCGCTCATAAGGCCCCTAATCTTGATCTTTCGAATGACACGTTTGTATCACCCATCCCACCCCGAGATCCTGCATGCACCCGCAAGACGGACATCGAAGTTGATGAGCAAGGGGGTGTCTCCAGGGGATGGGTCAGGTTCGTGTGGGGGTTTGCTGCATCGCTTTTATTTCCCTTTTCGTCTGCCCCCCGGGCCCTTCTCCCTAGTCTTGCCAAACTCCGGTTTTCAGAGAGCTGCGAGAGGTCGCTATTGCGAGAAACACAGCCAGGCCCCAAACCCTTGGCAAAGACCTTGTCGCAGCGAGGAATACACTGGGACCTGATTCTTAGAAGCCCTCATGGCAAACCAGCGTGTCCGCCACTGCCGCATAACGGCGCTAAAGCTGATATCGATACCATGCCTTTTTTACCTCATGGCTCATGGCTCATGAGGGGAAGCGAGCGTTTTCCGACCCCAGAGGGAGAGATTCAAGTACCTTGTGCAGATCCACACGCGCGGCTGACGGTTGGCAACGGTGAATGGACCACTGATCGCCTTGGTCTTTGCCCCTCCCAAAATCCTCGTCGACCCCGGCCCGAGTCACTGCTTGAGCTTCGCGGTTGCCGAACCGGGACTTGCTGTCATTCGTGGGAGGCGATTTGGCGATGTCATGGCTGAGACCTTTGCATCCCAACGTAGCAAGCATCCTTGCACTTCCCCTTCCTCCCTCCTCCCTAGCTTGGCGAATGCCCCCTCCAACAATCCGACTTCACGCTCGACCGGTGCGACAAGTCATTGCGTCATGGACTCGCTCTTCCTTCGACAGGGAGAGATAGGCTCAACTCAGTGAGGAAGTATGAGTAGGAGAAACGAAGGATTGCAAGATCGACGGCCTGTATTACTCGAACCCCGGGCCTTCCCCACCACGATGATCTATTCCAACCACCGACCACCGACACATCGAATCACCGTGGTATCAAGAACTTTGAAGTGTACGCTGACTGACGCTTACCGCATCCAAGAAAGGGGGCAGGGAGGGGGAGGGGTAGCACGGGCAGTGCAAGAGCCACGAAAAAGAAAAAGAAGCAAAAAAAAAAGGAGATAGAAAAAAACTTCAAACGAGAAAAAAAGTGTATATATATATATATCACAACAAAGTAAATAAAAAGAAGGATTCGTTCCAAATATTTCAAGAATTAGTCACCCCGGCTTCGGGATGATAGCCCTCTGCGGACATCCACGCGCCCAAAGTGAAGCATTAGACTGGCTCGGCCCCCTTGCTCTCTCTCTCTCTCTCTCTCTCTCTCTCCCGTCTCTGCCGTGACCCGTCATTGCCCATTGGCACTGATTCTACCTTCTAATGCTCGCAACTAGAACCCGAACCACTTCTTCATTGTCTCGAACCAACTGCTTGGGTCCGAAGACTTGGACGTGGTGCGGAAGACCCTGCTGGTGGAACCGGGCTGCACGGGGGTTGCCTGCCTTTTCCAGCAGGTCCACGTATCGGATGTTGAACGCGGGCATGTCCTTGACCTCCCAGTCTTCTAGGTTCTCGGGTTCTCCAAAGACCTTGAGGGCCCGGAACCTGAATTTATACCTACCCTCGGCGGCGAAGGAGCCGTTGCGGAACTCGCCGTCCCAGTAGAGCACCTCATCCGCTGGGCCCTTGGGGTTGAAGAGCCAGGGCCTCGCGGTGCGTTCCCGGCTCCTGCTCGGCGTCGGCATCCTCGTTGTCGCCCGAGACCGGGATGATCTCAAGATCAGTGTACAGACTTCCCGTGTTGAGGGCGATGAGGAAGCCGGGGAAGGTGGTGCTGTATTGAACGTCGCGGGTTGTCAAGTTGGCCGTTCCGGGAATGGGGAGGTTGAAGACGCGGTCGGTGTCCTCGGTGATGGGCTGGATCGTCTCGTTTATCCTGCCGGGGCGGGGATGGCCAAAAGTCGACGTGGCCGATGACGGCCAAGCTTTGCATGCTACCGGCAACACCCTGGTAGGCGAGGTGGTAGAGGGCTCCGTCCGAGGCGTTGACGGTTACCCATCCGGACCAAACCGCGATCCTCTCGGCGTCGAGGGAGTCGGCCGGAGTAGGGGTGACCTTGATAGTGGCCTCCTCACCAGGGGCGATTGTGATGGATTCGGGTTCAAAAGCAATGTCTGTGTATTCTTCAGTCAGATCGGTGGGGAAAGTCTCCATGAAATCATCGGGACCGGAGCCACTCTTGAGGTACACTGTCGCGGCCTGGAGGTTTCCAAACTCGTATGTGATCTCCTCGTCACCGTTGTTGGTGATGGTGAACTCTTGGGAGGCGACGGCGTGATCGGTGTCATTGAAAAGCAGGCTGCTCTTGTCCAGGATCGAGGAGGCAAAGGTGGCGTCGTAGGCCTGAATGACACCGTTGCCCTGCTGAGGTACTGGCGCGTAGAAATCAAAAGTCGCCGATCCGTTGCTGAACTTGACGGGCTTCGCGGTGTTGGCAAGCAGCCGCTCAAAGGTGGATGGTGTCACTTTGCCAAGCTTTTCCATCATGAGAGCCAGAGTTCCGGCCACGAGGGGAGTAGCCATGGAGGTACCGGACAAGACACCAAAGACACCACCATCGAGAGGAAGGGTCGAGAGAATGCTGCCACCTGGGGCGGCAATGATGGGCTTTACATCGAGCTCCCAAGTCGGGCCCCAGGAAGTGAACTGGCTGGGAAGATCGCCCGTGAGTTCGTTGGGGGTGTTGACCAATCGGACCTGGTCGAAATCATTCATCCCGATGGTGAGTCGAACCTCGGAACCCTCTTCGAGGGCCTTGATCCATGCCTCGCCCTGCTCAGGGCTTACCATGCCGATGCCCCTGATTCCAAAGACCTCGGAGACATCCACAGTGATGGTGCCGGGGACGTTGTTGTAAAGGATGACGTACTGGGCACCCTTCGCCGCAGCGCGGGTAGCCTTCTCGACGAAGGTGCAAGTGCCACGGCGAATGAAGGCGATCTTTCCTGTCAGGTCAACATCCGCAGGCCAGTCCTCACAGCCGTTTGCAGGGTCGGTAATGTTGAAGTTGAACGCGACGAGGGGCAAGTCCACGGTATCGACAAAGGCTTTGGGGTTGCCAGCAGTCCAGACCCACTCTTCCTTCTCGCCGTCGTCGATGGCGAAGAGTGATGGGGTCAGGAGTTGGGGGCTGTGAGTGTTATCTACTGATGCGACAGCAATGACACCTTTACCGCTGGCGGCGGAGCTAGCATAGAATAGGCCGGCATCGCCAGCATTTCCAGCAGCAATGGTGCAAGGAATACCCTGCTCAACAATGCGCTGGGCGGCGACGCACCAAGGCTCCTCGGACCAGCCTCCTGGTCCACCAATAGAAGCAGTGATAATATCGGAACCGTCATCCGCTGCTCGGATAAAGGCCTCGATCAGAACATCGTTCTCGACACCTCCGGAGCAGCCAAAGACCTTGTAGGCGCCAAGGGTAACGCCGGGAGCGGCGCCTTGGACTCCAAAGTCGTTCCCTGACTGGGAGGCGACAATACCAGCAACATGGGTTCCATGGCCGTTGCAGTCCATGGGATCCCAATCCTTTACGGGCGTAGACTTGCCACCTGAGTACTCATCTCCCGCAAAGTCCCACCCGTAGGCGACCTTGCATCCAGGGCCATAGCAGCCTCCGAGCATCGGGTGGTTATAATCGATCTGTAATTGTGGCGTTAGAAATGGTGGTCGCTTGCCAGAGAGATATGAAGCCTTGGAATCAGGCAAACTAATGCGTGGGATAAGGCGATACTTACGCCGGTATCGATGACAGCCACCCGGATGCCCTTTCCAGTTAGACCTTCGGCCCTGAGACGATCCACCTGAGTCTGGAGATGGGTAGAAAACTCGTCTTTCTCTTCCGCCTCCTCTTCCGCCTCCTCGCCTTCGTCTTGGCGTTTCTGAAGGAGTGCCGATTGCTTCGCGCCCGATGCTGTCCAGACAACCTGATCGTCAGGGGCCGGAACCAAGGTGACTGGATAGACCCGCATATTGGGCATCTGTCGAATCTCCTCGATAGTCTGATCCGATGTCTCGACATCAGTCATTTCGATGGACGCGCCTCGGAAGAACGGGGAAGTAAAGTTCTTCCTTGTCCGGGCCGCAGCGTCTACCAATCTGTCATAGAAGCCGGTGACATCCTACCGGGATATGTTAGAAGCAATGTCTCGAGGGGAAGGGGGAAGGCGGGTAGGCGGTGAGGCGGGGGAGGAGGGAAGAGGTGAGAGAGGAATAGGAATGGCGCCGGATGGGTGGTGAGGCGACAGAACAAACGTACAGCGCCATCTGCGAATTCGACGACATATCGGTGAGGCACGGCGATCAAGCCCAAGGCGGGACTCGCCGCCGCAAGAAGCGGAGTATCGCGGTTGTTCGGACCATTGTGGTGTCTCTGGTGCGTCTGCGTTGCACAGGAGGTCGTGGATCAGTGGCCGAATGATGGACACGAGCCGAGGTGAGTGGGAGTTACCTCAACTGTGGAAGGGACACACCGTTCTCCAAGGATCGGCGAGTGACAGAGGCGAGCTACGACAATGAGGATGGAAGCTTGGATGGGTCGCCAAGTCGCGGAAAGGGGCGGGGGATGCGGTCCTACATATCCTTCTCGGCCTCCTCTATGGTGCTCCTCGCCTCGTGCTCCCCGGCGTCGCTCGTGCGCAGGCCTAGACGATACGGGGAAAGACCCCATTCCATCTGTAAGTACCCCACGCGCGCAGTGATGCACTTTGTCACTTTGAAATCCTTCCTTTCGTCATTCATTTGAGATAAACCGACCCTATACAACTGTGGAGTAGTACGCTGGATAGAGTAGCGATCAAAGTCTGGCCGCGATGGGCGATGGGGAGTGAAGCATGGTTCCAATACCCCTGCAGCCGGACCCACTTCATCGGGAAGGTACTTTGGCTCGGCAGGGCATTGTGTGTGGTGCTCCGCACGCGGCCGAGAGGGTGGGGAATCAAAGTCCCGGGGTGTGCCTGACTGGCTCTTCGTTCTCGGAGATTGGTCGATGCACTGCACTGCCAAGCCGCAAATGAGGCAGTCTTTTTGCATTCTTATCACGCACGCCAGTCGCGCCCTTTCTTTCTTTTTCTTCTTCTCTGAAGATTTCGTCTTGTTTCTATCAAAAGGGAATTGCCAGGGGGAGGTGGGGGATGAGGGCGCGAGGGCACGAGGGGATGAGGGGAGGGGGAAGGGGAAGGGGAAGGGGGAGGGAGACGGGGAGACGGAGACACCCCTCACAGTGAGAGTGTTCTCCGCCAACTCTATTGCCATTGAGTCTCTGCGACAGGGCGGCGAGGGCCCATGATGCTGGCTAAGGGCCATATCGCTTCAAAGGTTGGCGCGATTAATATATTGCTAGTAGTCTCCAACGGAGGGGTGGTTGTCCGTTTATCAGGCTAGATTGTACGGCAATATGCGCGGACGGAGGAAATAAGGTCTTGATGGTGAAATGGCCAATGCAACCGCCCACAGCAACCTCGGGTTGATTAAGTACCTAATAAGCGGGAGGACAGCGCTCCCCAACCTCCCTTTTCGAAGCCAAACTTGAGCCATGCAATCGAAAAGCATTACTTGTACGAAGTAGCTGCGCCCTGGTGAGTCGTGAGAACACGGTAGGCGGTTGCGCGCATGCACACATGGACAAGTGTGTAGCCCGAGGATTGTTTTTGGCGGACTTCTTTTTCTTTTTCCCATTAGGTGTTTCGAGCGTCAACCCTGCTATCGATCGGCCCAGCGAACTGTTGGTTCAGTCATGGTATTATGCATGAACCTACACTGAATTGTTGGATATCGCATGGCAACCGGTAAACGGCGAAACAAAAAAAAAAAAAAGCAACCCTTATTCTTTCTTCCTTTTTTCTTCGTTCTTTTCCGGAAAGATGAGCCCTTTTGATCCAAGTGCCACCGCGCATCATGACGCGGGCGCAAAGCCATGGTGTAACGGAGGTCCCTGGAAGAATGAAAGAAGTCTGGGAACCAAGACAAGAATGAGCGAGACGCAGTGGGGGCTCTAGAGAGAAGACTGCACGCCGCTTGGCTACGGCCGCGCACCTGGCTCCTTGTAAGGTGAGGCACATTGCTTCTGGCTCGCCAATGCGACACCGCCTCCCCTCGTGCCGAAGGAAAATGATGAACGGGCCAGGCGGGGGCGGTGGATCATGCTATAGGTCCGTTTCCAAGAGATCAAGAGGGCCGGTTGGAAGTGATCTACGGCCAAATCACTCGGATCGACAAGCTTCAGCCTTCACGCCGCTCAAGAAAGCAATAATTCCTTATGTCACTCGACTATGGTCAAGTGCATAAGCCCTGTAATAGGCAGGTACTATGTGTCAAGTTGAAACCTCACGCTTGAAACAACCCACCGCCTGCTTGCACTGGCGATTGCTTTTTTCCCCATCTCTTCCTCTCCCTCGGTAGTCTCGAGATATATGCCATGGAAGGTTGTCTCACTGAGGGCGGGGGATAGTAATAATCAAAACGTCATGCTCCCAGAAAGCCATGCACATGCAGTAGTCTGATAATTTTAACGCGACGCGCTGTGGCATTATGACCCAATTCAGAACGGAGACAAAATTGCCTTGCAATCACACCGTGATTCGACGTTGCGAGTGAAGTGAGATAATACAACGTGTGCCGATTATGCGAAAGAGGTACTCGGTATCGTGCGGCCGATTCTCTGATATCGGCGGTACTGCAGAAGAGGTAAACATCAATCAATGTGGTAAAGGGTCGCTCAAAGCGAGTGGCAGAAGCCTTCACTTGCGGGGAATTTTGCCAGAAAGAGCAGCTCGATCGTGAGGGACGAGACGCCATGCAGGAACCGCAAATTGAAGGGGGACAGAGGGGATCTTTGCACCCGCGATTTAGGGAGGGGGTCCAAGGGAAGAGGGAGGGGCGTTGCGCTCGCGGAACTGATGGCGCTCGTCGCTGAGCAGTCATCCATTGGCTGGCCATTGGTCCTTTGCCTTGGGTTGGGAGGTGTCCAGCCAGCCAGGGCCAGCCTAACCAACAATCGACGTAGAAGCGTTCCATGGCTGGAAGAGAACGATTGGGACCGACACGATCATTGATGTGTGTGGGTGAGGGCACGGACAAAAGAGCCGCCTCAGCCAACAGCATGTGAGAAAGCGGGACAGATCGCCAGACACTCAGGCGGCGTGAACGGGTGCGTGCGACCCAAAGTTCATTGTCCTCCTCGGCTTAGCCAACTGCGGATGATTGCGAAGATTCTCAGCGTTCCAGTGGGGAAATTCTTGGGGAGCTCGAGCTTAAGCGCGGAGTGAATGGGCTGCTTCCGAACCCGATCCATTACTCGCTATCTCCAAATCAGACCCCTGGTCTAGGGGTAGTCCAGATCTCGCAGCGCTGGGCACTACCTGCTTAAAACAATTGGTCCCGTTCAGACGTCCATCGCGCCTTTCATATCCGTTTGATGTGGTTTGCTGAACCGAACAATTGAGAGGCGAGAGGCAGGTGCAAACCGCGGGAGCAGTTCAAATTCAGTTGCAAGACCTCGGTCGACCCTCCCGCCCGCGCCCACCACGCCCACCTTGCCCGATACGAGGCGCAGGGTGACGGTTGTACGGCTCTCTCTCCGATGCGACAGCCCAGTACGACCAGGGGCGCGGACGGGAACTTCTGTCCTCACTCACCCGGGCGCACCTGCCATTGTTTAGTCGCCAGCACCATCTATCCAAGGCAAGAAGGCAAGGGCTTACATGCTGACAGGCCTGCTTTTTCTGAAGTCGCCATCACGAGCTCATATCGTCCCAACCGACACCGGCATGCTGCACGGATCGTTCATCGCCGAACTGGGCATTTATACATTTTTGGGTCCTTTGTTGTTTGTTTTTCTTCACGTTTTTGTTGCCCAGTCGCGACAACTTCTCGAAGCATATCCCCAGCTTCCTGGGCCAGTGAAATTTCCCCGGGCAGACTGACGCCTAACCAATTGCCGAGATGACCCTCTGGCAATCACTTACAGATCATCAATCTAAGGCAAGAGAAAAAGAAGAAAAGTCTCCGCTTCTTCAATGGTGGTAACCGCCCCCAAAGCCTTTCAAACCACTGCCCGGGCTGGCTACCCCATGGAACGGAGAGCGTCCCCCGCGCGCCCATGCACCCTCACCCTGGAAGTCAAGACGGGTGGGGAGCTTCAGCCCATCTTCGGCGAGCGAGGTGCGGATATTAAGCGGGCAAAAAACGAAAGGGAAGCCCGTAGTCTCGGCTAATGGGTCCCCCTTATCTTCACGGGTTGTCAAAACCGGTAGGTACCAATGTCTAGCACGCCGAGCACGCCGAGCACGCCTGGCACGTCTAGCCCAGCCTCCTGAAAAGTAAAAAGAAAGAAAGGGGGAAGAAGAGAAAAGTCCCCAAATCGAAGAAAATCGCGCGACCGGATCGTCTTGCGCCTGGGCTATGGGATAGGCGGGGGTGGGTTCCATGTTAGAATGGATGGCTCCAATTACTCAACGCGCTCTCGCGCGGAATAGATTACCGTCTTTGGAAGACTTTGTACGCGGGGTCAGTTTTTGATCGAAAATCAGCCTGAGTCGACAATTGCGGAGGTATTTGCCCCAAGGCATTCTCGAAACCTTCGAAAGCTTGTCAATGTGCCCTCGTTAAACGTTGCTGAAAGGGAAGGGCGGTATATTGCACTTGTCAATCTGGGGATATTGCACTTTGAGGTTGAATAAGATTGGAGAGTGATCTACGGCACCGAGCTCCTCCCAGCGACATCCTGCGCTTACGGCTTGATTCCTTCACAGACGGGCTTCTTCCTTCGGTAGCTAGAGATGCCGGCACGCGAAGTGCCATCTTTCCGCTTCGGCACAGCAGGGATAGACAGCTTGTGCGCGGTATTTCACAGCCATTGATGAATCTTCCGCCCGTCTTGTGACCCCATCTCCAGCTGCCAGGTGTGCCCCTCGCGTGGGCCTGGAGAAAGAGAAAGAGGATGAGCCCTCTAACAACAAGTATGCTTAGTCATGCGGAATTTCGGTTGAAGCCGAGTCCGTTAGCAATTTACTTGCATCGTGCATAATTAACACTAACACTCCATTATTTCCTCGTCCGACCCCAACAAGCCAACCCATCCAATTGCATTTCCAAGCACACCTGACGTCAGACCACTACCCGAGCAGCCGGAAAGGAAAAAAAATCATCGTGAGGCTCCTGGACGCGTACAAGCAGTTCGTCGCCGTCTAATCTCTCCATCAACCAGCCAAACGGCCAACCTCTTCCGCCTCCCGTCTTTGCCATCCTCCCTGATCTCCTCGTGAGACGGGCGAAGAGAGAAAAAAAGAAGAAAAACCCAAAAGGGGCAAAAAAATGTTTCTTCGAGCAGCCTTTCGCCGCCCCCTGCGGCCAGTCGTCCTACCGGTCCGTCCCTTCATTACAACCCTCAGCCGCGCATCCGCCCCTTCCTCCGCCGCCCAGTCTTCCTCGTCTCCGACGCCGTCGCCATCCTCCTCCCAGGGGCCCGCTCTTGAAAAGCCCGCCGATCTCGACGCCGAAGAGTCTGCCATTTGGGACAAGCTCGTCGAGAGCCTCGCCCCCACCGCGCTCAACGTCCGGGATGTCTCGGGCGGCTGCGGCTCCATGTACGCCATCGACGTCGTCTCCCCGCCTTCAAGGGCGTCGGCCTCCTGAAACAGCAGAGGATGGTCAATTCCGTCCTTGGCGAGAGGGTCAAGGCATGGCACGGGCTACAACTAAGGACCAAGGCGGCGTAATACGAAGTAGAATCATACATCACGTTAAGCTAGGCGGGCGAGGGGGATGGGGATGGAGAAGCTCATGTCTCCGGTTGGAGAGGTTGGCAAAGAGAAGTTGCGAGCGTTTTGGCAATGGCAAAGTATATAATTGTACGACTATGAGGGAATACGCCTCCCCCCTTTTTTTTTCTTCTTCTTTGTTTTTCTTTTTTTCGTTGGGTCAAATTACAGAGTAACAAGGGTTCACAAACGACGGTTCTCGATACGATTCGGAATGGCATAGCATGGCCGGCGATGAAGGGATTGTTTTTCGGACTGCGCAGAATCGGACGAGTCCAGGTGAAAGTCTTGGCTTGGATGGAGGCAACAGCAAAAGAGGTTAGGCATGATGCCAGCAGCACTGATATATGTACGAGAACAAAGGATTTAGCTGAGGATCGGGGAGGAAATTTGTCTTCGCGCCCATTGATAGAAACAAAGAATACCCACCCTCTCTCTTGCAGCAATTGTTGCGACTTGGCTCAAAAGAGACACGCGAGAAATGTGAAATAAAACTTGTAAATTCTATAAAGGATACCATGGAGGAAATCTGCTTTTGAAACTACCCGACGTTACCAAGCTCCTCCCCACCCAACCCGGGAGCAGCACACCCTTCGTAAAATGCATCCATTCCATTACGTTCCGATTCCTGCCCCATAACCAATAGAGATATATCATCACTCGCAAAATAGAGCATGTGTCTAATGCAGGTTTTCCTTTCCGCCCCCCTCTAAGCGTACCGCGTACCTAATCACCGTGGTGGCCACCCAGCCCCCCTCTCTCCAAGATGCCACCTTCACTTTCCATCCCATGGCCCCCTCGTCTACTGCTTCAAGAACTGGAGGGCCTGCTCCCTCTCCTCCACAGGCATTGTCCTCAAGACTTCCCGGAGACCCCGGAGACCGGCACCCTTGTTGTCTCGGACCAAGGCCGCGAGCTGCGCCGAGAGATTCTCCGACTTGAGGTTGTCAACCTTGTCCGAAATGGCGCGCCTATTAGTCTCGTACCATTCGGCCACGCGGCGGTCGTTCTTGTCAAAGTCATCAATGCTAGACCACGAGGCGAGGAGGCGAAGGTTGCGCTCCTGATCTGGCGGTTCTTGGCATCGTGAGGGTCGGTCGAGTTGTGCAGGAGCATACCCGAAGCCATGCGGCGGAGAATGTACTCCTCGTTGAGTCTGCGGCGAAGACGCCAGTAGAAGTATCGGCGCGAGTCGCACCACTCGAGGGAATCGCGAATGACTCCCTTGGCCTTCATGCGGCCGGCGCGGTCATGAAGGTCGGCAAATTGCAGGGCAATCTGGTTGTAGATGGGCAGCAGCTGCTTCTCGCGGGTAACCATGTTGGCCTTGATGACGTCAACCTCTTCCTTGGACGCCTTGGGGTTATCCGCAAGCTGCTTCTTGAGCGCGGCGTAGGTGGGATCCAGGCGGGCCATCGTGTCCAGCTGCTTGGGAGTTCGGTACTTGATGCCAACGAGACCCTCGGGCTCCAAGACACCTCCGCGCGCCTCCTCGTCGGCGTACATCTCCATAAAGGTGGGGTTGATGGTGGGGTCGACGACGACCCAAGAGCCGCCACGGAGTTCGCCGTAGGGAGGAATGTAGACAAAGACGGGCTGCCTGTACTGGGAGAGGGCGTCGACGATGAAGGATCCATACTTGAGGACCTCGTTGTACATGTCTCGCTGACCACCCGAGAAACCACGCCAGTTGGCAAGGATCATCAGAGGGAGCTGCTCGCCGTTGTTGAAGTCGTTGATCGCCTGGGCCGTCTTGAAAGCGGAGTTGGGGTACCACACACCACCGGCCTCATTTGTGACTTGTTCGATCGAGTCGGGGTTGGCAGCATCGGCAGGTGTGATATTCTCCACCGATCGCGTCTCCACTCCAATTACACCAACGGGGATACCGCCGAGACGAGCACGACCGACCACAACAGTCTTGGCCCAGCCGCCCAGAGTCTCGACGAACGAGTCCTTGTCGAAGAGACCTGGCTCGAACTCGCCCTTTTCGCTTTCGGGGTCCTCGTAACGACCGGCAATCATCCACCGCACATCATAGGGCTGCTTCTGAGGGGGCGTGTAAACGACATCACGATCCCATGTATCCGAGCTGGGGCTAATGGGGACGGGGGCATTCCTCTCCTTGGGGACAAAGGACATCCACTCGACAATTCGAGAGATACCGGCAAAGTCATCGGGCGCAGTCATGTGCGATACACCATTCCTGTACATGATTTGGGTACCGCCGAGCTGCAAGTTAGAAGTATACACCTCGCGGCCCAACAAATTGTTCAGGGCAGGAGCACCGGTCAAGATGATGGGCTGGCCCTCAATCTGAACGGCACGCTGGCCAAGTCGGACAAGGTACGCGCCGATACCTGTTGCACCGAATTAGTTACATTCTGTTTGATAATGTCTGACGACGACGGGCTTAAAGGAGGGGGAGAGAAAAAAACATACCAACTGAACGGCAGGTGACGAGCGTGACGGTGAAGATGTCATTGTACGCCCTGCTCGTGCCACCAGCAATGAGACCAGAGCCACGCAAACACTCAACGCCAAGGCCATCTTCAGAACCAATGACGGTGACAATCTTGTGTCGCTTCTCGCCCGCTTCGACAACCTCTTCGGTGATGACCGAGCTCTCAAATCGCTTCTTTGTGGCTTCATCAAGATACAGATACTTGAATCCGGTTTCGGGAGACTTGGGGTCCTTCCACGCGACCTTGAAGTGAGGCATGAGCTCCTCGGCAATACCGAGGCGAGCACCCGAGTTAGCCGACAAGTAGATACGGGGATGCCAAGCTTCCGCGCGAGCTCCGTGCACTGGTGGAAAAAGTTGTCTTCCTTGGGACCAAACGAGCCAATCTTGAACGTGATATCGTTGGCCACAACGATGAAGCGGCGGCCAGTGGGGTACTCGGGGGTACGGGCCCTGATGAGCCAACCGACCATGCCGCACGTGTTGGTACCGGGTTCACGGTTGACTTCGTCGAGGTTGTCTTGGTCGTCAAGGACGAGTTCAGAGAAAACGATGCACTCGCCCTGGTTAGGTTGTTGGGAGGCGAGGCTGGGGTTCTTCTTGGTCGCCTTTACCCAGCTGTTTTGGATGGCTTGTCGGAACAGCTCAGGGAAATCGTACACGTACTGAGTACCCATGAGGTGGGCCTTGTATCGCTTAGGCTGAAGATGGTTCTTGGTGGCGTAGGCAGTGGAGACGGGCATAAGATGCATGGGTCCCTTCTCCTTGGTACCACCAATGCTATGGAATACCCAATCACCCTTCTCCGACTTCCTCTCCGCGTACATGTCGACATCGACAATGTAGCCAGACGTGTTGGTAATGAGCACACGGAGGGGCAAGGGGCTACCTTCAGAGTCGGTGCAGACAATGCGGATCTCGACCTGCGCGACACGGAGGCGCCAAGCGCGGACGCCGAACCGATCTAGGAAGCCCTGCAAGCTGTGCTCGACGTCACGGGGGTGGAGCTGGAAGATGGGGGTGAAGTTCATAAAGATGTGGTTGAGATCAGAGTTGTTGTTGCCAATGATCTCTAGGGCATCGAAGATGTCGTTGATAACGCCATCTGCCTCGTTGATCAGATACTCAGCCGTGGGGATCTCATCCCGGAGACGGCCAGGCCTAATCACCGCGCGGGTAAAGTACCGCTTGTCAGTATCCACGCTCTTGCCGACACCTTCGTACACGTGGATGTTCTTGTTCTGCGTGAAGACCGGCTTGATGTGGAACTTGGCGAGACGTCCGAGTTCCAGCTGGAAAGCCAAGGCAGGCTCGCTGTGGCGAATGCTGTCGTCTTCGATATAGTCGGGGCCCCTGAAGGTGTAGTGGCCCGGGTACGAGCCATTGCTATGGCCGCAGATAAAGGTGACACGTCGTACGCGGCGGGCGAAGAGTTCTTCCTTGAGGTCCTCGATTATAGGGAGGATTCGCTTCAGGGTCTCCTCGTCATCTTCGCTTTCGGCATCGCGAATGGCAACATTAATGACCGCCGATAGCTCCTCATCCTCAGAAGGAGACGGCTTAGACGCGGCCGGTCGCCTCTTGCCGCTGAGATCAGCCATGAGGCCGGGCTGCTTGCGCTTCGTGAAGACAGGCAGAGCCTCAAGAGCCTTGGGCAGAAGCTCCTCCGCATCGTCAATGTAGGCGCAAGGGATGATGACACCCTTCCTGTTGAGCTCCTCGTCCCACTTGTTGGCGAGCTTGTATGACATGTCGCTGATAGAGTGAACGCGCTTAAACTCTCCACTCGGCGTCGCCGGGGACGACGGAGCAGCAGACTGAAGAGGTAGGCCAAACTCGGTCTGGCCCATCTTTCGGAGCGAGAAGTCCCAAGACACAAAGAGGGGGCTGCCGGTGTCGTCATGGTGATACGAAATCTGGTTCAAAATGTATGCACGGTACGCCCGTCGGACGTATACCTCCAAAGCAGCAAGCGAGACCCAGGGATCGTCGTGGCCAAAAAGAGGGTAAGGACGTCGAATACGGTGTACTTGGAATCGACAACCTCCTTGATAACGTCGAGGCTAGGCTCTCTGTGGTCCCAACCAGTCTCGCCATAGCGCGACTCGACAACAGAGGAGCGAAGGATGTGCTCCATCTGAGCAGTCCTCTCCTCCAGGGAAGGCATGGAGCACTGAATCATAATCTCACGAGCCTTGAGCGAGACTTTGGAAGTGGCGCGGGAAGATTGCAGCTCAGTCAACTGGCGGAGAATGTTATGGAAATGCTTGCCAACGTTGCCCACGTTGGGCTTGTTGGGGCGATATTCCTCAAGGATAGCCAGGACCAGGGCGCTCTTGGGTCCCACGCGGCTGTGGGAAAGGACGATTTGGACAACCTTTGCAATATCTTCCTTGTTCTGGTCACGCAACTTGAGAACGACGCTGTCTTCCTGCTGGCGCTGGCCGATGAAGTGTCTCTCGACGTCCCAGTAGGTATGAAGCAGCTTCTCGATAAGGTTGAGTTCGCGCGCCTTCTGTCCATCAGCGTAGAGCTCAAGAACGTCAACGAGTGGCTGCAGGTTCGACTTCAACAAGTCAACATCGCCCTCGGCCACGTTTTCGTCGGCGAACTTTTGGAAGGTCCTAGCCAGCGACTTGGAAGGGAATTCGGCGTGTCGCGACTTGGCCCGCTCCACGATTTGCGTGAACTGCGTCGCGAGCCTACCAGGCATACGGGTATGGAGAGCGGCGAACTGGGCGTTCCACTCGCTGTAGGGGAGCTCGGGATCGCGCAAAACCTCGGTAAGCTGCTTCAGCGTTTGGGCCATGATGGCGGAGTTGTCATAACCGAGAAGAATGTTCTCGATCGTGCCGTAGAGCAAAGCAAATCGCTGCGAGGGCTTTTGACCAACATTGACAGGCTCGCCATAGTCGGGGAGCCGTTCGACGAAGGGCTGGGCCTGCTTCACCCGGCTAGGGTCGTCAAGGGCGAGGATACCGAGAATATCACCCGCCTCGAGGGTGGCGCCAGGTTGCTTGATGAGCTGAACGACACCGTCTTCCTGGGCAATAAGAGGCATGTACATCTTCATCACCTCCACCTCGGCGAACGCTTGGCCCGCCTTGATGTGCTCGCCGTTCGCGACGGTATACTTGACAAGCTTACCAGGGCTGGGGGTACGAAGCTGCGTAGGGTCGTTCTCCTGCTCGAGCAAGCAAGTCTTGCTATCCACGGAAATACGCGTGGCGCCAACTTCTTCCTTCCAGTAGACGTTGTGAGACCTTCCATCAAGAAGAATGAGCAGGCCACCATCGCTAAGAGCGCGGACACCGACCGCACACTTGGAGCCGTTGATGAAGAGATGATAGGTATCAACGCTGGCCCGAGTCACCGTGAACTTGTACCTCTCGCCCTCGTAGATGAAATCAATGGCGAAAACGGTCTTCAGAATATCCTTGGAGGGTACCTGACCCTTCTCGAGGCCGCCCTTGTACTCGGCCATGCAGGCTTCGCTCGCGATGTGCGCCTTGGTGACGGCACCGCAAACAATCGCCAGCATGCGGTCGGGCCTCTCCGCCGTCAGCTTCTTAGAGATGAGCTCATCAAGCCAGCCAGTAGTGATGGTGTTCTCTTCGAAAGCCTCAGTCTCGAGAAGCTTGATTAGATATTCTACCGTCGTTCTGAAATCACCACGGATGCTCAACTCCTTCAGGGCAATAACCATGTGCTTCCTCGAAGCCTGACGATTCTCGCCGTAGGCGAAAATGTGACCAAACTGAGAATCGGAGAAGCTGTGAATCTTGCTTTGAGGAGAGACGGAGAAGTAGCCCCAAACATTGGAGCTACTGCGGAAGTTGAGGTCATGCATGACACCGTTTGATGGCTTGAAACCTTCGCCGGGGTCTTCGGATGTGATACGGCACGCGGTGGTGTGGCCCTTGGGCCGTGGTCGACGCTGGGTCTTCTCACTGCCCGGGTTCTTGAAGTCGAAATCGATCTCGGTGGAGGTACGAGGGTCGACCCCGTAGAGGAGTCGGATATCCCGAATGCGATGGAGGGGAATACCCATGGCAATCTGGAGCTGGGCCGCGGGCAGGTTGACGCCGCTGACCATTTCCGTCGTTGGATGCTCGACTTGCAGACGGGGTTAAGCTCCAAGAAATAGAACTTGTCATCGGCGTGGGAGTAGAGGTATTCGACGGTACCGGCGGAAACGTAACCGACCAGCTTTCCGAGACGTACGGCGGCTTGCTCCATGCCCTTGAACGTTTCGGGTTTGGCAATGGTGACGGGGGCCTCCTCAATAATCTTCTGGTGCCGACGCTGAACAGAGCAGTCACGGCCAAAAGAGAGATGTTATGGCCATACTGATCAGCGAGCAACTGAACCTCAAGGTGCCTAGCGTTGCCAGCAAGCTTCATGATGAAGATGGGTGAGCCGGGAATTTCGCTCGCAGCCGCCTTATACAGGGCCTCAAAGCCGTCTTCCGACAAGGCCTTGCGGATACCTTTTCCACCACCACCCTCCGAGGCCTTAATCATGACGGGGAATCCAATCTCCTTCGCCTTCTGAAGACCTTCCTCCCAGGAGGTTACGCATCCGCGCATATAGACGTTATCAGGAACGGTGACGATGCCGGCATGGTCGATGACTACCTCATTCACGCCCGTGCCGGACCAGGGGATACAGGGAACCTCTGCGTGCTGGGCAACGATAGTGGAGGAGATTTTGTCACCAAGGGATCGCATCGCGGAGCCCGGGGTCCGATGAAGACAATCTTCTTGGGGAAGCCGCGAGCGACTCGGGGAGCTTTGGGTTTTCGGACGCATGACCCCTTGAAATTACAACGTTAATATCCGGCCATAGTCGCACAATTTTCCATGGGAAGGGAGGGGCCTTACCATCCAGCCCATACAGCGTGGACATCCATGCGCTCGGCAATATCGACAATGAGTTCGACATTGGCGTAGTTGTGGTTGTTGGTACCGCCAGGGACTTCTACGTAATGATCAGCCATGCGGATATAATCGGCATTGGCTTGCAGATCCTCAGGCGTGGCCATGACGGTGAAATGGATCGCCCTCTCATCGCCGAAGGTCTCGTATGCCCATTTCCTGACAGAGCGGATCTCTTTGACGGCGGCAATACCGTTGTTGGCAATAAGCACCTGGTGCGTAACCCACTGTTAGCTCTGGTTCTGCAATCCACAAGAGAGGCGTAGACATACGTTGGTGATGACTGTGTGACCGTCATGCTCGGTGACGAACTCCTTGACCTTGGATGCAGGAGCATTGTCGAGTCGGTTGCCACCGATGAAGTGGTCGGCGACATTGTGCTTTTCGGCGTAGCTTGGCTTGCCGTTACCATAGGGAGCTTGCGCGCTGCGCCCTTGGAGGGCACCGATATTTCGGTCATTGTGGAATAAGTGAGTTTAAATTGGAGGTGAAATGATGGAGTCGAGAGTCATCGGTTGCGGGAGCTCACGAGGAGCCGGACGAGTGTCAGTCTTACGGCCAGCTTCGCCAAGGGCGGGAGGTCAAGCGGCGTGCAGCGCGTCTCGGGGCGTAGAGAGGGGTATCGAGATTGGGTATCAAGGAAGAAAGATACGCAGTTCCAACAGCAACTAAATCCATTGTTCCACCCATCTCTGTGGTTAGCAATACTCGTTGCAGCAGATGTTCGGGCTTAGCGCGTGGAACCCCGCAGAGACACAACGCAAGGGCGCCAGGTTTGGGGTGCCGATCCGATGCGAACACAGCTTCCCGCTCCTCTCCAAGATCCAAAGGGGAACGACAGGATAAACAGCGAAGTGAAAGGGGCGCGCGCCACTTACCCAGTCAAAGAGTCGTCGTGGGAACAGACTGATCACGTCTGTCCTCTTAGGTAATGAATAGGAGTCGTCAAGTAGTAGAAGATGGTCCCCTCCGTTTGGTTCGGTCCTTGTAAGAGGAACTACAGATTTCAAAATACAAGGTAAGAAGGGTTCGACGAGGTAGTCTAATAGGGAGAAGAGAAATAAGAAGATGCAAAGAACCGAGGAGGAAAGGAGTTGGAGAGTGGTCAAGAGCAAAAAAGTTATGTCGGGCCCAGTACAGGCTGGGGGACTGGATGGGTATTATGGGGATAATAGAAGATGGGAGAAGCGCTTGCGGAATTCGTCAAGGTAGAGAGCAGGGGTAGGATCACCCAGCAACGAGCAATAGGTACAAGAGCTCCCCCTCCAGGTGTCTTTGAGGTTCGCGCGGTGGTTGTGCGGGACAGCGGTAGACTCTAATTTTTTTTGTTGAAGGGGCCAATTTTTTCCCTTGGGAGTTTGTAGGGAGTGAGGGGTGCAGCTAGCCAATCATTCCCGTCCGGGCTGTTGGGGAAGCTCGAGCCAGAGGAGCCGAAAGGTGGGCAAAGGTGGGGGTGTGGACATAAGGAAGCCAAAGCCCAGTGGGAGGCCATGGGACGGTTTGAGTGTCGCGTAATGGAGAGGTAGTGTCGAGAGAGGTGCCCTTGCGACATGGACAGCCAGCCCAGCTTCGGCTGTCACTGTCTAGTGCGCCTTGCGCTGGGTCCAGCTGAGGCCCATCCAAACAATCAAGATACCAACAAAAAAGATGACCCTCCAGTACAAGCAAAGCAATGGGCCCCATGGCTCCATCCAGGATGGCCGCCTTCCCTTTGTTGTACACACGACGACAAGTCGAGGAAATACAAGTAGCGTAGAGACTGTGGAAGTCGGCCAGAGGGCAAGACGCGAACAAGACAAGTCCTCGCTCGAAGGGTTAACCATTGTCCGAGGCACGACCAGGCTTTTCAGACACCCCGGACCAAGGGTCGTGACTTCCTTCCGGCCCGACATGGGGAAGAGGAGGGCGGCACGACTTTCTCAAGGTTGATGACACCGACCCTGCAAGTCGAAACAGAAAGGACGCCCAGGGAAAGTAAGATGGGCAGGCACACCCAAGGACACCCAGGCACACCCAGGCACACCCAGGACGGGGGTTCACTCTGACGATCCACGAGAGAGCACGAGAGACTCAAGCCTTTCCCAGGTCGCACCGCGCCATCCGAACAAAACTCGAGTCAAAGAGCAGTGGTCCCCTTAATACCTCTCCCTCGGGGTTCTTCCTGCCTGCCCAAGTTCGCCTCTTCACATTTCTTTTTTATTCTTTCCCTTGACGGGCGGAAGGACAAGATCCGTGACACCGTTCCCCAACAACGGCTGCCCTCCCCTAGCCCCGTTTCCCTGCCTTGTCCAAAAACAGACACAAGACGTCCTCTCTCCTCTCCTCTTCCACCCGGGCAGGAGCTGCAGCAGAAAATCCTTTCCCCGAGGCAGCCGGGATTCGCCGCAGCGGTTCCCCAACGCGGGGCCGAAAGCCAGAGAGCACTGTGCGCCACCACCCGGAGCTAGGTTTTCCTCCACGGATGTTGCGCGGGGCCCAATAAGCTTGTATCATGCTCAATCCCGAATCTCCCAGACTCGCGGGCGCCAGCAATGCTCTCTCTCTCTCTCGCCGCAACCGCGCAACGAACGAGCAACATCCAGTCGTCCTCTCAGATCGCCCTCGAGTGCTCTAATGCTGGATATTGGTGGGCCCTATCCAACCAATTGATCCAATTCCCTTGATGAAGGGCATTCCTGATCCACTTGTTCCATTGGAAGCTGCAACATCTTTCAAGTACATGTATTCTGACAAGTAGACCTTTGGGGGATCGATCGCCCGGTCGCTTCAGATTGTGTACTTTTTTTTTTTTTTTGGTCCATCAATCTCAACATCTTTCCGCCCACCCCTCTCTCGCGCTCGTCTAGCAACCCAAAAGAGGCCTAGCGCGTCCTGACGACGTCACCACCTGTAGACCCCCTGTCTCCTGAATCTCTCCAACTTGGGACAGTCGGTATTGTATTACCCCTTGGCCTGCGACAGGATAAACCCTGGCGAAGCGAGCAAGACTTTTCTCCCTCAAAATAGTCTACCGGGCAAGACCTCACCCTGGCCTTACCAACGCCATCGTAGGGACGGCACGAAGAGATTCACGTCGACACAGTTGAAGGGTTGAAGAGACCAGTTGCTTTTGTTTCCCATTACCTAGGATCCTTCGATCTCCGACATGCCGTAAACTATCAGCGAGGGAACTCTTCCCTGGGGCGCTAGCCCAAACCTTGTCCTCCGAGCCTATGTCCGACCCCCTTCCCCCTCCCCTAAACCGTTGGGTTCCTGAAGCGTTGAGAGGTCTTGTCATTGAGGCCTTTGGAAAGCTTGAACCTTGAATTCGAGCTTTTTCTCATTTCCCGCCTTCTTTTCTCCTTCCTTTCTTCCCTCGAAAGGAACAACCTCAAATAACATAGCGTCTTTCAAATAAATAACCCCTTGTCTACCTCGGTATTATAGGCCTCCCTCAAAGAGTGATTTTCTTTTCCTTTGTTTTTCTTTTTCCTTTTTTTTTTTTTTTTTCGACTTGACCCTCCTTTTTATTGGTATTCGTCATCCAAGATGTGGATGGGAGAAAGGCCACAATATCATTGGGACAGTATCAAATCCAGAGGACTCGTTCGCTATTACGCAAAGGCCATCTATTCCCATCTGTGCCTAAATGTTTGATGGCTCCCGTGATTTATGTGGTTTGGTAGTTTAGCACAACGGTTCTTCACATCGGCAGCGCCATCCCCAAGATTGAGGCGAGCTATGTCAATGTGTCCATCATAAACGAGGGCCACGTACCATCCACGAAAGTTCGAGGCAGCCTTTTTAACCAGCACTCCAGCGACATCTGCCCGCCGTCGCTCAGAGAAATCCGTGCCTTCCGCCCGAGTGTGCTAATCAAAAGTGGGAGGGACGCTGACGACTCCAAGCAATCTTTTTTTTTTTTGTTCTTGAAGTTTGCCCGCCCCGGCCCAGTAATGGTACATCCCGTTCCCCAACCCGCAGATCCCCAACATCTTGTCCGCCTGCCCTATCACCGAACAACATCCCGCTTATCCGATTGGGGACTCGCCCGTGCAGACGGCCGACTACGACCCTGCATCCACTGCCAGACATGCTTTTGGAACTGTCTCACAAAACATGCAAACGAGAGAAGCAATCGCGTGAAAGAGTACGAACGTCTGGGGGACCCAGGCGGCCTACTCAAAAGTCTCACCCGTTTTGGTCTCTTTTCTTTTTTTAATCATCAAGGTTCAATGTTGCCCAGGAGACTGGTCGGCGATGTAGAAAAACAAAGTACGTCAAACTGTCTTTGCCAAAGGGGAATGAATCAACATCCCAAGCAAGATTCAACCTACGCCGGGGTATCCAGTAGGAGACGCGCAATTAGCAATTTTTCCCCTTCTTCCCAAGAATAACCTGCTGTGATGTCAAATAACCTAGCCTCCCCGTCCCTATCCTGCGCCCCTCTTCTCCACAAACTCTCCGGTTGCACAAGGCGGTGTCCATCATCGCGGCGGGCATGACTACCCTTTTCGCAAAGTGCCCCCGATGACCTTTTCCACCGCCTGGCAGGCCATGCAGCCATGATTAGCAACAGGCATTGTATCAACCGAGAAGCTTGAGCGAAGTGGGCGCGGAGGGGTGCAGATGCCCTTTCAGTTTTTAGGGGTTTTTTATTTTTAAAAGTTTTTCTATACGATGCCCATCTTCCCCTAGCCTTACGTATCATATAAAGCTAGCCTGGTGCTTCGTTCAACGTAGATTTGAAGCCTGTCATACCTCAAACAAAGAACCCTTATGAGAAGTACGAAGGGCTCTTGGGTTTGGATGAAATACAACGGCACTTGACAATTTTATCACATTTACACTACATACATACACGGGCGAGGCCCGAGGGACCCGAGCCACAAGACACTAAAACACAATCCGGTAAGTGGGAAGAATTTGATAATGATTAACAAAGGAAAATAGTTGCGTATGTGCTGTCAGGTGTATCTAGAGGTATCAACATATGTAATGCTCCAAGCCAATATTAACCACAAAAACCATTGTGGCCAAGGAAAGAATGAGAGAGTGAATGGGTTGTGGGAATGGGGGAGAAGACGCAAAGGGGTGAGTCAGGTAGATGGTAGCCCACGCATCGAGGACAAACTCATCTAAAGCCAGACAACTTGAACAAGAACAAGTGTCGACAACCTCAGCTAATCCCCCAGGGCCTCTTTCTCCGCCCGTCCACGTAACAAGCTATTTCGAGAACTGCCACGCAGCCCTCTACTTAAGCAAACAATAAACAAAGAAAACAAAGAAAAAAGAAAAAAAGAACAATAAAACATAAATTCCCCGCCATTTCAGCCATGGTTATCCCAATCCTCATAAACCCCATAACCCCGTGATGTACGGCCGTCCCGTTGCGATGAACTCCCTCAATCATGAATTTGACAAAAAAGTGGTAAGAGAAGCCCAGGCCGAGGCCTTGGTACTACCCCTTGTCCGAAAATTAAATGCACTCATTTCGAGGCCGAGTTCAACGTTGTGATATGAAAAGACCCCAAGGAACAAAATAGATAGAGAGCGGAGGAGTGAAAGAAAAAGAACTTAGGAAACAGCGAGTTTGCTGTGCCCTCAATACGTCTCTTCCATCTCGTCGAGCGGCTCGGATTCCCTGAAGCCAAGGCCGCTGCTCACTCTCCGGCCTCCACTTTGTCGCCTCGAACTCGCCGGGGCGGGGATTCGACTAGTGACAGCTTCCATCTCGTATTTGGAAAAGGTGCCTCGTCGACTAGGGGTCCGCAAATCACTATCGTCGTCGAACTCGTCGGTGTCAAAGCGGCCCATGCTAGCAGAGTGGCCGTGTAGACTACCGCCGAGGGAGCTGCGAGGGCGGCCTAGGGGTGTCCGCGTTCCAGAAAGGCTAGTTCTGCTCAGCGGACGGGGTGGAGGGTTCATCTCTGTCCGGCTGGCAGGTCGAGCGTATCCAGAGGAGATGCTAGCTCGGGAGCTGGGGCGGGATAGAGACGCCTCCGAGTCACCAGCAGGATGCCTATTCGGGAGGGGCCCGAAAGAGAGTCGACTAACGCCAGATGTGCTGAGACGAGGAATGTGCTTGCCGGTGGTCTGAGTCGTCTTTCGCGCCGCTTGGGGTTGGTTGGGGTGGTGTCGTCGCTGGCTACGGAGGCACTAGTCACAGAGCCAGTCGCACGTCTCCTAGACCTAATAGTAACGGTTGACGGCACGCCGCCCATGCCGCCAACAGAAGAACGCGGTGGCGAGGAGCGGGGTGGGTGCTGACGCGAGCAGGGAGCCTTGACCGCGCAGACTGGACCCTGGCCTCGAGGCGCTGAACTTGGGCGGTAAGAGAGCGGATGTGCGAGAGGGAGTTGGTAGCGGGAAGCCTATGCGACGTCGATCGCGGCGCGGTGGTGCGATTCGCGGGTGTCTTGGTGGCGGCGGGGTGACGGTGGCAACCCGGGTGGTGGGGCGCTTGGTAACAGATGAGGAAAAGTTGGAGGGTCGAGGCTTGGGAGTAACGCTGTTGTCTGCCGAGGGGAGACGGGTCTTCCTTTGCGTCGAGGGCGCCGGCGTCTTGGTGAGCGAGGGACGAGGCTTGCGCAAGGGTGCGGATACGTCCGACATAGGCGGCGATGGCGGCGCTTGGGCGGGCTTTCTCGGGGATAGCGAGGCGGTATCGGGCGGGGTGGAGATGAGGGCGAGCTCGCTGTCGACTCGGGCGAGCCGATGCTCTTGTCGAAAGTTGGGGACTCGGGAACCGAGATATCGGTAGAAATCATGGAGAGGTGGCGCGATTCTTGCTTGCGAACCTTGTCCTGGAGCACCTCGACCTCGATCTTGAGATCGGAGAGTTCCTCCTTCAAGCGTTGGGCCTCGATGCGAAGTTTTTCGCGCTCCTGCTCACCCATTCGGATCTCCTCCTCGAGCATCACACCTCGTTCGATGGCTACATTATACTTGGATTCAAGATCCTCCAGCGAAGAGGTAGTATTGCGCGCCTGGCGCTCAAAATCGTCATTGGCGACCTCGGTGTCGCGGAGCTTGAGCTGCAAGGTTCGGTTGGAGTCTCTAAGAGTGGTGATTTCCTTCTCAAGCGTGTTTTGCGCCGCGCTCGCTTCGGCTTTGGATTCTCGATATTTTCTCTAGCGAGACGACAAAATGTGAGTGACTGTGGGCCAAGCAATAAGGTCGGCCCGGCCCGGCCGGGAGAGGCTTGGGCTATTTGGGGAGTTTACAAACCTTCCACTCATCGACCTCGTAATTGAGGCTTTCTGCCTTTTCTTGAAGCGCGCGCTCTCGCTTTTCTGCCTGCTCAATATCCTTTTCTAACTCGAGTTCAAGCTCTCGGCTCGACTCCCGAAAGTCGGCGAGTTCGATCTCAAGCTGCTCATATTGGGACTTGTACCAGGAAAGGGCTTCTTCGGCGGTCGCCGTCTCAGTTGGCGGGGACGAGGGGGCTCGGCCATGACGGCAAGGTTTAGGTTCGCTCTCTTCGCGCACAACTAAAACTGGGTTGGGCGCAGCATGGGGAAATGCGGACTGTCGCGTTCGTTGAGGGGCTGCCTGACTCCAACGTTCTGGCTGTTTTCTGTTTTTCTACTCTCAAAGTTGGTCGCTGCACCAGCGGTCGTTCTCTGCGAAGATTCCGATAAACTTGTCGGTTGCGCAGATTGTTCAAGTAATGGGGCTCACACGTGCGGCAGGAGCGATTATGGCACACGGGCAGTGAACGTGTGTTTCGGGAAATAGGGGAGCCGAAATCAGGACGTGCAAGGTGGAATCGTCAAAAGAGCGAGACTGGCGACGGAAGGATAAAAAGAGAAGGCACAAGAAGATGGATAGGAAACGAAAAAAGAAGTTGTCGTGATTTTGTCGAATGGTCGTATTTCTTACCTTTGCGGGCTTACCTTGGCCGCTTTGTCGTCGGATGATGGTTGCTGGAGGTTGGCGATGTTTGTCGTTGGGTGTTGATCGGTGTAGGAAAGGTTTCAACCCATGTTGGGGGTTGATAATCAGTCCAGGTCATTGTATTGATCAATGTTCCTCCTCAAGCCAGCCAAGGTGCAGCAGTGTTGTTGTTGTGGCTGAGGAGTCTCCTGGGCAAGGCATAGACGCCATTCCTGATTGGGTATAACGGCGCTGCTTCTCACTACCATGGGCAACCCGCATCCGTGGGAGGTGGAGAGAGAGCCACAGGACAGGACAGGACAGGACAGGACGGACATGATCCAGGAACAGCGTGTGTTGACACTGTGTGCATAGCCCAAATTCTAAATATAACACACAGTGTTTGAGAAACGTTCCTTTTACTTTTGTACTGAATGACTCCTTTCTTTTCCCAGAACAATACAACAAACCACATGCGCTTGTCGCAGATAATTTGCGTCCGCTCGCGACCGGGATTTTCTTTTTTTCTCCCCTAAATAGTATGGGCTCAAAGAAATCACAAAGGACACTTCACAGCGTAGAACTCGACGAGGCCATCTCTTGATTATCATTCTCTTTCTTCGTATACATCGATAGACTTCTTCTAGATTCCATCAAATCTCGAGCACTGTGACCCTGTTGTCAGTAAAATGGTTCCTCTCGTCTTCTCGTGCCTTCGCCTCCCGTTTACAGCAGCAGCTTGAGTAGCCCATGGCAACTTCAATGTTCCCTAAGCAAGCCCACCACCAATGTAACCGAATCAAGATGGAGCTTTCCTGCCCCCTCTTCCCAACTCGAGCATACGGCACCACTCGGGGTCCCTCGCCCCTGCATTCACGGGCTCACAGACCGCTTCGGGCACTTAAACTCCCTGCCACCCGAGTTTCCTTGTCTTTGTGCATGCTGCTGCATCTCTGGGAGGCACACGAGGGGCAGATGCGCAGAATTTTCCATCATCTTTTTTTTCCCAACCACCGGATGGAAAAAGAGGGGACGAAACTTTGGCGCAGGCGTTCCAAGAGAACAAAGAGAATCACCGGTCAGGCATAAAGCGATCATCACATTGTGTGACGTTCAAACCTCACTTCGAATTAGCCAAAACCGACCCCACCAACTTCTCGTTTCAGCTGGCAGGTCGATGAATGTTCAATGTTCCTCCAATCTGTTTCTGTGCAGGGCCTACCTTGGTATAAGTCGACTGAATTCACCCGCATTGATTCGAGAATAAAGGACGGAATTGGCCATGAAGGAGCAAGAAGGATAGTGAGTACATGGAGTGAGAGGGCGGGGCTCATCCGTGACACTGCCGCGTAATTCATTCCTTCACCAGTCCAATGTCCCACGGGAGAGTCACAAACGATGTCGTAGCAAGTCGTCACAGGAGCAGATCATCATCCAAAGTCGCCAACCCTCCCAAGCCATGCGAGACTCGCCGATTTTGACAGTTGGCAGTGCATCACTATCCTGCGCGCAACCCGAATGTTTCATCTTTTTCCAACCTTTACTTCTTTTCCCTTTTCCTTTCCTTTTTCCTCCTCCGTTTTGCCCTGTAACATTCGTTTTTTCTTCCATGAAGATTCGATGCAGTCTAATCAGAGGAGTCAAAAATCTTCGTCATCAAAAGCCTCTCACACAATAAGATTCAGTGATACTTTCTAGTAGGCAACCTAATTGATGTAGAATGGGATACACTTAAGACAATAACCCCTTTGATATGGCGGAGGGACTGAAGCCGCTAATCATATATGTACATGTCGTTTAAAGAGCCATAGCGATGATCAAGACGGCCGCACAAGCCGTGGCCATAAGGTAAATCCCAACTCTATCTGCTAATGCTGTTGCTGTCCCAGACGGTAGGCTACTCGATACTTTGGTAGATGGATCTGCACTGGTGCTAGTGGTGCTAGTCACAGGATAGCAAGTTGATATGGTGACCGTCGTCCCATCTTCCGTCTTGATAACCGCAGCGCACTGGGTGCCGGATTTCGTGGTGGTGCTACCTTGAACCTGTGCGGACCCGTGATCATACCCATGTGCCTGACCTCCCTTGCTGCTAGCTAGAGCCCTCCCTCTCAGCCCCGAAGCCGACGCACATGAACAGGCTCCATTAAATTCATGGTTAGTGGTGACCTGTAGTGTAGTGACATGGGTAGAGTGCTCGCCCCCACGCCTTAACTCGAGGACACTTACTTTCGCTCCCCCAGCGATGAGGGACGGAATGTCAAGCACTCCGCAAGACTGAAGGACACAAGGCACGGCCAGTTTCGAGAGGCTTGCTTGAGCTTCCTCCTGGCACTGACATTCGAAATCGTCGGCGCCGCAGCCGACGCTGCGCGGGAGCGGTGAGATGCAAGGCCGGGCACAAGTTGGAATAGCCGTCTTGGCTACGGCGCCGCAGTCCTTGGTCGGCCCGGCATCTCGGCCAGCGCCGAAACCATGCCGAACCCGCCCCGGCTCCGCACAGGACCCGGTCGCGCACTCGCAAACCGCACCAGCTCCTTGTATGATTTGGTAGTATTCCCACGGCCAACACTCAGTCATGACGCAGGGAGCCATGAGCCCCGTCATGGAGGCTCGTGCCGAAGGCTCGCATTGGCATGCGAAATTCAGGGGCCGCAACCTACTTTTGAGGCGTTGTCGAAGAAACAGGCTTGCGCGCATTTCGGTATAGATGTCAAAGCTAGCTGTGCGCAGTCTTCGGATGAGCACGCGGTTGTGGGCGGAGAGGTTGGGTTTTCCTGCCTGGGCACCAACCATTTTCTGAGCTGTGGCGGCGCAGTAATGGTCGAGTCGGCATACTCGTCTTCCGTTACTGTCGGCTCGGGATACCATTCTCCATCTTCACCTTCACCTGTAGGGTAGGGTTCTGTTCCTCCAAAGTCATCTAAAGAGGTTAAAAGGGACTGCTAGGGCTGTACGGCGCGTCCTCGTCAGGGCCCGGCCGAGCGTCTGGTGGGCGCGAGTAAGGAGATTCGGAATCATCCGGCTTATAAGTGGGAGGATATTGTTCGGTAGCTGATGCTTGGGAGACCTCGAGTCCCAGTCCACTGGAAGGGGAGCCCTGGCAACTGGGGCCCTGCTCGCATGGCGCTGGTACATCGCCTGCAGTGTAGGGTGGGTCGTAGATTTGCGACTGCGCCAAAGCGAGGTTTTCCGTGGCAGCCGCGCTAACGCAGTCGCAGACGGAGCTACCAACGCGGAGGCCGGAAAGCAATGACGCGACGTCTCCCGAGCATGCGGCGGTCGCGCATGGCAGTGCAATTTCGTGGATCCTTTCAGATAGCGATGGGTCGCATTGACCTCCACTCATGTGTAAGCTAAAGCCTTCTTTCTGAACAACAACAGCAACAACAACAACAATAACAATGGCGGCTAGTGGTTCTTACAGGAAAGGTCTATAGTATTTGTACACTTGACACTGATGGCGGCTTTGGTAATGCATCCGGCCTGCTACCCGTGAGAATCAATGAACTCGGGAGTGGTTTAGCAGTCTTCTTCGAATGACGGTCACTTACAACGCATTTTGGAAACTTGGACGTTATGCTAAGACACTGGGTCTGACCATGAATAGCATCTATATGAATACTGGCCATCCAAGCCAAGCTGAGGAGAAAGGAGCTGCGCGTAGTCATGGCGATGAGTGTATGTAAGAGGTCAGATATAACGAACACTCTCAAGATCTGAAGGGTTGGGAAGGGGCTGAAAGGTGCTTTGATAGCTAAAACATGAGCGCGGCCCATCCTCGCAGTTATCCTCGTCCCCAATAGTCTATATATCATCACAAATAGGGATAGTCAAGGGAACTTGGAACGCATAGAGGAAGTAGCCTCCGGTTCGGGCACCACATACCCTAGCGTTCGTGATACCTAAACCTGGCCGTGGATCCAAGTCGGTAAACCTCTTGTCCCATCTCGCAAAGGCACGCAAAAGAAAAGCTAGATCCATGACATACCCCATCGGTCATTCCACTGTCACTCTTAGCCATGATTTGTGTTCGATGAATGCTACTAACGCCCCATGTGGTAACCGCAATCGTAGGCATTAGAGCAGAACGATGGAATGACACGTATTACAAGCACTTGTGCAGGTATGGTGAACCTTGCCACGCCTCACTAGCAGGACGTTCATCGAAGGAGAAGAAATCGAATTTGGAAGAGTCAAGGGCTTCGGTGGGCACGTTGGCGTCTGTTTAACGGTCCTTTTGTAGTTGAGATACTAGCAACCTCACCCTGTGCGCCGTGTGGTGAATGGGGATTCTGTGACACTTTGGAATACTGACTCGTCCCAAACAAGAGCCTGACCGGGTTTGAGGGACAGAATTTCCTTGGAAGGAGTGACTACGAACCTATCCATCTTGTCCACATTGTCCAACTAGGATCCTGAGATTTCGAAGGACTTGTGGAACCCACCTCCAACGGTCTTCGGCAAAGGGCTATGCGTAGAGGCGGGCGGGAACGAGGTCTTTGCGGCACCTGCTGGAGTTCGTTTTGCGAAGCCAATGAATCTATGAATGAATGCCATTGGGTTTAATGACTTGCAGAACGGATGGCCTTGGATGAGCCCCGACACACCTTCAAGACTCCATTTGGGCCAATCCGGTGGTGGCGGCCCCCAGGCCGGTTGGCGGGGCCGACAACCCTGATGGCTTCTACTCTTTCATGGGCTGGGAGGGTCGATTGATCATTGATCCAATGGATCCATTCCATTGCTTTTGATCCAGCCCTCGAGGTATTTATACAACCCATAGGGCCCCTTGCGATACGGGGCACATTGTCCTATCCTAGTCCATCACTAACAATAGGGTCTCTGACAAAAACTTGGATTTTGGTCCTTTGAGCAAGGTTTGCGCAAAGGAAAAGGTTTCACCGAATGATTAACTTGTTACATCTCTAGGTCAAGCCTAGACTCGTGGGGAAATGTGATTCAAATTACACGCACGATCGAGGTGTGCTTAATGAACACCTCGATGCGCAGCTATCTACGGCCTATTTTCCAAAGGCATCCTCATAATTCGTCAGACAGAATCGATACTTGATATCGTGGTGCTCCAACCTCAACAAGGAGGACTTGAGGTTATCAGCCGAGATGGGAACCTCCTCGAGCCAAGTCTTGATCTTCTGATCCGCCGCCAATTGCAACATCTCCAACATCTCGCGCCTGCTTCCCAAGTGCGAGCTACCAATGAAGCAGCCGTTGGGAAGGAAGTCTTGGTTCTTGATGGTGATGCCATCGCCGCCGGGGAGGCCGACGGAAACCCATTTTCCGTGGACGTCGAGGAGGCTAAGATACTCGGAAAGCTGGAAACCGTCAAAGGAGTTGGCCGTGTTGACGATGAGGTCAAAGGTCATGCTGTGGGGCTCGCTCCAGCCCTCCTCGTTGGTGGCGATGAGGCCGGTAGCGCCCATCTTCTTCGCGTCCTCCTCCTTGGCGCGGGTTCGGGAAATGGCCCAGACCTCGGCGCCGAGGGCCTTGGCGAAGAGGACACCAAAGTGGCCGAGACCGCCGATGCCCACGATGCCGACCTTTTGCCGGGGCCGCAGCCGTTGCGGACGAGCGGGCTGTAGGAGGTGAGGCCGGCGCAGAGCATGGGGGCGGCGACGGTGCTCTCGAGGCCGTCGGGAATGGGGAAGACCCTGGAGACCGCTTGTGTTTAGTACGGGAGGAAACCGTCAAGGGGGTAGAAGAAACAAAAAAAAAGGTGGGTTTCCCTACCAGTGCTCATGCGTTCGTACGTGGGAAGAGTAACCTCCCTGCGAGACGATACCGGTGTCGGGCCACTTGGCGCCGTAGGTGTCGAGCTGCTTCTTGCAGTAGGTCTCGTTTTCATTCTTGCACTGCCTGCAGTCGAGGCAGGAATAAGACTGGGCTCCGACGCCGACGCGCTGGCCGGGCTTGATCAAGGTGACCTTGGGTCCAACACGGAGAGCGGTGCCGACAATTTCTACACAGCATCAACCGAATGTTAGCTCCCTGTCCCTCTAACAGCAGCACCCATTCCTCTTTTTTTTTTTCCGCGGCGGGTAAACGGCGCTCAAAATCAAGTGGGCAGCAGCAACAGCAGCAACAGCAGCGCAAATGGAAATTTCCTACCGTGGCCTACAGCGAGGGGAAGTGCTGGGGTCCCCACGCGCCATTGATGGTGTGGAGGTCGCTAGCGCAGACACCGCAGCACTCGATTTTGATATCAACGTCATAGTCGCCAAACGGCTTCGGGTCGAACTCGTTCTTGTGGAATTCGGTCCAAGTCTCGGAGCTGTTGACCTGGAAGCCCGTGAATTTGTCCGGAATCGCCATGGTTACAAGGGCCAACGGAGGAGGTAAAGAGAAGGAGTCTAAAGCTTGCGACGGGGAGGAGGAGAACTATCAGGAGGGAGGGGCCTAACTTTTCACAAAAGAGGCAACCCGGCTGTTACAAGAGGAAGTGTTGGAGAGAGAAGAGAGGCGAGAAAGGGAAGAGGTGTAGGAGGAAGAGGGAATGCGAACTGGGTGCAATGATTCTAAAAAGGACCTTCTCTTATCCAAATCCCGCCCTTCAACCCCCACCCTCGTCCGCTATGTGGCTCTTGGAGACTTGAGCCAAACTTGTTCGTTTCCCCCATCCGAAGAGTGAGGGGCAGCCGGAACAGCAACGAGGGACCGGGCGAGGGGTTTCCTCATTCTCGCCCCCGTAACGGTGCGGCTAGGAAAAAAACCTTGCATGTAACTAGCTACATACATTTACCCGCTTCCTTGCCCCGCGACGATGGGGAAACCTGGCACAGCTCAGAGCTAGCGACGAGCCATATGCTGCGGAGCACGCTCTGCATGAGCGGCAGCAAAAGCGCCTTTGTGAGAGAGAGAGAGAGAGCCGTGACCTGAGCGTTCCCAGCGTCTATTAGTCATGGAGGGAATTGGCTTCGGATCGGAAGTGCTACGGATGCCGATTTATCCACCAACAAGAGCATAGGATTCATGGCTAGTGACGATAAGCGCAGCGATGGAGGTTCTCCACGTGTGGGGGTTGAGATCTCGGGGTAGTAAAAGCCGAAGTCTCGGGCTGGACGCCGCTGTTCGCTCCGGTCCTGGAGTCTCGATGATGCCCCTCTGACGACTTGGACCGAATTGCGGGGTGTTGATTGCTTTGGTGCTTTGGGGGTAACTCGTTAAATTTCTGATTTTCCCAACTGTCCCAGGGTCTTTGCCTGGTGACTAATCTCCAACATTGCTGCAAGGGACGCGACCGTGAGATTGGGCGCTTCAGCTCCTTTTGGCCGGGACAAGAAGAAAAACATCACCTCGACCATCTGCCAGGTTCTGTTCCCGACTCGTCCCGCCATGTCCTCCCAATCCACAGCCCCCGTCCGGCGAGGGCCCATCGGGATCGGACTTCCCGTCATCTATCGCGTGTTCTTCCTGCTCATCGAGCCCATCTCTGCCGCTGTCGGCGCGTATTACGCCCATTTTCGGCCGCTAGACTACCTCCGCCTCACCCATGCAGAATCCGCACCTACGTCCCATTCGGATATTCCGTTAAGCACGACCATTGTACTCTCGCAGCTCGCGAACCTCTACTTCTTCTTTGCCCTAAACGAAGCCGTCGTTCTGCGCTCGACGGCCGACCTGCGGGTGTGGAAGGCGGTGCTCTTCTGCCTCCTCGTCGGCGACCTCGGCCACCTCTACACCGTCCGGCAGCTAGGAATCGGCATCTACTACGGAGTGTTTACTTGGAATGCCATCGACTGGGGAAACATACCGTTTGTGTACGCCGGGGCTCTCATGCGCGTTGCCTTCCTCCTTGGCATTGGATTGCCTAAAACGGGCAAGGCAGTGTCCAAGAAAAATTAGTTCTTCGTACAAAGTTCGTGGCTCCTTTTGCTCCTCCTTGCAACCCGAAACTCTCCTAGTCTTGACGAGAAACTTCGCCTTCGCCCGCTGCCATAGCCTTGTTGTGTTGTTCTTGTTCTCGTTCCCCACGTAGCACTTCTGCAATCCCTCCAAAAACTTCTACTCTCGAGCCCCAAACTCTCGTGTCTCAAGCTATGGCCCACAAACGTGTGTCTCTCCGAAAAAGAAAAGAAACAACGAGTAGCGTGTCCGCCATACGGACGCCGCCAACGCATCGGCCTTAGGCTGCAGCTGTCAAGCCATGCCGTGAAACCCCCTTTTTTTTGCCCTGTGGCCCCGAGGAAACTCGGTGTTCTGAGACCTTGGCCTTTCGGTTTGCAGCGAGACATCGTGAGAATGGAACGTGTCTGACGGACCTGCGCAAGCGCCATTGGTCTGCGTCCGTCACCGAGTACGCAGGAATTGCGGTGGGGAGTCTCAGGCGGATAACAACGTTGGCCGTAGACAAATAGCCAAGACGCTGGTGCTCGTCCGTGAGCGAGGCCAGGCGCTCTTGTGTCGGAGCAATATTCACACACAATCGGAAGTCGGGTCAGTCGAGAAGCTGAACGTCCCCCTCGATTCCTCTGGTATTCGTGGAGATAGATAATTTACGCTCAAAGCTCAACTACATGTGTAAGAATGATGAAAGAGGTTTGAAGTGCGGAATTGGGTATTCGCGGAAAAGCGCAACGGGTTACGTTCTCTTGTCCCCATTGCCGCCTTCGTAGATCTAGGGAGCATGGGAAACACGGAAGCACAGGAGGCATAGCATCTCGTGTTTTTCTCATTATTCGGGGTCGCCCATCTTCGCCAGCTCTTCCTCGTGCTCTACTTCCGTTGGTCGCCCTAAGAATGAGGCGCACCTGATTGGCCAGTCTGCTTCTTGCTGTTAAATGCGCCGGCGAGACATCTGGGCCTGTGTATTTCTGCCAGCGGGCTAGTAATGCTCCCTCCCGCGCCCGTTTAGGATGATAGACATGGCGGTCAGTCAATGGCCCATGGTCAAGCATCCGGGGCTGAGGGAGACAGGACAGGGAGTCGAACGAGCCGACTTCAGCATCAACAGCCATTAGGATCGTCTCTTATCAGTTCAGCGAAGGGGATTCGAAAATTACCATGAGTGAAACGGCCGGGGACAATGGGTGACGGGGGACCATGTCATTCATGGGCAATGCAAAAGCCTCGAAACTATGGTACCGATTTCGGTATCGTACTTTGTAAACGCTCATCATAGAATCGATTGTACTTTGATCGTTGCTCGCTGATCGCTGATATCTTGGATCCATTGATCACTCAATCTCAAGCATCATGCAATCTTGCTCTGCGCGCGTTCCTCTTACCGGGTTGGCAGCGTGTCTTTGAGCCCCTCTTTCTCTCCAGACTCGACCTCTTCCTCTCGTCTTTGCATTTTTCTTTCTTTTTCCGGTCGAGCGAAGGGCCTGTCCTGGTCTCTCCGATTGCAGATGTACTAATGCGGCGAGTTCTATTTGGGTAGGCCTGAGCACCTCTCCGTGATCAGCAGCCTCTGTCTTCAATTTTCCCCTTCAACGCCCGCTTTGGAGGGTCTGCAATTCTCGCTTATATTACATATGTACTGCATGTTAGCTGTGAGCACGTGGGAACCATGGTGGATCAGCTTGGCCTCTCGAAGTTCGAGGGGATATTCTCGGAACGTGGGACATTGATCGTTGTGAACGCGCATTTGTACAGCGAGTGTAGTCATCCATGCACCATCATTGATCCATTCGATTCGCGAGCTCCGTCAAGTGGCCTCTGCACATGACGCCTTGGAAGAGGCCAGTGGACCCGGTTCCTCTTTGAACACAATTGATCAGCCAAAATCATGCTGGATCCAGTACTCAGGTCGATGGAATCAATGAGAGCCAACCGAGAACATCACCCGCGCGGATCAAAGATCGTGTCTCGAGGGGAATGCCCAGGGTGTTTTGCTTTTACTGCTTCGTATGACGAGTATTATGCTCTTACCCGATTACTCGGCTTGGGGATTGTGACCCTCGTCCACGTTGGCATTATTTACAATACCGAATCACTCCATCGAGAGAGAAATCCGCCCGAGACCCTTTTTCTCACACCAATGTTTCCATGGGGAGTCTTGGCACGTCCAGGGTGTTTCTCTCGTTGATGATTCCGCATGCATGAAGCAGTGCAGTGCAGTGCTTGACGAGGCTTCGACTCCTGGCCTCCTCACTTCGAAGTTCCCTTTCCGTTGGTCCCCCTCACTAAAGCTGCAAGCGCACAGTCGCTCCCTGACCGTCTACCCTACCTCGGTAGTCCTAGTCTGTTTCATTGCTTTGCTTAATCTTTGGGTGCCTTTGGTTTGATGCAACCGCGCCCGGTCGCAACCAATCTTCGGCGCCGTCTGTAGGGTACTTGGTTATTTTGTCCAATGCATCCATTTGATCCCTGTCCCCTTTCATCTGTTCTGGCACCCCGCGGTGGTGCGGTGGTGAGGAGAAGGACGACAAAACAAAACAATCCATTCTTTGGCGCCGTTGTTCTTTGCGCCGTTTTCGGTTCTCTCCCAACTCATCCGTCAAAACATTCCATTCCTATTCTCTTCTGTAATACTGGTAGATTTGCGCTTGTGCTTCTCTACCCCCTTGGCTGGTCGGGCAGCGTGGGGATGAGAATTCCCTAGATATTTTGCTGTGTGGTCATTCAGTTTCGGTTTCACTCCTTGGCACCTTCGCTTCTTACCAGCTTCTCGGTGTTTGGAATAATAGATTACTTCACGTCTGTTGATGCGAAGTGGAGGGATTGAGCGATGCATCATTGATCAATCTCTCGATGTACCCAGGGATGGATCCGTGAATGGACATTGGTTCAATGTTCTCTCGCTGCAGTTGATTGATCCACCAAGACTCCACCTGCACCAGACACGTCCAGGTCCAGCATCAAATTGGCCTGATCCCGCCATTTCCCCAACGCTGGCGGCCACAACGGACCAGTTTGAACTGTGTCCCCGCCACTACAAGTACAGCCATCAGACCGTGCAGGCAGTCAATCAATCAGCCCGCACGGGTCGACTCCCTCGCGACACCGCTTGTAGTTGTGACCATTCTCCTTTGATCATCCCCACACACCTCGCGGGTTCTCGTGCTCGCCGCACTCGATCACGGCGCAAGATCACCATCCGTACACATCTACACATCTACTCCACGAGACGAACTATACTCCCGCGACGGAGACGACTGAGATATCTACTCCGGAGTGGGGAAGGAGAGAAAAGAAAGAAAGAAAAAAAAAAGAAAAAGGAAGGAAGGGTGCAGCGAAGGACCAAGACATGAGCGCCACCATCTAGGATCTTCTCCGTACCTACCGCCAGAACATCATCAAAGTCACCCACCAAGCTAGCGACAGTTTCACCTTTCCTTCCGCTCCTTCTTGTCGCCCTCTGGACCTCTCTCTCCGGCCTTTGTCCCCTTCTTACCTGTCCCATATCTCGCCCTCTCCATACGGCGGCGCTCTCGCCTTTGAACAAGCCGACTTTCTTTTAACTCGACGCTCCCTCTCCCTTACAGACGCGCACCTACAAGTACGCACGCACCCACCTTGGCGCTTCGTGTTTCGATCGACAGAGCCCCCCCGACGCTTTCCCTTATTCGAGTACAAAACTCCCGCCGTCGATTCTTTTTCGAAGCCGCTGCGAGCAAACTAGTCAACCTTCTCCTTTTTCGCAAGCCCGGGCAAACCCTGCTGGTATTCCTGCATCGAATACAAACAATAGGGAGGGATTCAAAGTATTTGCCCAGGGTTCAATTCAGCAAACCGGGTTGAGGAGCAGAGTAGAGGGGAAAAAAGAAAAGAAGCAACGGGGAAAAAGCAACAGATTGCGGCCAATATTCGACGTCGTTCGCTCCTTTCCCCTGCAGTCTCAGCTGGCTGCCACCGCCTGTTGCTTGCTGAAGCCGAGATACACGGCCAAACACCTTTTTTATATTACGGGCTTGACCTTGGATTCCCCACTTCGCGCCGCCTTCTCACATCCAGGCTGGGCTCTTGACCCCTTTGCCCTTTGCCCTTTGCTGCGCTGGATCGCTGCATGCCTCCCTGCCTCCCTACCTCTTCGAGCGTTTAAACCCCACGAATCTGCCCCAGAAACGCGAGGCAGATAGCCTGTTCGGCTGAGAACGTGGCTTGCAAATCTGTGCATGTCGGCGGATCCTCCAGAAACTACATAATATATTATTACAGATCTAGCCAAAGTGTTCCACCACATCCTCGTTGTCCCAACCTTCAACCACCACGGGGATATATCAACAACTTCGTCCTCGACCGCGCTCTCCTTTCGCTCCTGAAGACACGCCCGGGTGCCCTACCATGTCCGCGTCTGCTCACAATTGACATCGACAAACCCTCCCGAGGCTTCCGCGGCTACCAATCTACCCGCCCTCGTGCCCCTTTGCTAGCCGGGGCACTCACCTCCCCCACCTCTACACCTCCCCTTATAGAACGATTTAATGACGAAGAGATTCGTTTCCGTCGCTGACTGGGCGCCCGACCACGAGGCCATGTACCCCGAGAACCCTTCGTTTCGCCCCTCGGTGAGCAATCCCGTTGCTTACGAACCCCCATGGCGTCCTACGAATCGAGGCCTCGCCCCGTCAACCCTTCCCAGGTTAGACGGAGGCCCAAGTCCCTTGTCGTTGGATCTCAAGAAGCTGGATTGATTGCGCCGTCGCTGGAGATCCATGGCCATTCGCGCTCAGAGAGCGCGGCCTTGAGCCGTGGCCAGCTCACGAAACCGGAGGGCGCTTCCTTCCGCGGAATACTACGACGTGCGTCCACCTCACTGCGAGTCAAGTTCCACCGTCGCCCTACGCTATCGAGCAACCCTGTTTTCGAGGAACAGCTGCCCGAGGCGCGGCCAACCACAGCCCATGCTACATGGCACCGGTTACGGCAGGCCGCGAGCTTCCGGCAAAATAGGCCGTCTTATGGCGAATCCAGCGACACATCCCAGCGCGACCTGGACCAAATCATAGAATCCATGGCCACTCTTCCCGTACCGAGCATCGGCGGTGAGCCCCCATAATACCCCATAACACTGGTGGTGCTGCCAAAGCCTCGGTCGCGGAATATCTCTACAACTCCGGATCCGGCTCTAGCGACCTAGAGTCTGGGTCCTACAGCGTACGCAATAAGTGGCTTTCCCATGTTCCGGGCGAAGAATGTGGAAATGACCGCGAGAGTGGTATCGGGATCACTGTTGGCGGGTCCGTTTCCGACGCCGACCTTTCCGAGTCCAAACGCGCCTCCATGCAAGCGCAAGAGGGCACCATCAGCCGGATCGACTTCGTCACACAGCTTCCCGCGGAGCTTGCCATTCAAATACTATCGCTGCTCGACGCTCCCGGTCTCCTTACCGCTAGTCAGGTCTGCAGGACTTGGCGGGATACTATCGCTAATCAGCACATTTGGAGGAGTCCTTCCTGCGCGAGAAGACGGCAACGTATGCGACCAGTGGGCCGATTAGGCCAGGTGCTGGCCTCGGCGTTCCAAGCGTCAAGCCCACAAATAACTGGAAGGACATTTATTGTGCGAGAGAGGAGCTGGATGCGAGATGGAGGCGTGGACAAGCAAAGCATGTCTACCTTAATGGGCATCTGGATAGCATCTATTGTCTTCAGTTCGACGAGTACGTAAACCACATGTGTCGCTCCCCGGATGACTAACGGCCCCTCGAGTGCTAACCAATTCCTCCTTGTTGTCATAGGTTCAAGATCATTACTGGTTCAAGGGATAAGACGATACGAATATGGGACATGCACACGTATCAGTGCAAACTTGTCATCGGGCCTCCCGAGGTGCTGAGTGACATATCCATCCTCATCGACGAGGACAAGCAACCGGCCCATTATGCCACGCTGTCGAATAATCAGCGCGTGGCCCATTCGATGCCTGCGCTTGTCTCGTTTCCAATCCACCATAAAGCCTCGGTTCTCTGTCTACAATACGACGATAAAATCCTAGTCACGGGCTCCTCTGACGCAAGCTGCATCGTGTACAAGGTGAACTCGGGATACCGACCCATTCGGCGTCTCCGACATCACACCGCCGCCGTGCTCGACCTTGTGTTTGATGAGAAACACATCGTAACGTGCAGCAAGGATATCAGCATCTGCGTGTGGGACCGGGAGACGGGCGCGCTACTGCGGAGGCTCAAGGGCCACGCGGGCCCCGTCAATGCGGTTCAGATGCGGGGCAATACCATTGTGTCCTGTTCTGGAGACTTCCGCGTGAAGCTGTGGAATATCGATACTGGCAAGAATATTCGCGAGTTTGCTGGCCATACAAAGGGTCTCGCTTGCTCGCAGTTCTCCGAAGACGGACGTTATATCGCGTCTGCCGGCAACGACAAGGTCATCCGCATCTGGGACGCCAATACCGGCGAGTGTCTACGAGAGATGAAGGCGCACGACGGCCTCGTGCGAAGCCTCCACATTGACAGCGTAAGCGGAAGGCTCATCAGCGGCAGTTACGACACGAATATCAAAGTATTCGACATGGATACGGGTGCCAGCTCCTTGACTTTCCTAAGTGGCATGCGAGCTGGGTTCTCAGCGCGAAGAGCGACTATCGGAGGATTGTGAGCACGGGTCAAGACCCAAAGATTCTGATCCTCGACTTCGGCGCCGATGTCAAGGGCATCGAAGCCTTGGAAGCACCGAGCAACAGAGCCCCGATTGCGGCTATTTTTAAACGCGATATGGTCCTGCGTCTAAACCTAAACTTTGGCGGCCGGCTGGCTTCTACGACATGCCCCGTATCCGCTCCTTTTATATATTTCTTCTTGTCTTACTACACCCTCGCCTTCTTCCCACAAGGCTTATCATGTAACTGGATGGGAGTTATTCAGTTTTTTTCTTTTTCTTTCGGTTATCATCTCGACCGGGCAGCATCATCAGGACTGGGAGGAACTTTGGGTACGCGATATTAATGCATAATCACGGGGGAGGGGAGGGGACCTCTGGCGGCGAACTTTTGTCTTCTTTTGGAGTGACTTTTTTTTTTACTTTGGGTCCGTCGCAGGCTTCGTCGAACTCGGAAACAGAGTAGCGCTCTGTAGGACGCACTTCTTTTGGCAACTTTCTTTTTCTTCTGCTCTGTTAGATTCCGGACTACATGTACAAACGGCGTGTATAGATGGACGACGCGGCAGCATGTTCTTTTTTCCACACCACCTCATACATAATCCTGCGCACCAGGCTCTTTTACCTTTTTTTCCTTTCATCTTCTACTTCTCTATCCGATGTTGTGCTCGTGTATCCGCATTCCGCCCTTTTCCTTGGAGCGGATGGGCTTGTGATATATTGGGTCTTCTTATTTTTTTTTTTTTTTTTTTTTTTGTTTTTGGCCCTTTACTACCGGCGAGCTTAGGACATATCCATGGAAGAGCATGGAGGACAAAAGCCTTGCAAGAGTCCGGTGTCAGGGATGTTAATGAAGAATGGTTCTCCTCTTCGTCGTTTCGACTTGTTCTCTAGATAAGCTATAGCCTCGGGTCAGGTCTAGCTTGACTTTACGATCTATACTACCCTCACGGGCCTTTTTTCTCTCTAATTTCTTACCGCACCGGTCTATTCCATCTCTCTGTCTTGAGCCATCGGTCAACTCGCGCACCGTCGGAGAGATTCATACGTTCACGGAATCAGCCACGATCACACATATGCCGCGGTGTCCCTCTGGCCGAACGCCGAGGCAGGGCAATGGGTGCCATACAAGTCAATATATCGGTTCACTCGTTTCGTTCCGCTCCTCGACTGTGACTCCTTGAAAAAGAGCAAAGGAGCTAGACGGACGGACGAACGGCTTCGAAATCACCAACACCAGCTTCGTGTTGAGGCCGAGGCGGATGTGGACATGCGGCCCAGCCTTTTGGTCTTCTAACTGTTGGTTGTTTTCGGCATATGAGTTATCAGAGGCACGGCGACCTAGGCGACAGAGGCCATTACAGTAGGGGTTCATCGTTGGCTCTTTACCCCGCGGCGCAGCACGCATCGTAGAGTTACCAGGATACGCGGACAATTTTATATAGAAAGAGTAGCACAAACAAAGGGCAACACCATGGTGGTTGTTGGGGCGGGAGGGCAAGTGGCGATCTAATCTAAGAAACGGTCTAGGCCCCGAGGCTACGCAACTGATATTGTGAAGGGAGGGGATTTCTTTGGGCGGAGTGGCAAAGCCTGGCACGATTCACATTTGTTGTTCCGTTGAAAAAAAATCTAATTATTTTCCGGCGACGCCCAGCTTCTTCTTGAGCGGCGAAGTCTAGTATCGAGCCCGCGAGCACAACTAACGGCACCAGCATGAAAGGAGCCCGTATTTTCTAGTATTAAGAGTGATTACTAGGTGAATGGTCAATGCTAGCCCAACCAGGCTAATATGGCCTACATGGAAAGCTGTAGGTTGGCGGCGGTGAGTCCGGAACTCCAACCTGAAAACGCACGAACGTGACTATACTCAGCTTGGATTCGCGAGGGTCTGGTGCCTACGGCTGGTGATAGCGACGGATCTCTCCCGGCACGAGCTGGTCACTCTATCTCTATTTGTTGGCTGGTTTGGTTCAAAAGCAGACATCGGTTTGCCTGCTATACCCCTCTCTGAGCAGAGCAGAGCAGAGTCGCTCAGGGAGCGATGATAATAAGCGATAGATGTGCTGCCAAGCTGCGCTGGCGACGGCAAGCTTGCCAGTTTAAGAAAAGAGGCAAAAGGAAATTAAACAAGCGAATTTTCCGAGTGCAGCGGCGTCAGGTGTGGAGATGCGTGCGTCCGTGTCGTGTGTGTGTGTGTGTGTGTGTGTGTGTGGCACAAGTTGGTGTGGGCGGGGCGAAAATGTTTTGAAACAAGGGGGCCACGGGATGGGCCCAACGTGAGAAAGCAGGTGGCGAGGCGAGTCAGAGATCGCTGGGAGGAGAAGATCGCAAAAGAAAAGATCAGATGAGTTTAAAGTGTGCGACCTGGCCTTGTTTGTTTCAATCGACTTCCTTGACGGCAGGGTCTGACTGACACCGGCTTGTTAATGATGCGATGGGCTTCCCTGCTTCAACTTATTTCGTAGTCTCCGTGGCGATCCCGCTTCATTGTCGGGCTCGAGGCAAGGTGAGGTCAATATCGCGTCCGATGATGCGCTTGGCGTCTAGACCTGGACACAAAAAGCAAAGAATCGGGCGCCATCATCGAGTCTCTCGCCAAGATCCCATCATGGTACTGTCACTGGCTTAGACCTCCTCGCCGCTCGCAGTATCGAGAATCTGTGGGGCCTCTGGGAAGAGGGAGCGCAAACAATTTAATCAAGGAAGCTGGTCCAAGGACGCCTCTGGTGATGTGATGCGATGGCCAGGCGGACAGGGTGAACGTTGACTGTTGTCGCTTGTACGGAGACATCTCGGCCAGCCGTGGACGGGAGCGGGACCCAAGGTGAAACGGGCCTTTTTGCCCCCTGCAACCCCGGACGGAGACAACCTATTCGTCAACGCACCACCACTCTCCCGCGAAGCTCCGCCCTCCACTGTTTGTGCGGGGACGAGATCCAAGCCAGAAAGGGAGATGTTAACTCCCCACCGTCGACCACAGCCAGTCGTTCGCTCTCCGTACCTGCCTCTGCTGCATGCGCGCGATGGATACATTGGTCAGATGGTATCAGTTCTTGCGACTCTCGTTCATGGTCGGGTGTGGGTGGGTAGAACGTGATGGACACGTTGTATTCCCTCTGCAACGAGCAAGCACATGCGCAAAGGAGAGCAACCTCTCCAAGAGTCACTGGACGGAGATGGGAGACAAGTCCCGCCTGGAGACTGGGTTGCGGAGAAATTTCTCCAGCCTTCGAGGTTGCCGTACAAGTGGAGAGGGTCCAAAAAGCACCTGGCACGCATTGCCTTAGAACCTCGATCTCGGGCAATTTGGGCTCTTGACCCCACCCCTCTTTCCCATATGAGCACCTGAGCAAGGGGAGTAATTAAAAAGGAGAAGAAAGAAAGAAAGGCATGTTGGCGGCATGGACAGAGTGCCAGTGCTGGCTGCTTGCGATTGCGCCCATGATTAAAGCCATCTGGATTGCTATCCTCCCCCTCGCTGCCTTATTGTCATTAATCAATCCAGATGAAGACCCGTCCCGTCAGCGGGCCAGAAGAATCCTGCGTCCCGGTTGCGTCGAGAACGAGGTTCCTATGTTTCCTAATCAAGCTGTAAGACATTCCAACGCGTCGGCAAGACCACAGCTCTGCCGGTGGCGTTCCCGGACGCCACAGAAGCATATGGCTTGGGGCGCTTGAGTGCCTTCTTTTGGGGGCGTTCCGCCCATGATCAGCAAGACTCAAAATCTTCTGGGTGCTGGGTTCATCTTGGGCGATGATCGACGCAAGGGGTGCCATCTTGCCATCTTCTTTCAACAGCACACCCCTGGAACAAAAAGCCGAAAGCAACGCAACCCCAGTGTTCCATCATTAAATCACCTCCCACACTCACCACGCCACACCTTGTCCATTTCTGCTGATCTTGTCTGGCTGATTGTTTGGTCGTTGACTCCACCCCCATCTCCAAGTCCCCTTCCATTTCCTCTTTATCGTCGTCAAGGAGGTAGGGCCCACCTCGCCCAAGGGAACAACCTAGCCCCGTCCTATCGTCGCTCAGCCTTAGGTGAAGAGAAGGGACCTGGGCCAAGCAAGCCGCCCTGCGCTGCTGGCGTGGCCAATTGCGCACGGTCTGATGTGGGTTCCCAGTTTCCCCGTGTTTCGTCGCAACAATTGGTGTCCGATTTTCCCTGGTCCACAGCATTTCCCGCTCTCCAAGTCCCTGCAAATTGTCGCGAACGCTTTTCAAGCCATTCCGCGAGCCAAGGCGCATGAAGTTCTCCCCTTTGGCCCTGGTCCCTGTCCCCCTTTCGAGGCTCGTATCTTCGCTGGCGTTTCGTCGCATGAGCCATTCAGTGCTGACCTTGGCTGCGTGCCAGACGATTAAAGAAACAATGGTGTGGTGTTGTGGCGCTTGAAAAGAGAGACGCAAGAACAACAAGGGCCGCTTGTTCCCACTCAACCATCGGGCTCTTCCAGCACGTTGGGCTGTGGCGCCGGGATCCCTGCCAGGGTTACAGGCTAGCCAAGGGACGGGCTTTTTCTATGAGCAGGGCCAACTAGTCGCCTGTTGCGGAGCTTTTTCTAACCCAGGAATGGAGCAGTTGCGACAATCGTCGTCCTTCATCCAGCCGAGCGGGATGGCGCTCCCCTTCGTCTCTCCCGTGCCGCCTCGGAGGCCAAGGAGGCGAGGTTCTGTTGTAAGTCAATGTACCCTCTCTTTATGTCTGGCTCAAGATCCGCCACCGAATGCGTATATATCCTCTCCTCCCTTTCACCCTCTCTCCCTAGTCCCTAAAGCGGCCCTTTTGTTCTCCATTCGACCAGCCCGTCGACTTTGTTTGCTTCTCTTTCTCTAGCCGACCTCTGGTTTGGCATCCTCTTTTTGTTTCCTTTCCCTTCCTTTTTTCACCTTTTGCCTCGTCGATCCCGTGCTGTGCACTTCTACCTTCTTTCTGTCATCCATATATCTTTCTTTTCCTCGTATCCACCACACTTTCAAGCAAACCGTCCCTGGATTTGAAACCCCAGTGTCTTGCATTTGACGTCGAACGTCACTCATCCCACGTTACACTACTTTCTTTCTGGTAGCCTGGCAGCGTTGCAAAGTGAGTCTAGTTGTCGCATTCTTTCTTCTTCGCCCTTGTCCTCTTTGGAGATCTCGCTTCAGGAAGGGGGCCACCGAGTGGAGAGCCCCCGTTCCAAGAACCATATCCACGATGGTAGCTGCATTGATGATCTGTACCATCCTTGGCCTGGGCCATTGTTGGGCAAAATATCTGGAACCTTCCCTCTTGGGACTCCCCTCTCCCCCATAATGGCCGGGGCATCGTTATGTGATGCTAGCTTCTACCGTCGCACTCGGCCTTGTTTTTCTCCATTACTACCATCCCCGATTCACATGTGGGGTACGGGTTACATGCCGAGAATGGGACGGGGTCAGGCGCGAGAAGTCATTAGCATCTTCCCTGACGCTGGGGTAACGCTTCGGGTCCAATCTTGCCTGATCGAGGACTTCTCTCTGTCTGCGCTGTCATGTCATGATGAGAGCGAACGTTGCAGGCTCTGACAAAGGATGTTCTTCTTCAAGTGAAAAAGCACATCTAAGCGTGGGGAACGCAGAAAGGAGACAAGGCCGGTCGAACTGGTTCGTCCTTTCCTACAAGCTGCCTACAAGAGCTATTAGGCAAAGCTGCTCCTTCCACCCACGTACTCCTGCCCTCACTCCACCGAACCCTCCTTTGTGTGGGAAGGCACGGCTTGCTGGTTTAAATCAAGCTCCTTCTGTTCGTTTCCCTCGGCATTTTCTTCTTGCTTTCGAGTCATCCTCTCTTATAAATCTTCCCTCCCTTCCACCAATATCCCCAGTTCGTCTTCCTCCCGCTGGCCCATTGGACAGGGTGCTGTTAGCTCTTAAACGTGATCTTATCAAGATCGCACCTTTTGAGCTATATACCTAGGACGGCCATTATTCTACTTAATGGTTGCTGTGCTCTCCCCATTTACACTCAACCTCAACCTTGCCTTTCAATATTGTATCTATACGATCCCGTCGAGGGCTACACCTATACACGACTCAACGTAGACTACGAAAAGGAAAAGCTAACCCGAGAAACATCAGAGAGCAAACCTCCACCACCATTTCCGAAGTCGTCCCATATCCTTTGACGACGTTTATCCCTATCTCATGATGGGCTTCGTCACCATCATCACGTTCTTTTGGCGTTTCGCCTCTTCGACGTCCCCGTTTTGGCCATTCCCGCTCCCCAAGCTGAACAGGCACCGGCAGCCGGCACCTACTGGCTTGCAGACATCGAGCGTCTCGGTGCACCGGCTTACGGTGATGCAGGCTACCAAGTATTCCGCAATGTCAAGGACTTTGGTGCTGCGGGTGATGGCGCTCAGGATGACACTGAGGCCATAAATGCCGCCATTACTCTCGGCAACCGCTGTGGCCAGGGCTGTGACTCGAGCACAGTGACTCCGGCCCTCGTCTACTTCCCGCCCGGTACCTATCGCGTGACGCGGCCAATCATTCCCTACTACTACACGCAGCTCATCGGAGACGCTGTCAACCGGCCCATCCTCAAGGCCGATGCTGCCTTTGAGGGAATTGCCGTCATCGATGCCAACCCGTACGACAACCAGGGCAACAACTGGTTCACCAACCAAAACAACTTCTTCAGACAGGTGCGAAACTTTGTCATTGATGTCACTGCGCAGCCCCTCGACCGCGGAACTGGAATTCACTGGCAGGTCGCCCAAGCCACCTCGCTTCAGAACATCGAGTTCAACATGCGCGAAGATCGGTCCGAGGCCAACGCGCAGCAGGGTATCTTCATGGAGAACGGCTCAGGCGGCTTTATGACTGATCTCGTCTTCAACGGCGGTAAGTATGGCGCCTTTATCGGCAACCAGCAGTTCACCACGCGCAACTTCAAGTTCAACAACTGCAACACCGCCATCTTCATGAACTGGAACTGGGCCTGGTCGTTCCACAACCTTGAGATTAACAACTGTGGTATCGGTATCGATATGGCCAATGGTGGTGCTAGCCAGACCGTCGGCTCCGTCTTGGTGCTCGACAGCAAGTTCAGCAACACTCCTATTGGCGTCAGCACGGTGTATACGCCCCAGTCTCCCCACACCAACGGCACTCTGATTCTTGAGAACGTTGACTTGACCGAGAACGTCCCCGTCGCCGTGAGCAACCAAGGTACCGGCGCCACTATCCTTGCTGGCAATGCCAACATTGCCTCGTGGATCCAGGGCCGTGTTTATAACGGCGCTGATGGCGGCAACGCCGTTCAGGCTGACCAAACGCCGATTACCAAGCCCGCCGCTCTCCTCGACAGCGCCGGCAAGGTGGCGACCCGCAGCAAGCCTCAGTTTGAGGACGTTCCTGTCTCCCAGTTCGTCAGCGTCAAGAAGAATGGCGCGGTCGGCGATGGTGTCACCGATGACAGCGACGCGATCCAGGCTATTTTCGACGCGGCTCAGCCCGGCCAGATTGTCTATTTCGACCATGGTGCCTACGTCGTGACCAAGACCATCAAGGTTCCCAAGAACATCAAGATCACTGGCGAGATTTGGCCTCTGATCATGGCTGGCGGAGATTCTTTCTTCAAGGACCAGAACAACCCTCGGCCTGTCTTCCAAGTCGGAGAGCCGGGTGATGTGGGCGAGGTTGAAATTACTGAGCTCATGTTTGAGACCAAGGGACCCCAGCCTGGCGCCATCCTGATGCAGTGGAACGTTGCGGGCACCACTCCTGGCGCTGCGGGCCTCTGGGACGTGCACTTCCGTATTGGCGGATCGGCGGGTACCGAACTCCAGTCGGACAAGTGCTCCAAAACCCCGGAAGTTGCTACCCAGCCCAACCCCGAGTGCTTTGGCGCGTTTATGATTCTCCACGTCACCCCCGAAGGCTCGGGTTACTTTGAGAACACGTGGTTCTGGGTGGCCGATCACGAGCTCGATCTCAGCGGCCATAATCAAATCAACATTTACAACGGTCGCGGTGTCCTCATCGAGTCGTCCAAGGGCAACTGGCTCTGGGGTACCGCTTCGGAGCACAGCGTCCTCTATAACTACCAGCTCACCAACGCCAAGAACGTGTACATGTCTTTGATCCAGACCGAGACGGCCTACTTCCAGGGCAACCCCGATGCCAAGGTTCCCTACACGGTCAACCCTACCTTCTTCGACCCCGACTTTGACGTGATTTGCGCCGCGCAAGAGGGACCATGCGCCAGGACCTTGGGCGTCCGAATTGTGGACTCGTCGGATGTCTTCTTTTACGGCACTGGCATGTACAGCTTCTTTGAGAACTACACGCAGGAATGCGTGGCTGCGCAGAACTGCCAGACGCATATGCTTTCCATTGAGAATAGCCAGGCGCACTTCTTTGGCCTAAGCACCAAGGCTGCTATCAACATGGTGCACCTTAATGGGCAGAGCGCGGCCCTCGACAGCGATAACAGGAACAACTTCTGCGCTACCATCGCGGGGTTCCACGCAACATGATCGACCAAGGAAAGAAGTTGGATTTGCAGGATACCCGGGAAGACATTGTACATACGAAGGAACATACCACTTGGAGGGAGGCTGCCGGAGAAGGGGAAAGGGTCTCGTCACGTAGCGCTGCTGGCCGGAAAGGTCAAGCACAGCAAAGGGTTGTGCAAGCAATGTTGTTTACTTTTCTTCTGTATTTGTTAGATTTTGGCATTATTTTTTTCTTTTACACGCCCTTCACCTCACACCCTCCACATTGATTTCATGCTGCATCGTTATTGGTACCTCGATACTTTTAGTCACCCTTGCTGATGTGCTGTGCGATTTCATCTTGGGGGTTGAGCAGATGGATGGAGTTTATATTATTAGTGCGAGGACGGGAGATCAACCACCCGACTTGCGTCAAGACTTTGAAGAAGTAAAAATAGGAACATTGGATTATTCTTGATTTCCTCAATTCACAACGATACCCGTGATTTAGCAGTCATGCTTTGAAAAATTGTTGCAGGGGGCTCGCGCGAGGGTTTTGGCCAAACCCAACTCGGCTAGTCATCGGCAAAACTAGCTCTGGTGGACAACGAGTCAACGTCATCGAGAGCGAATAGGGCCTCCCAGAAGCATCCAGATTTGCCCACTCTCAAGCTACTAAATTCCAAGCTTCCGACCCTGATCCACTGTTCAACCTGTCGAGTCGCCCCTGATCGCTGCCTGGTCGTGGGCTCTACCTCTTATTGATATCCCCTTCTTCTTTTCTCCCTGTTTCTTTTTCCTCACTTTTGTACCATTTTCCTCCCAAGGCGAAAAGTCGTGCTCGACGGATTGGGTGACACCTTCGCTTCTTTACTTATCATACTTTTTCTCCTCCGATAGACACGATTTCAAACCACTTTCCTCTGTCTCAACGCGGCCAATCCTACCTCACCAGCGAAAATGGAGACGCGCTCTAGCCGAGGCCGAGCATCCCGACTCGCGGAACTGCCTCCCAAGGCGTCGGACACGTATCAAGACTTGGCGCGCCGGGCGCCCGGCTCCCGAAACCCACCTATGCTACCTACGCCAACGGAGCGCCTCTTAGTGGCCGCCTTCCCCGCGATCCTCCTCTTTGGGTCATTTTTCTCGCTGGTGTCTCCGCAGACGCGGGTGCCGAGTTCGACCCGGTGACGCAATCGCACTCGCAGGCGTCGCCGCCGAGCTACTTTGCGCACAAGGGCAACGTGTTCAACCGATACTTTGTCAAGCAAGGGTGGGCGTGGGTGACGGCGTCGTTTGCGTTCTTCGCGCTGACGCACCCGGCGCTCGGGGCGGGCAGCCGGCGGGCGCAGGCGTTTGCGCGGTACGGCGTGACGACGCTCTGGTGGATCCTGGTCACGCAGTGGTTCTTTGGGCCGGCGCTCATCGACCGGGGTTCCGGTTGACGGGCGGGGCGTGCGAGGTGGTCGAGGGCAAAGTGGAGGAAGGGCGGGCGGATGCGGGTGAGTTTTTCACGGCGGTGGCGTGTAAGGCGGCGGGGGCCGGTGGGCGGGGGCCACGATATCTCGGGCCACGTTTTCCTGCTGGTGCTGGGGAGCGGGTTCTTGCTGCAGGAAGTCGGGTGGGCGGTGAAGCGGTGGGCTGGGTTCGGTGCGGAGGAGAGGGCGGTGGTGATGGCGGATGGGGCGGTCAAGGGCGCGGGGGTGGAGAGCGCGGGGGTTCGGCGAGGGGAGGGAGAGTGGTGGGGATAAGTTTGGTTTGGGGGCAAGGTCGTGCTTGGGGTGGTTGGGTTGAACTTGTGGATGCTGTTGATGACGGCCATCTACTTTCATACGTGGTTTGAGAAGGTGAGTTGGAAGAATCCCATTTCCCCCAACCCTCGTTTCTTTTTTTCTCCCTCCTTTCCCCGAGGTTTCTTTCGTCCTTTGGTTCTAACTCTTCGACTTTTCTCTAGCTTACTGGACTCATCTCATCCTTTGTTGGGTTATACCTCATTTACATTGTGCCGAGGTTCGTCCCGGCCGTTCGACAGGTTGTGGGGCTGCCTGGTATATAGATAGATCGCATCGTCATATTACATCAACTTAGATACTTTTTTCTATTATAATTGTTTCACACCTTCCATTTTCACTTGCCACCTCTTCCAACGCAAATGTCCTTCTCACTCGACTCAAACCTTTCGAGAAAAGCAATCGGGAAAAAGGAAAAAGGAAGAGAGACACTTGATATGGCACCGTCACCTGGGCCAAACCCATCTGCAACAGGTTGGCGAGTACTGAGTAGTGGGCTGTAGATTACGTATATATGTCCTAAATGCTTTCCACTCGGTGCTTCTTCCCCCTCGCTGCCCACCCATGGCCAACTTATACACCCCCGTGTTCGGTGGGGACTGGAGCTATGCGCGTTGGGAAGGGAAGATCCGCTCCCTCGTCCGTTTCCGGCTTGGCGCACGGGCCACGCATTCATGACTTCATCGAGGGGCAGCTTCCTCCATTCTAGAAGGTGGGACCCTGAATTGAGCTTGGCCAGTCTCAATGTCAATGCCCACCACTTGCCCTGTTCGTCCTTCTGTTGCCCAAATATACAGGCCCGCCCAGACGCTTCGCTTCTTTCCTCTATATCGTTTTCAATCACCTCCCTCAAATAAAGATAATTTCTCCCTCTTTTTGCTTCATTCCCTCCTTTCACTTTATAGACAATAGAATTTAAGAATATCATGGCTTCGGTCAAGGCACCGGGCAACTTGCCACAGCTTGTCAAGTCTACCTTTGGCAAGGCACGCGCTAACGGTGACCTCCTCTACTTCCCAACACAGGTGACGGTGCTGGCGCCCACCTCGATTCCGGTACGTCTTGATACCTAGCGAGATCTGCCTGGACACGGCTATCTATCTGTTCTTATTCCCGAGAGGCTCTGAAGCCGCTCGAACGCGCTGGGGAGGGGGCCGAAGCAGGAAAATGATCCATGGAACCTAGCGCCTAAAACAGACCCTGACCAGGCGTTCCAAGGCATGCATAGAACAGCCAGAAGCGAGCTTTTGGAAGGAGCGCGCAAGTGAGGCTAACATGGTTGGGCAACTCAGTTTCAACTGCGATTCTCACCCGCGCTGGCCAGCAAACCGACGAATCCTGCCCCTCATCCCCATGTACCGAAGAAAGTGTTCAACCCGTTTGAAAACCCCGACAAGGGACTCCTCATCGCCGAGCTAGCCCCCGATCACAACCTCGTGTTAAACAAGTTCGCCGTTGTGCAGGAGCACTTTATTCTCGCGACCAAGAGCTTCCGGGAACAAACGCACCTGCTTGACGCTAATGACTTGGAAGCGACGTACGCGTGTATAGCAGCGTACCACGACTCCGTCCCAGAGGCGGAGATGGGCAGCGACGCGGGAGAGGGAGAGCTCTACGCCTTCTTCAACTCGGGCGAGTTCTCTGGCGCCAGCCAGCCGCACAGACACATCCAGCTCCTACCCGTCGCCAGGATGCGAGAGGGGATCGAGGAGGGCAAGTGGGATGTCCTTGCCAAGAGGCTCGTGGGAGAGATTCAGGATCTGCCCTTCACCGTCTTCGCCGCCGACATTGAGCCTGGGATGAGCGGTCAGGCTTTGCGCGACATCTACTTGACCCTATATAGGCAGGCATGCGCGTCTGTGGCGGCCCTCTTGAGCAAGGGGGACATTGCTGACGGGGCAGAGGCCCAGACGGAAGGCCTGGCCCGCATAAGCTACAATATGGCCATGACGAGACATGCCCTGATCGTGTGCCCTAGATTATCCGAGGGTGGCGCCGTTTGGGACCAGGGCGAGGCTATCGGAAAGGTCTCGTTCAACGGCACCGTGTTGGCCGGCACGGCACTCGTTAAAACCTCGGCGGAGTGGGATGCGCTACGGAGCGACCCCGAGGCCTTATTTAATGTGCTTAAGACTATTGGCGTTCCCAAAAGTTCGAGGATAGAGTCATAGACGCTACAGACGAAGAGGGGTTCCGGACGCGCTCCATCTAAACGGGCAAAGGCCTCCTGGGAAAACGGCGGATCATTTTGCATATAGTCCCTGCTACTCTATACCATACTCACATTACTTTAACTTGGGCTAAAAGCTTTTTCAAGGACTCAACCCAATAGTCTCTTCGCTTGCCCCTGTTCATCATCTGCACACCACGGCCTTCAAACACTTGCTCTAGTTCGATGGGTCGGATCGGTCCTACCCATCCTCAACGTCCACTGTCTCAAACGAGATTTCATCCCACTTCTTTCGACAGGTCGCATTTCCAAAGTGATATGAGCCCCCATGGCTAACAATATACTCAGCTACTAGCTTCCAAGGGATCCTGGCCGCGACAGGATCTTTTCCCTTGCTGTATCTCCGAACAGCCTTGTTGAGGAGTTTGACCTGCGATGAAGAAGAGGGAGCATTAGTTGTCTGATGAACAGGATGGCATGCCTTCCTGGCCTGGCTTCCCTTTTCGGGCCCTCGGGGATACCGCCTCCTCCCACTTACATCAGCTTCTGTCCACGCCGGTTTTCTTACTCGGGCCTCTTTGTTCTTCGTTAGGGTACGGAATCGCCCCCGAAGCGTCGACTCGGCCTCCGTGAAGCCGCCTTTGACGCGGATCTGGCGATATGTCATGCCCTGCAACTTGTGGCGCACAAGAAACTCGTCCTTGGCTGACAGCTTCTGTCCAAGAGGGTCGCAAGAAGGGGTGAGACGTCGCATTTCTAATGTCGCAGATGCTGAGCTAGAGCAGGCCCTCGGGGAGTCGCCATCATAGCTCGCATCGGAGTCGGAGCCATCGGATAGGCCTGGGCTATTTTCCTCGCGAGGTGGCGTAGGCTCACCCTGCCCGGATGATCTAATGCTGGCCGATGAGTTTCTGCTAGCGCGCTTATCGATCTTAATAGGTGGTTCTAGGGGCTCAGGAGACGAGGTTCCCTCTCTTGTCCTCGGATCAACAGACGCACTCAAAGCAGGGGAACCATGTTCGTGTGGCTCCGTTGACCTGACGCAAGCATCATCTGCAGAGACCTCAGGTTGTCGAGGCGAGGTGGGTAACTGTTTCCGTCGCTTCGAAAAAGCCGCTGTAGATTCGTCATGCGCAGGGAAACATAGCAAGGGCTCCGACGAGGCACTTTGGTAGACTGGAATGTTAAAGGCCAGTGGGGTGGCGTTTGCGAATAGTACCGGTGACGGGTTACGCCGCAGCTCCTTGGGCGATACTGTCCCTGCGTGGGCGTGGCCGTCGGCCCATCTCATCTGACGAAATGGAGACTCTGGCGTGCAATGAATAGACCCCGCTCCCGACCCCGCTCCCGACCTAAGGCCACCTTTGGCCTGTGGCCTAGATTCGTACGCGCCTTGAAATGAAGGGGGAACGTGCCGACGTGGGTCGTGTTGGTAGGCAAGCGGGTAGGTCGCCGAGGGTCCCGGAACTGAATGAGTTGGTTGGCTCAGAGGTAGGAAACCGGGCCATTCTAGGCAATCTACAGGTATGGGCGCGGGCGGCGGAGCGTGTGCCTGAGTGGCGTATATTTGGGGGATACCGGTACTATATGTCTGGGTTGAAGGGTGTAGGGCCTCCCGGATTGGTTGAGGTGGTGCAGATCAACGGCCCAAAAGGGACCGTCGAGGAGAGGACCAGGCAGCAGGGCCTGCTGGGCTTGCTGGGCTGGAGAGCCATGAGCAGCCTTTTCGGAAAGGTGTGTGGGATGGGGGAAGAAGTCGGAGTCTTCTACTTCAAAGAGCGGGGAGTGGAGATCGTTGAACTGGTGTTCTCGCACGTCAGTGACACTTCTTATGGAAAGTGACAGAAATGTACAAGCTTTGTTCGTAACATGTTTCGGAGTTGATAGTCTGGACCAATTTCCCGAGGAGGGAGGAGGGGGAAAGGATCCCTAAAGTATAGAGGAGCTGTTGCGGCCTCCTTGGGCAAGGGGCGGTCGTGGTGGCCATGGCTAAGCAAAACAAAGGGGACGTAAACATACACTCACATCCATGTCCACATCCCCAGCTCCTACTATCCACTGATTCTCTGACATGTCGGCCTGTCGCTGTGATATGAGGAAGGGTGACGCCCACCGACCGTCGAGAACGCTTCCCAGGTGTGCGTAGCAGATGGGATCTGAGGAGGCAAGGGAGCGATCTACTGATGTTACGGCGCGATGGTGGATGGGCTCTCCGAGAGGCGGGGGCTCTTTGCGATGCAGAATATGCAGTTTCCGGGAAGGGCCAGGTGAGTTGAAGCTTGGATGAACATCTTGAGAAAGGAACGGGGATTAAGAGGGGAGAAGTCAAGCGGGGAAGAGGGCAAATATCAAAGGGAGGAGTCGCCCGTGGGTACGCCGCGCGCTTCTTGCTTATATCCAGGCTTTAGATCTTGGCATCTCCGTCCAGCAGCGATGGCGGGGCAAGCTTGAGTCGGATAAGCGCTGCCAACTACGCTCGCCTCTTTCTTTTCTCGCCTTATTATTGCTCCTTTACACACGTTGGGGTGTGGAGAGAGTGACAAAAGAGCCACACAAATCACCCCCTGCTTCGTCTTCTCTTCCTTACCTCGCACCCGCTAGAGCCGGTGGTCCTCAGCGCCTCGAGAGAGGGCGACAATCCGGACAAGAAAGAAGAAGAGGGGGAAAGGAAAAAAGCTGCAGTATTCCCTTTCACCGCTTCTCTTTCGACCAAAGGAAGCAAGGAAGGAAGGAAGAAGAAGAAGAGAAAGAAAAGGGAGGACTCAGAGACGTTTCAGGAACGTTGAGCTCGGAAGAAGGTTCTATCGGTGTGTTCGCCGGGGCGGTCTTGGACCCGCATGCACCCTACGCTGTAAGAGGCCGTCTCGGGTGGAGGCCGGGGGTCAGCGCAAAGAGGGAACGGGTTCGCGCACGCGGCCAAATAGGTTGAAGGGGATGCGGTGCGCCCGACTTCGAACTCGTGGCGGCCCACGCGGGCGGGCAGGGAAAGGGGGAGATTGGTAAAGAGAAGGAGGAGAGGAAGAAGAAGGGGAAGGAGGCGGTCTGAGGCGGGTTGGGCACCGGAGGAGAGGCAGAGGATGGTGGAGAATGGTCGGGAGGAGGCGTCTGGGAGGTGAGAAAGCCCCTGCCCTTTCTCTTGTGGGACGGGGTCTTGCGTGAATCTGAGTAGAGGCGGTCAATCGTGGGGGATCGCTATTATGGACTAACACGCTCAGGACGAGTTATCTGAGAAAGGGTAGCAGCCAATGGTGGGGAGCGTTAGGTTTAGTGTTGAGTACAAGATGATCGGGTTTTTGGTCTGGCAAGGGGCTGTCGTCTTCGAGCTTTGACAGCAGAGATCGCGGAGGGAAGTGGGCGGATATTATAAATTACAATTATGTTGAAGTTTTAATAACGATGCTCAAGGCTTCTCAGTCACAGCAGCTGGGCGTTTCCGGTGTATGTTATTCAAGAACAAGACGCCAATGGCATAGCGGAAGGTGATTCAAGGGACGGCCCTCAATGTCTATATATGCGTTAAAGTAGCTCTCGGCTCCCCTTGATCTATCTAGCATCGCTTCCGAATCTTTACATCACTAGCCTCCTACCGGCCCGATCACCCTTCGCTTCATTCCCCCTTTTTCATCATCCACCCTATAAAAGCCCCTAGCTCATTCTATGGAAGCATGTAAAGATACTAGTGACAGGCTGGAAAAGCAGGGATATGGCCCGGTTCGAACGGAGAAGGCGGGAGCGCGGCGATATCCCAGGCCCCTCCGGCCAGCCCGCATACTTGAGTGAGGGAGAAAAGAAAAGGGTGGGGGAAACAGAAGCAGGTCGAGATGGAAAGGAAATCAACCCTTGGACACCTCATTTCCAAAGCCGTAGCTAACTCTTTCTTTTGGGGAGGGGTGCTTTTGTAGCAATTAGAAGAAAACACAATAAGAAAGGCCAGGCTCATGAACATCCTGCGGCTCGCGCTTCTCCTCCTCCTGAATAAGAGGAGTACGTGAGCACCCTGCGCGGCGGGCGGGAGGAGGGCCCTTCCGAGCTTTTCTCTTTTGATGTTGCTGGTGGGTGAGGCTTGAAGCTGTGACCGGCGATGCTTCGTCGTCGCTTCTACCGTTGTGCCTCCTTTCAAGCACTGTGGGTATTTAAATTATTGGCGCTCGTGAATATACACCTACGCCGTCGCTAGGAGTTTATCGGGTCTCTCCGATCTTTCATTCTTCGTGATACCCAGAGGCTCCTCGCTTTGCTTCTCCTCGCCCAAGTGCGTGAGTCCTCCTCTTACGCCAATACAACGTTCCCTTGCCACTCCAAAAAGGGCACCGCCAGGATAGAGCCCAGTCACAGCAGAAGAATCATCAGCCCGGACTCTCTCCCCTTCGTTCCAGTTGGAGCACTAACAACTCTTCCGCAGACGGGGCCCCAACCTGGCATTTTGCGCACCCCTCCCTTCCCCCATCTGTTTGCAGAGAGAACCCGAACGCCCCCCTTTCTGACGTGCGCAATGTTTGGTTTTTCTGTTGGCGTTGCATCGTTCTGCTTGAGACCCAATCGGCCCCGGGAAGACGCATGAGCTAGTGCATGCGGGGCCGGGAAGGAAAGCGGAGCGGCCAAACCAAACACGAGGATTAGGCACAAGATCGACGGTCCTCTTTTTTGTTGCAACAAGTTGCTCAGCCTCTATTCGTGTCTCCCTTTCTCTACGCCATCCATCTTACAGACTACGGGACTAGAGATGCAAGATGGTAATGCCGAGGGCCCCTTGGAAGGAGATGAAAACCAAGCCAGCAGTGGCCAGCGCTATTCGGCGTTCCGCGGACGAAGGCTCGATTCCCCTTTCACAGAGCCAGTCCCTTAGTATCTAGACTAGCCACTGGGAGCGCAGTCGTTCTTGACCAGTAGTCGATATTCCCAGCCTGGTCCTCTTGACTGTCTTTGGCTTCCCCCTCTTGCATCACAAACAAAATCAGGGGTGCCAGCCAGCGCCGCCGTGGCCAAAAGATGAAGAAGGGACGGGGAAAGAAGAAGACAGAAAAAAAAACCGCCGAATGCAACACCGATCCGGTACTTCGTGCATCCAGCTCCTAGTACCCGTAATACAACCGCCCCAATCCAGGAAACTTCCAAAATGGGGTAAAGAAAACAAACGCTCGATTCCGCAATCCCTGACGCCCTCATATCTCCATTGCACCAAGTCCCATCAGCCTTTCGTTTAGAACTGGAACACCAAGGTCAAGGTGTGTGCTTCCAGAGAAACGGGGAAAATCGGTGCAGGTTACACCGACGACGACGCTCAACCGGGGACCCGGGTGCTGGCCACTTTTGGCCACTCTTGGCCGCCGCCCCCTTCCCAACCTTGTTTGTGGCCCGGCACTGCTTGAAGAACTCCCCGCCCGCGGGAACATGCGCCAACAACCACGCCCTGGCCAGGGTTGATCCCGCCAGTTCCGACCCGATTGCGACGGAGACGACGGCGGAAACAGGAGCGGGATGGAATTGGAGACGGGCGAAAGAGACAAGCGAGAAGAAATGGGTGCAAGGGTCTTATTGAGGACTGGACCGAAGAGTCGTTACATGACTAACACACGGTTTGCGTCGCATTCTCGAGTGCATGGTAACTTGGCCTTCCCAGAGGGAAACAACAAGAAAGAAAGAGGGAAAGAAAACACCTCATATTAACCTTGATTTCCCTGAGCGATGAAATCGTCGTCGATATGTAACAGTGACGGAGGGTTTCTTCTTATTTCTTCTTTTTATTGGACCATTGCGCCCTAACTTCTCGCGTCGTTTCCCATTCCAACGTTTCACCATACACTGCCGAGGTAGTGCGACAAGGCAACATATTCCTTTGCCTAGATGAGTTCATGTCTTCCACGGAATCCTCAGAGGCCGATGGCGCGAATTCCGCGCATTGAGAAGCGAAGTGAAAAGGTTGGTCGATATATCGTTGATATATTGGTGTCTAATCAAGGTATCCCCTTAGCAAGAAGAGGGGTGTATTCCCCAGGACTTGGGCGAAACAAAGGGGCGCGATGGCCCAAAATAAGAGATACAAGTAGAAAGAAGAAATGGTACAAAGATAAATGGATAAACGCCCTCGACCCCCTTGGAGCCGCCATGGATATCTCCGAATAATCGATATTTTGTTGGTTATAAACTGCCCCGACGATGGACTTGCGCATCGACTCATGAGGATGAGACGGGGTAGACTCTGCTCCCGCAGACCATGCTATACTCTATAGAGCCATAGGATAGATTGTTGTGAAACCAGATGCTGGGCATTTCGGCCGTAAGCCCCCGAGCAGGGCCCTTCTCTCTCTCTCCCACACCTTGACTCTTTGTTTTTCTTTTCTTCCTTGTTTTCGTGGTCGAAAGCCTTAGAAGTGCTCCTTCCAGAACCTAAACTTCACGTCGTTCGTAGTAGCCTGCTTGCAGGCTGTGTGGATGTCGCGCGCTAAGAGAGGAAAGTTAGTCTCGGTTTCTTCAAAATCAATCCGACTCGTTATAGTCCGGCCACGCCAAGCGATAGACTTACCCGCAACTGCAGGTCCACAAAAGTAGACACCCACGCTCGTCTGCGCGCTTCCATCCAACCCCTAGGTACGTCTGGTCGTTGATGCCGCCCCTCATCGCGTCAAAGATCCTCTTGAAATTGGGTCGGCCAAAATTCGTCCTCGACTTGAGTTCCGTGAGCGGATCAGTGTCGGCACCCACCGAGTTGAGAACGATGTTCTGCGCCGTGTTGATATCAAGCTTCTGGGTTAGGTATGTGTGAATCCTCAAGAACTCGTCGGGCGACCCGCCCGGCCGCCGCGCCTCCTCGGCGCTCTGCCTTTCAAGCGACGAAAGTAGGGAGTGGAACCACTCAAACGACGACGTATCCTTGCACACCCAGATGAACTCGACGCGGCGAAGGCGCGTGGGTGGGTTGGGTCCATTGCGGAGATGCCAGATGTTCTTCAAAATTGAAGCCCAGGGTGTCACTCCGATACCAGTGCCGATGAGCACGGCGATTTCGTTTTCAAAGACATCCTCCGCCGGTGCGCCGTAGGGGCCGTCAATTCGGAGATCGGGCATCACCTCGCCGTTTTGAAGCGCCACCTCGTACATGGCATTGGGATCAACATCGTCGTCGTAGAGTTTGCTTTGCGCAGAGCCGGCGCCGACGGCATCACCAAGCTGGCGGGTGAAATCGCCGACTTGGCGGATGTGTACGGAGACGTAGGGGTCAAAGGGGCACGACGTGATGGTGAAAGGGTGCCACTGGTAGCGCGAGATGGACGGAACCTGCAAGAAAAGCCATTGGCCGGCCTTGTAGCGGAATGACGGCTTCTCAAATTGGAGCTCGACGACATCGTAGGGATGCCTTACAACGCGCGTGATTTTCGTAGACCGGGCTGCGCGCACCTCGCGGTAGAGTCTCTCGATGAGATAGAAACCTCCGGCAAAAAGCTCCCATCGCCAACCCAAGTACCCCAGGCAATGGTCCCAAAATTCCTTGCCGGCGAACGGCGAAACGGGTAGAGCGGTGTCGCGCACGAAACAGCCCGTTGCATGGGTGTAAAGCCCGAGCATAAAGGGGATGAAGAGGTGGTGAGTGTACCAGAATGTTTCAAAGGACTGCTGGCGGATTTTAGCGTGTGCGGTGGTGTACATGAGCAGCATGCAAAGAAGCATAACGTGGCCCGTGACGCCACCGGCGTCCATGTAATGGATTTGGACCGCAAGCGCGGGACGCAGCTGAGTGCGTTCGACGTTGTAGAAATTGACGTAATGACCGGCAGTGTGGATCACTGTGAAGATGAGCATCGAATAGGCCACTTGACGATGAAACCAGAGGTTCTCATCGAGCGGTAACCAGCGAATCTTGGGACGGATCCATCGAACAAACGTTCGACACACGGGGAGAAGAATCAGGGTTCCATCAATAGTGAGAACGAGACCTGCGCCTCGCGATATCCACACCGAGTGCTGCAAAAGATTGAGGGCCGCAAGTCGGGGATCTGCTATTTGTTTATACCTAGAGAGGAAAATGGTCGTGTAAGCCGTGCGCGCCGATCTTTCAGCCACCTGCGGCGTGGAAAATATTCCACGAGGCACTGCGGGTTCAGGCTAACACTTACGCTCCGAATGCAAAAATCCTATATGCACGCCCCAGAAGAGGATGTGGAAGGCGAGCTTCGAAAGGTGAATTGCTTCCTGAGAAGCTGCCCATATGTGAGGTCGCCCGCCATTGTGACCGCGCTGTCTCAATTTTCCCTTGGGAGAGGGGAAGAGAGATGTCGGATGGGCAGGAACCTGACGCGAACTCGAGGAAGCCAGCCAGTGGCTTTTGTTCGCTTTTCGTTGGCGGAGTTCAACTAGGGAGGAGCCGTCCAAACGATATTACAGCGCGGGATCGAACCGGGCTTGCGAATGCAACGGTGCAGGGTGGTGGGTGTAGTCGGCGTCGGGTGGCGTTTTTTTCTCTTTGGTTCTCTTGTTTCCTTCCCAATAGCCTCAGATCCGAATTCCTGAGGTCGCCCAACTCGTGGCGATGCAGATCTCCCTCCAAAAGCTTCGGGTGTCTGTCAGAACTGGAAGAACCTCCCAAAGAGTATTAACAAAATCAGTTGCCAACGACGGGAAGAAGAGGGAATAATAAAGAAGGGTATCTCGAAGATCAAAAAAGTTATCCGACCTGCAGATTTCCGATATGAGAAAACGAAGGCACCTCAAGCCTGCAAGGTCCGAAAAAGGGCAAGTGAGCAAAGAAGTGAAGCAATAAACTACCCTTTTCAATTACTAGTGTAATGTGCAGGGTGACGAGAATAGAAGTAGCCTAGGTCAAGCTGGGCGGAAGAGCGGATTCGCTGAAGGAAAAGACAGGATGAAAGATTCTGCGATGTGATAGGGGAGTCGGCGCTTAAACGTCGACGCAAAATCGTCCAGCCACCCAACGGCCGAGTCGGCCATGAGCCCTTCCCGGAGGAGTAGTGTCGAGCTGTCACCCCCTGGCCTAACGTCCCCTACCCTACCCAAAGCATGGCTAGCCCATCGTGAATGGCCCCAAAGGCTCGTTGGTAGGCGTTCTTGGGGGTCCGGCCCTTCCATTCTGGCCCGAGTAGAGGCTGTGATGGCGTGGTTGACAAAGGCATGGCGGTTCGAGCGCCAGCGTCGACACTGCAATCCCATGTGGGCGATCCGGCGATCTAGCCCACCACAACGGGTGCGGCGACGGGTAGGGTAGGGTCCAGGCCCATCCACGAGGTCCAGAAGGTGAAGGAATGGGAAAAAGACCGGTCTAGACTGGGCCAGGTCGCCCCTGCCGTGTTGACAGCCTCTCTCCCTCATGTTTCCCGCATGCCTGTCATGTACCCATCACACACAAATTAAGGAAAGGTGCAACCCCGGAAAGAGCGCTGTCTGTGTGCTGTGGACCCCGTGGCCTCGGCCAGCCAATGCCTGGGCCGTTTTTGGACCTCGTCAACGAGGGGGATGGAAGGATCAACCGATACGTGAGAATGCCGGGCTCAGTGATGTGGGGATCGGCCCACAAACGAAGCAAAGTCGACTGATGCGGTTGATGCTTTTCACTCCCGCTCGTCTTAACTCTGTCGCAGGTGTCGGCTTCGGTGGGTCTGTTTGGCCAATCCACCTGAGCAGTCCATCAATTGATAAGGGCAAGAAGTGGTGAGGCTGTGTACCTGCTTCGATGCAGGGCAACCACCAGAGCTGGAGGTTCTATGACGGCGGGAGCGGAAGCAAGACGCCACACGAGCCGGTGTCAAAAAGCCATTGAGAGATAAGCTTACAGCAGTGACGTCCCAAATCGTCACTCACGAGTTCATCAACGGCTAGACATCATATCCACGGTCATTTAAAACCAGTCTGTACATGTAGGTTAAGTCTTTAAGTGGACAGCGTCATTTGACAGCTCCAGCGAGTCGAGACCGCGGCAACGTAGCGTAGAGCTGCCCTCACAGCATCATCAGCGCCACGGAAAATTTGAAGCCTCACTCGATAAGCACTCTTCCAAGAACCACGCAGAATACGCCCGGTACTATCCAATACGCATTGTTCCCTTTTCCTTTTCCTTTTCCTTTTTTTCCTTTTTCTTTCTTTGCTCGCTTGAAGACCCTCTCTCCTGGTGGTGGTGGGGCACCAGAGCGGCAACGATGAGGCCCCAAAATCCTCCGATATTCTGGGCCCATTTTCCCGTTCCAGGGTGCACATCTGAAACAAAAACTTCCCGGTGCATGCGCCTTGAGCCTCCCATGAACGGCCAACTCGCGCCCGGGCTTTTAATCTTGAGACACGTGAAGAGAAAAATCGAATGATTTTGAGAATCTCGTCATCCTGCCAGATCCTTTCCCCCATAATACTAGATAGTCTTCACAGCCGTGAAGAGAATGGAGCGAGGGCCTCAGCCTAGTACCACGCATGCGTATCATTCGCTTGTCGTGGCTTATCATCACGACTTCTATCACTGGCTCCCTCAGTACGCCGATATTTTGGACAGGCTCCTCGTCAATTCTGGACCCTGACTTAAAAAGACGTCATGGCATGACTTTGAAGAGTGATGAAGCGAATGGGTCATCGTGGAGATTTTAAACATCGTCCCTTGCCGTCTTCTGTCGTAGCACTTTCTGGCATGGCACTCCCGGAGAGTGGGAGCACTAAGACGGATCGAAACAATGTACTCCTGGCTTCCTTCGCCCTCGTATCATTTCCTTCATGCGTCTAGACTCATCCATTGTCATCCCGTACCCTAGTCTCAGATACCTTAGCCCTCAAGGAAACAGACCGGTCTAGACTTTCCCATCCTCTCTGGGCGTTACGAACGGCCCTTGTTCGTCCTCATCTCTCATACTAGGTGACCTGTACTATTTCCATGACCCACCGAGAGAGGCGAGGTGGCAACGCTATACCGGGCTTTTAACCTTAAGACGTAGTGCCGCATGCACTCGTCCTGCATCGTCCACCTTACTCGAAGAGGAAAATAAAGGGGCCAACTTCGAAGACTTCTGGCTCCCAGGGTTGAGCCTTTTTCTCGACCAGTGGAAGCATGTTAGCCACTTCGACGTGGGAGCGTGGGAGCGTGGGAGCACTTCTCATCTGTCTCTCGGCTCGGAGTGATCGGTAACAACATATCATAGCCTCCATTGTGATACTCCGCCGCAGGAAGTGTAACATCCTCCTTATGCTTATATCACTAGCGTTTCAGACCTCAAGTTAGTCCATGGCCATGTGCTCTCCCCGCGGAAGCCAAGATGTTGCGATGGGAACGTGAGACAGTTCGGTTTTCGATTTGAATGATTAGTATGCGTGCGTGTGTGCGTATGTAGACTATACAGGCCAGGATACCTGGAATATTGCGAGGGTCAAGATTCCCGTGAACGGATCAAGAGCCAACATGGAACAATAACTAATTAGAAAAGAAAACACAGGTGAGCAAAGTAGAGGGGGCCACGACTGCACCTCATGCACCCTCCTCGTTCATACCATCCCTCAAGATCTCGATCTGCCTCTTGATTTCCACCCAGAGAACCAGCCCGTCCAACTCCCCATCGCCCACCACAATCTCGACCCAGCCGTCGCCTACATCCTCTGTTATAGTTAAACCGCCCATGCTCGCAGTGCTCCGGGCATCCTCATCCTTGGCCTGCGCCGGGAGTCATCTTCGGCGTCGCTAGCCGCTCTCCGCGCAATAGCCAAGAGAGCCGCAACGAAGGCTTCCTGCATATAGGCGAAACTAAAATCCTCCGTGATATTGGCGATGGCAGCGCACAGCGAGTCTGGGAAATCGATTTCCTTGTTGCTCGCAAGTTTGTGCTGCCAAAATTGGCAGTAGGCCACCCGCTGCTTGAAATCAGGATCGGGGAAGAGATACTTGCGGTCGAACCGCGAAGGTCGTTTCTATAGCAATATGTGAGAATGGGGTCATCCGTAGGTATAAGACGGGAGACGATAGTCCTAGAGATTGCCACTTACGGAGATGCCTGGATCTAGTTGGTCGATATGGTTGGTACTGCCAATCATGAAGATGCCGTCGTTGCTTCGAAGGCCGTCCACCTCGTTGAGGAAATAGCTTCGCACACTCGGGCTTATGAGTGTGTCCAAGTCCTCAAAAACGAGGTAGCAGGGCGCGAGCTGCCTAGCCTTTTGGAAGATGGATTGGATACTGTACTCAGGACCTCCATACTGAACTCAAGTTAGCCCATGACGAGTTATCGGTGCTGTACGATTGAAAAGAGCAAATGAGGATAAGGGGAGCGGGAAAACCCAAGGGCTGGTGGGATAACCTACGGATGCCAAAGACCGAACGTAGAGGGTGATGACAGGCTTCTCGAGCTCCCAGAGCATCTTCATCGTCGCCTTGATGGAAATGGTCTTGCCGTTGCCCGGAGGACCATAGTACAAAGGCCTCTCTTCCAAGGGACCTTGAGCCTCGCGTACGAGTCCCTTGACGTGAAAAACGTCAAATGGTCCCCGATGATGGCATTCTTCATCTCCTTGTCCAAAATGACATTGTCCCACGAAGACTGCATGATGCTCCGGAATAGCTCAGAGCTCTTTTGCCAATTGCCCTGGTCAAACACCCACACCTCCTCCTGGACCTCGCTGCTCCATTTCCCCGCCGCGACAATCAAGGCGTCCGCCTTGGCCTTGTCCTTGGTGAGGATATAGTAATTGCGGACCTGCGGGTAGGAGGACATGCCATCTCGCCCGTCTGCGAGATAGATGATAAACTTGTTGTCCTCCCAGTCGTACGCAAACTTCCCGTAGTCCACCCACCCGGCGAGTCTCCCCTCCTCATCATCCAGCCGCCGCGCCGGGGCACGTACGTCTTGTACTTGAGGGACTCGGGGAACCTGGCTGCGTCGCTGTCAATGAGCTCGGCGCGGGCATGACCCGCAGCGGCGAAGTCGAGGAGATTCGACCCCCGTTCCGGGAGACCACGATGTGCAGATCGGGATACTGGTAATGCAGCGTCTCAAGAACTACACATGCCGTGTTTACGCGACGCCCGCTCGCGTTGGAGAAATAGCGGCGAGTGGTGATATCGCTCTCGGAAGCTGTAGCGGGGGAGGGGACTCTGGCCCGTCCGTCATCGCGCTAGAGGCTGACGTGGGGCGAAAGGGGTAGAAGGACGGCATCGTCGGACCCGCGCGGAAGTGCACCCACGTACAGCAGAATAGCTTGGTTGAGATGGGGGCAAAGGGAGGCAAAGGGGGACAAAAAGAATCGGCAGATTGGTTCAATTCTCCTATTCGCACCGAGTGCTTGAAATGAAAACGTGTAGGCGCCGAATTGCTTGTTCGTCGGCTGCGTTCGTGTTGGGCCCGTTGTCACGACCTCATGCTCGACTCCGCTTCAACTGGTCACACGGGGTGAGGTTGGGGAAGCTCCCCATCCAAAATCGGGGTAGATATACTTCAGCTGAAAGCGCGTCATGAGTGTGGATCAATGTACATTGACCATCTAGACGTGGGCCTCAGCCACAAAACAGCTGCCTTGACCAAAGGATTGCGGAGGCACACCAATAGACAGAACATCAAACTTCAAGAGAACAATATCATTCTCTAGCGCATTGAGATCACCCTCCCCTTTCTCATTTCAACATTCAAATATATTTCCTTCCCTCTCCAGCGCCTTCGTGAGACCGAGCGAGGCGATAATTCGATGGACCACAACTCACCATGGGCTGGGCAAGCCCCAGGGAGAAACCTCGACTTTGAGAAAGGGTGAATGATTAAGCCGCGCTCTAAATAGCAGGAATTTTGCATAGTAGAGTAGACAATTGGGTTGTAAGTTCTGCTCTAAGAGGAGACGGGAAGCTCTCTGTTGCAACCATCAAGCTAATGGGGCGTGGTAAGGCTAGCTTCATCTCGGAAAGCGAATCCTAACTATCAAGAGGGTGTTGAGAAGCCCGGCCAACATCTTCCCAAGATGTATCATGCTTCAAATGAAGCGCAACCATCACTTAACTCGACGGGCTGTATGCACAAGGCGATACCGGGCTGTCGCATCAGACTCGGGGTTTCTAGCGAAGGAACCAGACTGACCTCAGCGATCCGCAATTCTCCTGCGTGACGACATATTTCCTGATCTCTCTATCAAGAGCCGCTCAACTCGGTTCACTTGGGCAGGCGACTTGGAATATAGGTACTACTACAGCTAGTCGAGTGGAACAAGGAGCAATTCCTTGGCCATCTGATGACGCGACCCGCCGACGGCGTCGACCTGACCGAACCACGAGACGTGTGCAAGCGGAAGCCAAAGATTCCGAAACTTCTAGCTTATTCTGTATTCTCCGGAGACCTGTCGCTTTTACCTTTCGTCATATCGACCCTCGAGCATGGAAAGGAATCTATCACAAGGGACAGCATCCAATACTCCGATGGTACACCAGCCGTCCTTGCTCATAACCCGACAAACCTGAGATGACGGGAATCTAGATATTGAGCCTTAGGTCACCCAATCGTAGGCCATTCCCGAGGAAATGCCCGAGACCGGCTCTCCTGAGCACATGCTGGGCGAGTCAAAACATTCCAATTCATCTATATTCACGCAACACAAGACACGTAAGCTCTTCCGAGACGAACGTCAACCGACAGCGCCTTTGCCACCTTGTGTCATGTTGGAAACCCTCCTGTCCTATCCTCGTTGCCTGGATCTGGGACGGCCTGGGAGAGTCTCGTGATGATGCCTCTCTTCTCGATCTCGAGCCTCGGCAGCACACAACACATTCGGTTATCCTATCTAAAGCCCGATCCTGCTGCCTCCCTGATAGCACAGAGCGCAACAGGGCGGCTTCCATCTTCACCGACATTCGACCACCGCAGGTTGAAGCTCCAGGAACAGGCAAGCAGCCTCAAGGAACATTCTAGAGTGCCCCATCTTTGCTGCGAGCACATTCCAATCGAAGTGATGCCTCTGTTTTCCAACTAGCGGGCTGACAGCGTCCTAGGCCACGCGGTTGGTCGTTGGCGTGGTGGGATCCGTACAAGGCTAAAAGTAGAAGTGGATCGACGTTGTCTTTGGTTGCCGGGCGATAATCACAACAGTTTACTGTGGAGGTGACTCTGGCTCCTAATAGGAATCAACTTCCTAGCCCCATGGCCATCTTGATGAAGACACACGTGTTATAGTTCCCTCATCATCATCGTCACCAAGTTCCCTGAACAGGCGCAGTGTTTGCAACATTCCGCAAGACCCGACGTTGAACAGACGCCTATCCACGCCTGTCATTCAACTCGTGACCTAGAAGAAGTGTGACCCCGGTATCCGCCAAAACCGGTGGTGCCCCTTAGGCGCTGGTTAAAGAAGGGAATCCTCGAATGGACAGGAGAGCGTTTCGTCAGCTTCGAGTCACACGTTAGTTCAAATTGAACATAGGACCTAGTCGCTGATTCTACAGCTCTCCTGGCTTCACTTCCATAACACCGGACGGGTAACGTGATAAAAACGTGGAGCGGCGCTTCTGGGGTCAACCCACGGCTGTAGCATGGGAAATTTCTCAGCCTCAAAGTCTAGTATCGCCTTGGAAGTATCTCCGTGGTTCAGCAGAAAGTTCGCTCCTCGTGAAGGGAGAGGAAGGGCATTGGGCACTGAAAAGAGCCTTCAGGGCCGCTCGCGTATGGCACTGCCGCGATCTACGAAGATGATCGGTTGAGTCCGAGTACTCCTTCTAGTGCGGTGTCCCTCCGTCGTTTAGCACACCGAATATCTAGAGCAGGCCATCTCGCACAGGACCTATCATTGCGGGAGGGAACTCCCTGCGCCTCATTGTAGGATCTCGGCCTTTGAGGGCGCATATATGGGCATGTTCACTGGCTCTAACCTAGTGGAACTTGGTCACATCGCCTAGTCGCGGTCGCTCTGTCTCACGTAGTTGGAATGGGTGCATATGCCCCTACATCTTGACAACTGGTTATCGCCGCGCGAGACAAATTCCCACTAATACACACAGACAAAGAGTCATGATGGAGCTTCATGCTTCTCAACCTCACTTGCATACTAATCCAATGCTTGTGGGTGGCGAATAGAGCTGGAGGCTTGATACCAACACGGATTTTCCATGAGGCGAAAAGTCCCAGCTCACAGGCGTAGCGATATAGTAATCGACAGGCACGATCCTATCCCTTATCCGCCCACCCATCGCCACTACCCGAAGTAGCATCCCTAATTCACCTCTATTTCTAATTCTTTAAGAGTCCCTGCGTCAGCAGAACGTGGGCAAAGGGGCATTTTGGATGCTTTTCGATCTTGCCACAAGGGGGATCCATCAGGGTGGCAAAACAAAAAACGTTAGGAGATGGTAAGCGAGGGCACCAAGGGCAGGGGAATGGCTGCCTCCCCGACTCGGAGGAGGACACCCTCCCGATAAGGTGGGGAGAAGAAGGTGTCGAAAAAAACTTATCCATCGCGGCAGTTCAACGGGTATGGGGACTTGGAAATTTGGGATATGACATTGTACGAGTCGGATGTTCCCACCGACGCAATCCATCGATCCATTGACGTGCCAACTTTTTGTTTTCGTTGTCCGCTCCGCAGAAATAGCCATGTCTCTCGTTTCGGTCCCATCAGGCAGAGACCAGGGGGTGCAACGACGGAAGTAGGGACCTCACCCTCACCATCCACCTACTTGTCCAAAGGCTGGAGTTTGTGGGGAAATGAAAGACAAGGAGAGGCCATGAACCAGGTTTGGCTTGTTCCGCGAGGAGCAGGCCTCGAGCACGAACGCCCTAGGGCCTCTTCCAGATCCACTCAAACCAACACGATGTCTGGGGACGTTGTGGCTTTTCGATGGGATGCAGGTGTGAAGCGCTCTACAGCATTCCCTGTGACAAGGGCGGTCAATGAACATACTTTTTCCCATGTTTTCGGGCGGGGAGCTTTGGTTTAGGCTTCCTCGACCAGCGTTGCGGGAATGATTGTGATATCCCCCACTTCATCAGTCGCTGACCCCCTTCCGAGAGCACACGAATGGAACTTGATGTTTGCCGGATCACGGCATCCTAGTCTCGAAAGCGGATACCGTGGGACACTTTAGTTTTAAAACTTTTGCATCTATTAACTAACCTAGAAGCGAAGACCAGAGAAGAGAATCCCATTATTGCAGACATAAGATGCAAAGGTGTCCATAAGTCAACAGGGAAGGCGAAGGGGAAGGGAGGGGAGTCGGTGTATACGGCAGAAAGCCACTCAGCGAGAAATAGCAGCCGTCCGTGATCCGCTGGGCACCATCGTCATGTTTGCAACCGTACATATTCATGGTTCTTGCCCAGTTTGAAGGCACAGGGTGCGAAGAGGAGAAGTCTCTGGCAAGGTCGACTCATGGCGGGTGTATCAAAAGGAACTGCACAAAACGTCAACGCCAAGGGCCTGGAAGTGGGGGCAGGGAATCCGAGGGCGTGTAAAAACTAATAAAGGATCTCGGTTGTGCGAAGAAAAGAAAGAAGACCAAAAATGAAAGAAAAAAAAATGAAGAGATTGGTGCAAGTGGAAACAGGGGTTGGCTGCGATCCCGGCGCAAGGAAGGAAAAATCGCAGAAAGGAAAAGAGGATGGAAATGAGAATCGAGGGGGCCGGAGCGGATCTCCCATTCCGAATACACCGGGTTCAATAGCTCGCAATTTTTTGTCATTTGCGTTTTGACTCGCACCTTCCCGCTCTTGAGGCACGGCATGTTTTTGTGGACTGGCGATGATAACACGATGACGTCGTAGCCTTGTCGGCGATGGCTGGCAACGGGCGAGGATTCGTCGCACCTTGCTGCAGCAATGCAGCCGCTTAACATTGCAATGCCACCCTGCGACCGACCCAAAGTACTTTCCATCCCATACCCCTCGCCAGGCAAAATTACGGCGGTAGGAAGCGGGCCCATGGGTGCAATGAACAAAAAAGAAAAATAATGAACAGCCAGTCGTAGATATAGAAACCCAAAAATACCTGCGTAAGAAACTCTCCGGTCGCTCACGGAAGGTCGAGATGTCCGACATTCTGTCCTGCCTGTTGGGGAAGGTATTGACCTTGGCGGCGGGACAACACGCCGCGCGTTACGATGAGCAATGCGATATCGCCTCGAATGCGATTTTCTAGATAATAACGCGATGCCAACCGCACATCTTTCTAGAGTTGGGCGCCAAGGAATCGAGATAATGCAGAGGTAAAGAAGAAGAAGGGAAAAAAATCGAGAGCTCAAGCTTAGCAGAGAATGGATCGGCCCCTTGGGTGGGAAAGCTCGATGACAGCGCGATTCTGGCGATGCATGAGCCCTGGTCTTGGGATTCGCAGGCTCCACCCAGCCCGGCCCTGGGAGGGTTTCATCTCCCACTGCTGGCTCTAATAATACGTGCAATGTATCGAGCGCTGATTACATGGACGGGAGCATGCACGTTGGTGAGCATTTCCTCGGAGAGGGACCCCGCTTCACGATCCGAAGTCCATGCCCTTTCAAGAACCAAGGAAGGAAGAGAAAGCTCCCCCCGTCAACGAGTAGCTCCCCCGCCGCATCCGATTTTCCGTCAGGCCAAGCGCATCACGGAGTGTTTGTCCAGGCACACGGCCCTAGCCGCCAGGTGCATTTCCCCCGGGGGCCAAATTTTTAGCCGTTCTTAATCACTTTGAGGCTGCATGCGAAAAGAGCGAACCTAGAGCTTACCCTGCCATTCGCTCAGGCATATCCGCAATCAAGAG